CCACATGGCAACGTTCGGTTCATAGAACCTTGGACTCAACGCCAGGCAACTCGACTCTCTCGGTTGACATTTGAAGAGCTTCAGAGGCAGCTTTTTCCTGGGCAGAAAGACGAGTTTGCCGCCAAATTGCAGGAAATTGAATGCGGAGAAAAAACAAATATGGCCGCAGGACTAGACCTAGACTTCCTGGGAAAGGGAAAGCGCTGCTCCGGCGGCATCAATGTTATTTTGGTTAGTTCGCTGTACGTCACACGGTTTTCCGAAGGGGCAGAGAAAGGGCGGCGTCTCTGGTCCTGTGATTGGTGCGCATATTTTTTGCATGCCCGTCGGTTTGGTATTTCCCCGGGTTCCCAGTCCCTGTCTGTGTCCGTGTCCGCGTCCTGTTCCTCCCTTCGGTGGTTGTTTCGTTGCTTCACAAAATGGCGGCGTGCCTCGTTTGTCGCTTTAAGTAGTTTATGAAAAATGACGAGTAGCAACAACCCTTTCCACCTTCTCGTAGGGTCACAAATTTTCCAAGCGAGCGCCTTTTTGATGCATTTAACGCTAGAAGTCATCCAAGCGCCAAGACCTAGACCTGAGCGGGTCACATAGTCATCCCAGCTACACCTACACTTCGAGCTCTCGTGCTCGGTGCACCTGTTTCCTTTTAGTACTGCTGCTTTTTCCCAGGCATTTTCCATTTCCTCTGGAGCACAAAGGAGTTGGTGCATCCTTTCAGGCCAGGTTCTATCTACCTGCACTTCGCACCTCCTCCCACTCCCTATTCCCCAGCAGGAACCCAATTCTCACCTCTCTTCCCTTGCACAATTTTCCTTTTTCTTCAACTGACAATTTATCTCTCTCTGGTTGTGTTTGCCCAAGGGACGGGACGGGATACGACTCGGACTTGGACTTGGTCGGGGTCTTGTTTTCATTTCGCCTGAGAGCCCCAGACAGGTTCCCTTGAAGGAAGCCGGCCTAAAACAAATGTGTGGACCCGCCTCGCCTCGCCCGACTGTTTTGTCGGGGCTTTCATTACCTTTTCAGATTCCATCTTTCCTGCCTGCACTCTCTTCGAGCTCTGTTTATGTTTCTTTTTCTGTGGCCCGGGTTCGTTCTCTTTCTGGTTGTGTTTTCCTTTCATTAGTTGTCGGAGATTGCACAGTCAGAGTTACAGTCGCAGTCGGAGTCGGAGTCATCATCCATCCTGTCCTGGGCCGGTGCAAAGTGTTTTTAATTCTCTCATTAGTAACTGAAATTACTCGGCACCATTCGGCGTTGATGGATGATGGCTGGCATGATATGGGAATCGAGGAGGATAGGCCTATTTCCGCCTCGCATTCTCCCTACCATATGTACATATATATTTTGTTGGATCCCTAAGATGCGGGCATCTCTCATTAGTTTGATTGAACTGGAATTCATTCTTAATTTGTCAATATGTAATGGTTATTATACAAGGTTCTAAAAACCCAATAGATCACCGATCTCAAAGGTATGTACATATTTGGACACCGTAGACCCAACCCCTTTGCCTTGGGCTCGTTTAGCGAGTGATATACGAGTCTGGTCTATGTAATTTGAAGCCATTACAACAATGTTTTCGATTCATGAACTCTTACATAATCTCGAATTCTCAAACAAACACAGACCCAGACGTTCATTCATCTTCCCTTTGGGGTGTTCTGTTTCAATGACTTTATGCTCTAGTTCTTAAATTTCGAACCCCCGGAAAGTGTCGTATGCAGTCAATTCGAGGCATTATTTCTGCATTAATTAAAGCCAGAGAATGAGAAACGTTTTGAACTCAAGATACTGGCAGCTGCGGGGTCGCTCTCTCTCTCTGTCTCTGTCTGCGTCGCATAACTAATTAGCAATTAAATATTTGCCACTTTCCTCGACACGCCCCAATTACGCGCATGCGCAACCTCCGCTTGAAAAACTTGGAGTTTTTCTAGTTTTTACAACGGTAAACAGGCGACAAATGTTTGAAGCTCTGAAATTCCTAGCCACTCTACCTACCTGACTTGCATATCATTTCACAGTCCAGTAAGTAAGCGTCAATCCATCAAAAAGGGCATAAAAAATAGTAAAAAACAAAGTGGTAATGGCTGGAAATTTGTTATTTCGAGTGTAGGTTGCATGTGAACTATAACTCTAGCTTCGATCGGAATATATGTACTAGAGAGAGGCTCTGCTGGAGTCAGAGGTAAATGGTTAGGGGGAAAAGGCAACAGAAACAGAAACTGAAACAGAACCTAGAGATAGAGAAAGAACCTGTTTTTGTGGACCCAGGGTACTTCTCCTCCTCCTGCTGACATGGCCACAGTAAACGCTCGTAAATTACAAACGCAACAAATTCTACTTGCTGTACGATTTTGTGTATATATTTTTTCATTGATGCGAATGGCCTTTGTTTTCGGTGGCTCTGAGAATATTTTGCGGATTCGGTGGGTTTCTTCTGCGTAACTTTGATGGTGCCAAGTCTTAATCTTCTCTAGAGATATGTATATTTATGCATAAGTACATGTCTTTATCGGAGTTGGGCTCAAGTTCTCATGAAAATATATATATGTATATATCTGCCTTTATCCTGGGAAAATTTTTGCTTTATATTGTGATTATTCTAAAGTGGGAGACTAAGCTTGATTTTTTTCAAGAATGTCTTTGATAAAGATAAGGGTTCTGTATTCAATTTTGATTTAATCTTTTCACTCTTAAAGAACTTTATATCGAAAAGTATTTACTTAAAAACAAATTAGCTTGAAGTCGATAATATAACATTCCCTGATAATTCATATTTAAGAACTCCCTAGGGCATTATTCTTCTATATATGTATATTAACGCCTTCTTTCAAAGCTTAAATTCTCGTCCAATTCTCCAGGGAAATGTCTGCCCCTCACAACACACTCTCTGCCTATCTCTCTGTGTGTATATAATCCAAAGTGAATCATTTTCCATTTGGACTAATTAAACCAATTCCCCTCTCGATCTCCGACTCTTGAGTCTGCCTCTGGATATATACAAATATATATGTATATCCTCTCGGATATCTAGATATATACAAATGTCGAAGGCTTGCTTAAATGTTTGTTTTTCTAATATTGAAATGAGTTTGTTGCGTTGTTTTCGACTGTGAGGAGAGGATGGAGAGCCCGCATCATGACAAGATGCCATTTGAGCTCGTCAACTCCGCCTTAACCCATTGGCATCACACTGTTTGCTCTTTGAGTGCAGTTCAGGGAGGGGTGTGTGGACTCTGTCAATCCAATTTTAATGAAATGTGTTACTTCGATTCCCAGGCGCAATTAATTTGAAATGTTTCAGTTGAGCAGGCACAAGCCGCACTCGAATATGGTATTTTGCCCCCCTCCAAAGCTGCTGTGGCCCGCATTTTGTGTGCAATTCGCATAAAACATATTTTCCTGGCATTCCGGAGCTTTGGTCAATGCTCTCTCCTGGCTGCCTGTCGGGGCTTCCCCTTCTTCTAACTCTTTTTTTGAACACCGAGCGAAATTCGGAACAGAATTTGCTTGATAAAATTTTAAAATAAAAATAGGTTTCCCTGGCATACTTTTAGTCTACATATATACCCTTGCAGGTTGTTATAATTTCAGTCAGAAGCTTGAAACGCAGTGAAGAAGTCATTTCCGACCCTATAAATCATATATATTCTTGATCAGCATTAACAGCCGAATCGTTTTAGCCATGCCAGGAAGAAAAAATTTTTTTTTTCAATTTTTCCAAAATTTTATAAGGGGTTACATCATTAAAATTTTCAAAATTGCAAAAATTTTGAATTTCTTAAAATCTAAAATTCAGTATGCAGATTTGTTACCCTGATGAAAACTAACACAAAACAGCTTTCCGAACTGAAATGAATGCATTTTTGGCTTTCCTATGAACAATTTTAAGTGCGACCCCTGGTCCAATTGTAACCTGCAAGGATATACAAACTTGGGCTTACCGAAATCTCTTTCTAATAATATAAAGATATAAATTCAACCAACTTTATTAGCTCTTTTTCTCTCCGTGGAATTTTCTACTCCCATGTAGTTTGTGTCAATTGTTTGAGCCTGAATTGTTTTGGCAAATGTTTGAAGAGCAGCCACAGACACGCAGCCAGAAGGAGTGTGTGTGTGTGTGTGTTTGGATGAGAGGGAACAGATCCCTAGGCTCATTGCACTCGTTGCCCCTGCATCTCACCCCCTATTTAGCCCGCTGAGCCGAGCCAACTTCCGGTTATGAACCCGGAGCACCTTTCGCAATTCGCACTGCAATTCCTATTCCCATTCACGTTTACGCTTCAGTGGCTCACCCCAACTCGGCTACCTCCCACTCCCTGGGCCATCCTTCCGTGCACTTATGCCTAAGTGCAGTGGCGTACTCCGTACTTTTTTTTTTTCAAAATTAGTTGGCAAAGCAAACGAGCAGAGCGAACAGTGCTCGGCCCGAAATGGTTTACTTGTTAGAGGTCATTAACGTGGCCATTGTTTTGTGCGAACATGGCGTGGACACCGCCGCTCTGGAAAAGGTCACCCGCAGCAAGTGCCAACGGATGTGCCCCTTGTGTTGGCTCATTAAAATTGGATTTTTGACTCTCTGCTCCCCGCTGCACAAACACAATAGCTTCGTCGGCCGGGAGAGCGTTTAGAGCTGCTCCATTAATAGCTGCCACTACCATTGAATAGATGTGTTTGCACATGAACGCGCGCCTAGGACCGGATCACATTAAAGCTTCCACTCTTTGGTTAATGGGAACTGTTACGCCGCAGTTCAAAAGGGCAATTATTTGTGGTGATTTGTAAGAGATTATAAAAGCAGGAACATTTTGAGTTTAAATGCATTTTAGAGGGAGAATATCAGTGATTATTTAGGCAAAGATAAGGATTTTTGAAATTGAATACTTTGCAGGTCATTTAAAGACGTACCCATGATTTCGATGTATTAGAAATTAGTAAAAATATGAAGTATACCCCCAACTAATAAGTATTTCCCTCTCCATTCTATTCCCTTCCAGATAGTGCCACCTATTCCGGCAACATCCTGCGCATCAAGTCAGTCAAGAAGGAGGATCGCGGAACCTACTACTGCGTGGCCGACAATGGCGTCAGCAAGGGCGATCGTCGTAATGTCAACGTGGAAGTGGAGTTTGCCCCCGTAATCACTGTGCCCCGACCCCGGCTGGGACAGGCCCTGCAATACGACATGGATTTGGAGTGCCACATCGAGGCGTACCCACCGCCAGCCATTGTCTGGACCAAGGATGACATCCAGCTGGCCAACAACCAGCACTACAGCATCTCGCACTTTGCCACCGCCGACGAGTACTCCGACTCGACGCTCCGTGTGATCACCATTGAGAAGCGTCAGTACGGTGATTATGTGTGCAAGGCCACCAATCGCTTTGGCGAGGCGGAGGCGCGTGTCAATCTCTTCGAGACCATCATTCCCGTATGCCCACCGGCCTGCGGTCAGGCGTCATTTGCCGGTGCCGAGGAAGTGGCTGCCACCTCGTTCGCCCTGGTGGGCATCCTGGCGGCGCTGATCTTTGCCAGATAAGCCAATATCCGCTCTCCGTGTCCAACAACCAACAAAAACAAAACAAAATCCATCACACTCAGCCCTCGAATGCATAAACGTAAACATAAACAATATATATATAATAGATATACCTTGTAACCGCGCAATAGAAGTCTCAAATGATACCGGAATTCCAGTTCTTAAACGCAAAAATCTGTTGTAGCTCCCGTTCCCGTTTCCTTTTTCTTACGTCCAATATATTATGTCTTAAGTTAAGAAGTATGCTAAGTGAAAAAGAGGGGGACCGAGAGCAATCGATATAATTTATTAGCACCTACCTTTGGGCCACCAACTCGAACTCTAACCATACTGTGTAGGACTCTCTCCCTCTTGATATACATCCCTAAAATCCCTTTCGTTTTGCTTTCTAATCTGGCACTGTATATGTTTTAAATACCTTAATCTAAGAACTATATGCAACAGTTCAACATTCCGTTTCCGCTTTGCTGGGGGGAACAGAGATATTTTATTTTTTATTTAATAAACAATAAAGTATTCTCGTGACAACTCGAATAAACCCTAATGATAATACTAACACCGGCATTAAGTCGAGGCAAAAACATCTGTAAACATCTCTCTCTCTACTTAGGTCTTAAGCACGAAATTCTTTTGATAAACAAGACAAGATTTTTGAGCCCAGTTTTTGTGTGGCTGCGACGACGATTAAAATCAATTTCGACTTTGTAATTCAAGAAAAAAAAATGATAAACGACAAAAACACAAATGAACAAACAAAAAAATCAATAAAAATATTTGAAAAACCAACGAGCAAGACCTTTTCTTTGGGAATACATTTAGTTTTAAAAGGATATGTTTGTAAATGAGAACAATAGAATATTTTATACTAAACCTAGTCTCTCATCGAGGCTCCATTGGTGGCCATGCGATAGTAGAGATTGAAGTCGGACTCGTAGTCCGCAAAGGAGCCGTTGTTGTGGCGCTTGCTGGGTGGCACAAAGCGACGCAGCGGATTGTCCAGCAGGAAGCGATAGATGCGCTCGGCTCTGTCCCGTTGCAATTGGATTTTCACCCCAATGGCCTGCATGTTGTCCAGCAATTGGTCCATTTCGTCCTGCTGACGGCTTGCCTTCAGCCTCAAATCGTGCGGATCAACTAGGTGGACGAAATGGGAGGGTTATTTCCAGTCTGGCCGGATATGAGGACAAAATGTCTGAGTTTGAGCTTACCAATTAACGGCTCCAAATTCAATTTCAAGTCAGACATGTGCGCGGCAATTGCCGACGCCCACAAAATGCGTTTGCGGACTTCCTGCAGGGCCCCGAAGGGTGTCAGCAAATAACCAGGCGACAGTTGAACAGTGGAGGCCAGCTCCTGTCCCTCTACGATAAGCGGATTGGCCGACAGCAGGAAGGAGCTGCAACCCAGAAAAAGTAATTAATTGGAAATTCCTTCGTTTCCTCTTAAATACACTCATATTTACCAGGCTCTGGGCAGGCAGCTGAGCTTTTCCAGTGGCATTTCCGCAAATGTGTTCAGCTCCAGCAGGTGTGCGGGCACTGTGGCTCCGGATTGTGGCACTAGGATTGTGAGATCGCCGCCACCCGGCATCAGTGTCTTGTTGTCAAAGCTGCGACGCATGGAAGAGTTCATAACACTAACATCGAGTTCCATTTTGGTGCTGGAGAAGACGCTGTCGTTGGCCAGACAGAAGCTCTCGGCGCCCAGCATGGACATGTTGCTGACCTTCAGCTTGGTGCTCATCAGTTGGGACTTGGCGTTCTGCTTCTGCGCCGTGGCCTGCATGTCGTCCAGCAGATTCTTCATCATGTTGCGGGAGAAGATGATCTTGTCCTTGATCTGCGACAGCTGCACCATGTCCTGTTGAATGCGATTGATCGAGGCATTGATGTCGCCGTACACCTCTTTCACGGAGCCGAGCTTCAGGTCGTGGCTCTCCAGTTGGTTGCTGCCGGCGTCCAGTTCTTGGCGAAGCTGCTCGATCTGCTCGCGCAAGAAGTCGTTCTGGGCGCGATTAAAGTTACGCATGTTGTACTGGACGAGATAGTCGCTTATCAGCTCATCGGCGGCCTCTGCCTCCACCGAGTCGCCATCGATGCCATTGAAGCTGTGCACCTTCTGCTGCAGTTCGTCCGCAAAGTCGCTGTACTCCTGGCAGAAGCGTGCCTCTTTCACCTCCAACTCCTTGTGGGCGGCCAGGGATTTCGCAGCGAGGCCCAGCATGTCGGCCTTGGTCTTCAGCAGCTTCACCTCGTAGCTATTGAGTGGAGGTTTGCTCATTGTCGGGTTGTCCCTGGCCTCATTGAGGTGCATTATGTGCTGCAGCTGCTCCTCCTTGATTTTCATGATGACGTTCAGCAGCGTGGAGTTGGGTGTGTCCGCAAAGATGGTGCGCATCTCATCCCACAGCTGCCGTTTGGCCTCCGTCAGGGTGTGGGCATTGGTGTCCTCATCACACACGCCGTAGAAGTTCTCCAGCTTTTTGAGAGCCGTTTCAACATCGCGGGCGGCTTGCTTCTCGCTAGCATTCCTTGAGTTCAACACCACCGGCGTGGTGGCCAGGATCTGGGTCTTGGTCGTCTGCTCCTGCTCGGAGCTCTTGTTTAGCGACTGCAGCTTAAGCTTGAGGATATTGCATTTGGCCTCCAGGAGTTGCTTCCGGTTCGTGGCACTGATGGTTTGAATGTCTACGGGGAAGGGATTAATAAACGTTTGATTTATTCCCTGGCTAGGAATACCTACTCTTGGTCTTAATGCTGGCGGCTAGTCGCTGGTACTCCTTTCGGGCATCGGACAAATGCTGCTCCGCCTTCTGCTTCTGCTCCTTAAGCTTCTGCATTTTCTGATATCGCTGCAGCTCCGGCGGCTGGAAGCTGCGGGAAGCCAGGGGCACCACCTTATCCTTGTAGCGGGCCACTTGGGCGATCAGCAGGTTCTCGCGCAGTTCTCGCACCACCTCCTGCGGGTGGATGCGCGCCTGCAGCTGGTTTAGAAGAAGACTGGAGCCCGACTTGAAGATCCTTTCGGGGGATCAAAGGATTGTGGTCAATCAGAAAGTGGATTTAATGCTTTTCGGCAATCTATTACCTTCCCAGGCCATCGTCGATGGGCAGGTCAGAGGGCGGGCAGCCCAGGCTAGTCGCCCAGCACTTGAAATCGTTAATTTTATCCTGGTAAGCCATGATTTGCAGAAAATAATACGAAAAGGCGCAGTTGTTTGAAACCTTCAGTATGACCGTCTGTAAAGTCCTTAAAAACACCAAACATCATTCCTTGTAACGGAACTGCTATTTAAAATTGTCAGCCACTAGTAACTTGGGGCATAAAAATAAAGTTATGAGCAATTTTTAAGTAATAAGAGTTATTTAATACAACTCTTAAACGTTTTTTAAAGAGCAGAATAAGTAGTTTTACTGTTTAATATTAAAAATTCAATTTTTATTAGAATCATTTAAGCCAAGTTGGCAGCTCTTGTAAAAGAACCAGTTCGCGGAACATTATTTTACCAAAATTTACGTGTCTACCAACACTGGAAACTAATAAACAGCTGAAGCAACAAGTATAGCTAGTTTGCACGCTTTCTTTTTTGAGATTTAATGTTAAGTCCTTCCTAACTTAAGATTTAAATATTTAAAAAATCAATATTCAAGAAATCAAAGCAAACTTGCCCGGGTGCATTGTTTAAATTAATATTTGGCTATTCTTTGGTTTCGATTTCGCAGCTATAGCCAAGAAGATCAGCACTAACGTAGTGTTGGAAAAGTCCGGCTGCCATTTAAGTAGCGCACGTGGAGTAAATTCTCACGTTTTTATATCAGCTACTAAAACCAGTTAAATTAAGTTAAAACTATGGGTCGCAAAGCTGAATATAGTGAGAAACCGAAGAAGGGACCTGGCCGCAAGGCACGCAAACAGGGACCACCCGTCTTCCGCAAGAAATCCTTTGGTAAGTGGCCAACAAAGTTCTTCACCGACTGCCCGGTATTAAATTCAAATGCTATCTCTCACAGCTCCCATGGAGGAGGAGGATAAAAAGCTTTCCCACCGTCAAAAGCAACGTTTCGTCAAGCGGGAGCAAAAGAAAGTAGTCCAGAAAGCGAAACTCCAGGAAAAGCGGGCCAAGGGTGCTCAGAAGCAGCCACAAGTCAGACGCAAAACGGCCTACAACAGCGACAGCGAACCAGAGGAGGAAGTGGAGGCCCAAGAGGCTTCATCCGACGAAGAGGTGCCACAATTGGTGCCAGCACCCATAAATACAAAATCGGCAGCTCCCAAGGGCTTCACAGACGACAACGATGCCTGGTTAAAGCCCAAAAAGGGAAAGAAGCTGCCAGAACCCGAGTCTGAGGATGAAGAGGAATTGGAGGAAGACTCTGAGGATGAAAATGGCCTAGAAGCTGCAGAGTCGGCTGAGGAAGACGAGGAGGAGGAGGCGGAGGACGACGATGAAGATGATGAAGAGGAGGACTCCGATGAAGACACCGCTCAGGTTGGCAAGCTGGCCGATCTTTCCGACGATGAGGCCAATTCGGACGATGACTTTGACATTTCCGGGGACGAGGATGCTGCCGAGGCAGAGAGCGATGAGGATGATGACGACGACGACGATGATGATGACAAGCTGCCCATTGAGCGTGCCAACAAGAAGCTCAAGAAGCGCGAGGCCAAGGACGCCCAGCTGGCCGAGGAGGAAATGCAGATGACGGTTGATCATCAGGATGTTTTCCAGCTGCCCACCGAGGAGGAAAAGACCGAGGAACTCACCCTGCAGCAGGTGCAGCAGCGCATCAAAGATGTTACCTTGGTTTTGTCCGATTTCAAGAAATATCGTCAGGCGGATCGTTCTCGCGGGGAGTACATTGAGCTGCTGCGCCAGGATTTGTGCCTGTACTACAGCTACAATGAGTTTTTAATGGAAAAGCTGATGGACATGTTCCCGCTAACCGAACTCATGGAGTACCTCGAGGCCTCGGAGGTGGGTCAGCCTGCAAGAAAGCTTTTTAAACGCATTTAAAAATTTATATTTGTATTTTCAGGTGGCCCGTCCACTAACCATCCGCACCAACACGCTGAAGACACGTCGTCGAGACTTGGCCGCTGCTCTGATCAATCGTGGCGTCAATTTGGATCCCCTGGGCAAGTGGACCAAGGTGGGACTGGTGGTCTTCAACTCGACGGTGCCGCTGGGTGCCACACCCGAGTACTTGGCCGGTCACTACATGTGCCAGGGTGCCTCCTCGCTGCTGCCGGTGATGGCGCTCGCTCCGCAGGAGAACGAACGCATCCTGGATATGTGCTCGGCCCCTGGTGGCAAGGGATCGCACATTGCTTCGATAATGAAGAACACCGGAACGCTGTTCGCCAACGACTTCAATCGTGATCGCGTCAAGGCTGTTCAGGCCAATTTCCATCGGCTGGGCATTGTGAATGCGATCATCAGCTGCGAGGATGGCACCAAGTTCAGGAACATTATCACCGGTTTCGATCGCGTCCTGCTCGATGCTCCCTGCACTGGCACTGGTGTGGTCTCCAAGGATCCCAGTGTGAAGACCACCAAGTCTGAGGTGGATGTTCAGAGGTGTTACAACCTGCAGCGCAAACTTCTGCTCTCGGCCATTGATTGTGTGGACGCGAAATCGAAGACAGGTGGATTTATTGTATACTCCACCTGCTCCGTGCTGCCGGAGGAGAATGAATGGGTCATCGACTACGCGCTTAAGAAGCGCAATGTCAAGCTGGTGGATACCGGCCTGAACTTTGGCGTCAATGGCTTTACAAATTTCCGCCAGCACCGCTTCCATCCCAGCTTGAACCTTACCCGGCGCTACTATCCGCACACCCACAACATGGATGGATTCTACGTGGCCAAGCTGCAGAAGTTCTCCAACACCATACCGCTGACCAAGGAGCAGCAGGAGGAGGATGAGAAGCAATTGGACGCCGCCATCGAGGCTGAAGCGGCCTCCGCCGCAGAAAGTGCAACTGAAGGGGAAGCTGAAAAGGAGACGGAAGCTGGTGACAAGGTTCCCCGCAAGCTTTTGGGCAAGCGTGCCGGCAAGCCCAGTCTCACAGATATTGAGCAGGATTTGAAGAAGAAGAAGTTGGAGGAGAGCAAGACCAAGTACGTGGCCAAGGTGTTCGAAAAGCCCGTCAAGGCGCCCAAGCAGCCAAAGCCAGAGAAGCCGCAGGAGGAGAAGGCGGCGCTATCCAATGGCAATGGTTCTTCCAAAGCAGAAGGGAAGGCATCTAAGAAGCGACAGCAGGAGCTTCAGAAGGTGAAAAAAACTCCGGAAACAGATCAGAAAGTACCTAAAAGCGAGTCACCATCCAAAGTTTCCAAGCCAACGGTAAATGGTGGCGCTTCTCCCGCGACGCCTGAGCGTAAGCAAAACTTGAAAAAGTCAGCCACTCCGAAGACCCCTTCCAAGCTAGTGAATGCACCTCACGAAGACAAAGTACCCTTGCTGGAAGGTAAGCCCATCAAGAAGCAGAACAACCTGAAGAAAAAGCAGGTGGGGCAACTGAAGAAGTCGAAGGCGAGCGGGAAAGAGGGAAAGAAGCAAAAGTTCAAGAAGTGAACCTTAGAGATCCCTGTTTAATTTAAGAGTATAAATTAAGTTGGGGCAGTCCCCAGGCGATTACTATTTCCTGTTTACTATTGAGAACTTTTTTAGCCGAAATTCGATTTTTAAAATACAACAGTGCTGTAATTAACGGTCGATATAAACAATAAATGCTAATATAGTCACTAAGCGGGTCTACTCTCTTTTTATTCCCGGAAAGCGAAACAATATTTAAAATTAAAATGTTGTATAAATTGTTTATGTGTGGGACAATCAAGCCCATCAAGAAGCAGAAGGAGAAGCCAAAGGTGGGTGGGAAAGAAGCCAAACTCCAAAAAGTAAGCCATAAGGGCGATTACGGTTTCTTATTTTTACACTGAGAACTTTCATATTTTCAATTCAATAATTAAAGAAAACAGTTTTGTAATTAACAATCAATGTTAACAATAAATGCTACCCTCGCCTTAATATAGTCCCAAAGCGGGTTTATCCACCTACTACTTATTCACGGAAAGCTCTGAGCTGAGTTATCAGTTCCCAGAGAGCAAGCTCTGCCCTCGGATCATAAGTGTTCCAAGCTTAGACTCGGTCGTTTTGATAAGCGGCGAGTTTATTAACATTATTTCAGTTTCAATCTGGCAAACAAACATGCAAAGTGCACTTTTACTGGGCTTTAGCCTGGCTCTCGTCTTGGTGGCTTCCATCGAAGCGGATGTGGACATCAATAGGGCCACGGCCAACCAGATCCGCTGGAACATCAATAGAACGGCATCGCCCTGCACTGATTTCTGGAGCTTTGCCTGCGGTAACTTTGTCAACCACAACTCGCCAGCCTCCAAATATGTGGACAACTTTGGGTGGGTCGAGGATCAGTTTGCCACTGCCCTGGTGGAGTTTATGGAGAGCGACTTGAAAGCTAATGACACCCAGGCCCCACAGCTCATCCACCAAATGCGAACGTATTACCAGGCCTGCACCAGGGATAAGAAGCAATGGACGCCAGTAGATCCTCCAGAGATGGTCCAACTTTGGGCAAGGGCCAGTTCAGGACCCCTTGGCATAGCCTTCGATGAGCGAGCGGATGTGGCCACCAATGATTCCACGCGCCGTGTGGTCCAGTTGACGATGCCCGAGCCGAGATTCAGGTATAGGATGCTCCGAGCACTGCAGTTTATAGAAAATCCCAAAAACAACTACCAAAACAAGGATAATCTGACTCAATTTATCAAGGACTTGAAGGAGCTGCAGGATAAGCATCGCTTTGATGAGCCCACAGTGTACACATGGACCTACAAGGAAATGTTTGAGCAAATTCCCCACCTGTCCTGGGCAGAGATCCTTAGTGAGCTTTTCGAGGTCAACAGGAACTCGCCGCTATTCAAGGACCTCGTCTTCGAGGTCAGCAATGTGGAGTATTTTCGGGACTTGGTTCAGCTTCTGAAGTTCGTAAAATATGAGGATTACAGAGAGTACGCAAGAGTACACCACTTAGTTGTCCTTGAAGAAGCGGAGCCTATGTTTCGCAATCCAAAGTCCTGTATTCACCACATGCGAGCCATCCTGCCGCTGGGCATAAACTACATTTACAATCGCTTTGTGTACGAAAACCGGGAGCAGGACACTCGTCGTCTGCAGGAGATATTCACCATGTTGAAGGCCACTTTTAAGAAATACTTTGAGGCCAATCGTTTGGAGCTCAATGCCGAGATGTTGGCCTACCTGGAAGCCAAGTTGACGGGCATGCAGCTGAAGGTTGGCAACCTGCCGGAGGAGAACTCCTCAGAGTTCTATAACTTGCACTACGAGAGTGCCGAATTCAAGAATTCCACTTTCCTGGAGAATCTTATCGAGGCCCTGACCCTCCGAACCCGTCTCCAGCATGCGGGACTCCTGCAGCCGCAGGCTAGGCTGGATCTGAGGCGTTACTACGTCAACGATAATGTGTTCAAGGCTCGCACCTCTCCCTTCTATGAGAACGAAAGGAACACCATCACTGTGCCCATGGAATTTCTGCAGTTTCCCCTCTTCGATCATCGCCAGCATCCCATCTTCCAGGAGAGCCTTATGGGTGCGGTGCTGGGTCACGAAATGAGCCATGCCTTCGAGCAGGAGGGCTTGCTGTTCGATTCCTCGGGAAATGAGTCACCTATAGGTTTGCAGATCGTTGAATCCAAAAGTTTCCAGGAGGCCATCAAGTGCGCTAGGGGAAAAAAATCCCCTGTTTCCCTGAAGGAGTGCGTGGCCGATATTAATGGCCTTCAGCTGGCCTATGACTCCTTCTTCGGTTTCAACTCTGACCCGCGGACAGTGGAGTATCTTCCTTATGCCTTTGACGCGGAGTTCAAGTCGAAACTGTTCTACCTGAGCTATGCCCAGTTCTTCTGCGGAACCCTGCCGCCGGTGCTTGGCCACGATCGCGACGATGAGCGAGTGAACGTGAGCGTTGGCAATTTGCGTCAATTTGCATACGACTTCCAGTGTCGTCAACCTCCGTCTCCGCCTTCCCTGTGTGAAATATGGCGCCCAAGGGAAGAGACCGAGCCAGCTAAATTGCAGCCATAACTATAAAATGTAATACAGAATCTATGCTGATTGAATCTACAATTACTTGGGTCTTAAATTTTACAATTTTGTGAGCTAAAAAAAAGGATTTATTGAATTATTTGAAATATTATTTTGTTTTATAATTTTACCTGTGCAAATCGTATATATTTGCTTGGGTAAAATTGTATTTAATGAATTTTTCTAAATAATGTTTTGGATTATTATTTTGTTCTATAATGCAATAAATGCTAAAATAATATATTTACTTGGGTCTTAAACTTCTAACATATGTGAGGAATATATATGGTATATATATAATAATATAATATATATATATATAATCTATATGTAAAAGGTACAAGGAAACAATAAAATATTTTCAATATTTTCTTATTTGATTTATAACTTATATTATTTGCTTTGATAAAGAGCAGCTTAAGTTACTACTATACGCTTTATGAGATAGTTAAATCAGGAAATCTTTAATATATAGTAAACTTTAGCTCTTAATCTACTAATTAATTTCAGCGAAAGCAAGCTGAAATGTGAGCCAAAATCTTTATTTAATATTGTGATGATGATCAATCTATTATTTTTTTGTTTTATAACTTATAATCTTTGCTTTGTTAAGGAGCACTCTTAGTAGGTAGTTCTCTTAATAGATAACAATCTTAGCAGATAACAAACCTAGTTTCGAAGTACCTCTAGTAGCTAGTAAACGGAATGACAGAGTTAACTGCTCTTAATCTTCTGATTGAGAAGGTAAAGAGCCAGCTTTAAGCACTTTCGGGGACTAGCCATTGCCCTCCCTAGGGTATTAAATGCCTTATTCCCGTTGAAAGTGGACAAAACCCATTTACCGTGGCCATTCAGCTTGAGTGTCAATTGCAGGTGACAGGCAATTGCTATCACCATCGCCGGCTATTGCGCTGCAATCTGTGGTCAGCAGTGTCAATTGAAGGCAAATACAAAAAATACAAAAAAACAAAACACAAAATACTCACTTTTACTCGAACCGAAAGAAAACGCCGGTCTCTTGGGAAGCTTTTCGCTCTCCCACTGGCGCGCTGCTCACGAAGCTCTTTCCACCTCCAACTTGTTGCCGCCGGGCCGACTTCAACTGGTGTTGTATCCTGCCTCCGTGAGAGGTGCTCGGTGCTTGGTGCTCGGTGTTCGGTGTTCGGTGGTTCCATGTGTTCGTGTGCTTTTCCGCAAAGCTCTCGTTTTCATACGCCCCGTTGGCCGCAGTTTGGCGCTGTCTTTGGCCGCCATTGGACGCGTGTCGCCGCCGCCGTCGTCGTCGTCGTCATCGCTTCATTACTATCACCGTTTGTAATCGCCATCCGGACAGATGCTTTGATAATCTTGCGCAGCATCCCAGGCATCCATCCAAAAGCGCCGCAGGCTTAGTTTGCCCCGCATTTTTTCGGTGTTTTTCGGAAGTGATTTGATTTTGTTTTCGTCTAAAATTAAAGTCTTTAATGTGTCATTCCGCGATCGAGTCTCGCGAGTGTGTCCCGGTGTGTGTGCGTGTGTGTTAAGTAATGCAAACAAATAAATGATAATGATAAAAAGGCGATAAACGTTTAAAGCTTCAAGAAAAGAAAAGAAAAGAAAAGAAAAGAAAAGAAAAGAAAAACAGCAACAAGCAGCAAAGCCCATGTGAGTGCTAAGGAGAGGCGCTAATTCCAGCATTTAGCCGACAGTTTTGCGGGAGCGTGAAACCCTGACCCCCAATGGCGATCCAATATAGTGTTCTCGCCAAGATCTCCCGCGATCCTCCATTCCTCGGGCACTGGTTAACAAATACAGCAAATATCGAAGCCGAAAAACATTCCTCATTTTTGGGCAAATCTTTTAGAGCGCCACGGGGCACATTCACATCCACATCCACGACCAAGTGGCGATGATCACTTAGCAGCTTGCTCCCATTAGCAAACAATGGAGAAGTCCGCAAATAGACTTTAAATTGAAGAATAAACGTCTGATTAGACTCAATGGCCGTCAGATTATCCGCTGCCAGCTTCACAAAAGGCGAAAACAAATTACTGAGGTGAAACCGAGGGGTGGCAGGAAGGGGTGGGGAATGAGAAAAGAAGGAGCAGGGAGCATCTGGTGCACAGGAAGAAAAGTTACAAGTTTTATGTACACCTCAAAGATGTTTATTTTATTTAGGAAAATTATTATAAAACTTTATACTTATTTTAAAGGGAATCTTTAATAGCAAACTAAAATGTAAGTTCGTTTGAAATCAGTTTTAATTGTTTCATATCCTACAGAAATATTGTACTTTTTCTTAATATACATCCAGTCTTAATTGTTTAATTTTCTATAACTTAAAAGTATGTAAAGTATAAAAATCTGAGTGATCTATTATTATTCCCAGTAGAAGATTAGGTTTTATATATAATTTCATGTCTTTTGTTAAAGAAATCATTAAATTTTATTTCCCATAAATGAAAACATATCAAGTTCTTAATAATTTAATTTAACGACCTATTCCCATGGCTTTGCACTGCTAAAAATACTTCGATCTTGACATATAAAAAAGTGTCAATAAAATATTAATCTTATCATAGAGGAAAAGCAGCAACTGAGACTACAAACATATTATTTAAGCATGTGAGCTTCTTAGCCGAAAATCTGTTCAAAAATTATCACTAAAATAATATCCAATTCAATAAATTTAAATTTTAATTATCTTGAGACTTAATTTTATCAATATTTTCTTTGACAAGACTCCAAAACTAGATAATTTCCAAGGTTATATTTCACTATTTATAAAAATATAAACATTTTTCTTCAATGTATGCGAATGGATTCCTTGCTAGTTTCGCTTTGGCTTGATTTTATCTCATATATGCAAATGTTTGTGCTCCATTTGCATGTTTACGACTCGTTTACAGGCGGAGGAGTAGTGCCTCGAGGTGATTGGGGACACCATGTTCATGTCCTGTTTGGCTCCCGCTCCCTTTTTTATCTCTCTCTGTATTACCCGCTCTATATCCTGCTCTCTTCCTCTGCCTCTTTGTTTCCTGCATCCTGAGGTGGAAGGCCGAGAGTATGGGATTTTTTAATTAATTCCTTTCCGGCAGGATGGGGCGGCTTCCTCTTATTCTCTCTTTTTCATTGCATTTCAAAATGCTATGTGTTCCCTGGAAAATCTCATGCATATTTCAGATCTGCACCCCCGCCTTCGCACATGGCCAACGCTGCCGGTATTGTTGTAATTGAGCAAAGATAAACATTTGTAATATTCACCCCGCATCTATATAGGTATATATAATGCATATTCCCCAGTTCCCAGTTTCTCAGTTCCCAGCTCCTCTCCTCCCTCGATTCATTAGGCCGCCACGGGTTCCCGAAAAGCAAACAGCGAATAAAAAAGCAAACGGAGTTCGGGCCACAACTGGGGGCAAATTGTTTATGACTCTCGAATATGAATTGTTAAGTAAATACGTAAATTTAATTATACTCGATTGTAAGGAGGCCGAAACAAGAGCAGAATTTAAGGAGAGAAAAGGGAGGCGGGCAGGAGGCTTGTGGTTTGCTGAAAATTTGCAAATGGCTTTCGAGTGTAAGTGGGTCGGAGAAGAGGGTTTCCCTCGATCTGAATACTCGTACGTACTCTAAATGCATTTTGTGTGTTTGCCAAGATGCTGACTGTCTTTCTCAATATTGTGAAGAGCAGTAAACACTTTATTTTTACACGGAGAACAAGATACTTGAATGTTGAATGAGAGAAATTGAGAAATACTTGAAAATTTCTATAAATAATTCCATTAATAATAAGTAATACAAAGTAATAATATTAAAGTTAACATAATTGAATTTGAACTACAATTTCCTATAAATAAAGTATCAATTAAAAAATAGAATTTGAAGAATTTTGTACCTACAAATTTCTATAAATAATTCCATTAATAATTAGTAATACTTTTAACGATTATCTTAATATAAGTTTAACAATAAACTTCTCAAATATTTCTCCAAGTGCTCTTCTTCATGCAAAGTGTCTGTTTTTGCACCAAAGATGAATGGCAACCGCCCGCAGTTAACTAATTGAATTTTCTAATAAGTATGTATTGATTGCTGCTTCTCCAGAGCAGCTGCTCGTAGTTTGCACTCCACGATGCCTGCAGGCGGCCTGTCTAGGTGAACCCCTTCTGCATGGAGAAACACTGCCACTGGCAATGCTCGCTCGTTTGCTCTGCCATAAAGCAGATAAAACAAACTTTACATGAACTCATGAAATTTTAAAATTACATCATATTTATGTATCTCTGTGTGGCGTGTTCGTGGCGGGGGTGGCCTTATTACGAGTATTGCCATGACTCCTGGCCTTAGTCCTCCTCCTCCGCTTCACCTGCCAACCTGCAACAGGCAATAAAATGCCCGCAGCTCCTCAGTTACTGAAACTTGTTTAAAAATTGCAAATGAAAAGGAAAATATTTGTTGTTTTATTTTTACTTTATTCAAGTTTATTCCTGCTGCTTCTTTTTGGCAACTTTACAGGTCGCCCCTGCAAATCTAAAGCTTCCAGCGAGTTCAAAGCATCTTGAGAATTTGTTATGCCGTTGTAAGGCAATAAAATTAGTGAGCATATGAAATGAAGTCGTCTGGCAACGCGGCGTATGCTTGATATCGTTTCGAGTTGCTCATACGCCGTGTGGCCCAAGTTCTGCTCTGCTTTGCTCTGGTTGTGTGTGTGTGTCTTTGGTTTCGATTCAATTTTCTTTTAATTTGTAAACTTTCCCCGTGTCCGTGTGGGCGGTGTGTGTGTGTTGGCTTGGCCGTAGATTGCCCTGTTTTACGGTTCTACTGTCCACGGAATTAATGCGGGCCCGAGCAAAAGAGGATAAGGATGGGATGGGATGTTGCCGGGGCGGATGACGAGGCTCGAACCCATCTATTTATTTGCTTTCGGCCGGCCAAAACCATAAATAACGATATGATAGCGCCTGACTGCGTCTGCCATTCCATTCGGTTCGATTTAATTCGCCATAGCCATATCCACCGCCTCGTCCCGCTCTGCGATGCGATGCCATTCGATTCGATTCGTTTCGATTTAATTTGTCTGCCAGCTGACGGCGCTGACTTCTGACTTTTCTACACGCTTCGCTGACCGGGCTCATTCATTCATAAACTGCTACTGCTTCTGCCTCCTTCCTGCTTGCCCATAATTTTTATTACCTTTTTTCCGTATGTCTTTGTACATTTCATTTACGTGCCTTTTATCACGCAGTGTGACACTGTCATATGGCATTGGCTTTAAGTATTTTAATTGATTCTAAAGATAAGAGTGTTGGAAATCGAGGGAAAAGTCAGTTATTGATATTTGGAAAGACTTTATCTATGGAGAAAGGTCTAATTTCTATACAAAACTCGGAAGAAGGCCAGTTGTAATTGTCACTTTCGTAGCTTCTCAAAAAGGTAAAGAAATATATTATTTTTTTTTTTGCTTATTTACGTGGAATCTAAATGAATTTCAAATCACACAATTTGCATATTTGCATGAATTGAGTTCGAGGAAATCGCTGAAAAATAAATGCAGGATAATGGCTTTGCTTACCTCATATTAAATGTATGTATTGAGCTGAAAGTATGACACTAATAAAGTGAAGAAATTACAAAAACTAAGATTTATGCTTTTATTAAAATATTACTAACTAAACAAGAAAGAAAGCTAACTTTGGCCAGCCAAAGTTTGTATACCCTTGCAGGTAACAATTAAAATATATCATACTAAGCCAAAAATTCATTAATTTCGATTCGGAAAGCAGTTTTGTGTTAGTTTTTATTAATTTAAAAAAACTGCATACCAAATTTAAAATTTTAAGAAATCAAAATTTTTGGGCATTTATGCTAATTTTAATGATGTTACCCCTTATAAAATTTTTCAAAAATGGCCAAAAAATCGATTTCTTTCTGACATATCTAGAAAGATTCCCCTGTTGATGCTGATCAAGAATATATATGGTTTATGGGGTCGGAAATGAATCCTTGACTTAGAAAAATATTATTTTGTATTATAAAATCGGATTTTTTATATTAAAAAACTTCTTGATTTTTTTTAAAATTAAAAATAGCATAACTCGGCCAAAAGAGCATTAATTTTAAATCGGAAAACTGTTCTGTGCAAGATTTTCTACAGTTAATAAATCTGCATACTTCATTTAAAAATTTTGAAAATTCAATTTTTTAACAAAATCAAAAATTTTAATGATGTAACCCCTTATAAAATTTTGCAAAAATGGCCAAAAAATCGATTTCTTCCGGACATATCTAGAAAGATTCCCCTGTTGATGCTGATCAAGAATATATATACTTTATAGGGTCGGAAACGTCTCCTTCACTGCGTTGCAAACTTCTGACTGAAATTATAATACCCTGCAAGGGTATAAAAATACAAGTAAAATAAAGGCGTTACCATACCCTATTTACTGAAAAAAAATCAAGCAAAGAGCAAATTTTTCTTTTTCAATATTTATTCTTTCACAATATAGTGTCAAAATACCATTATTAAATTCAAAGTCACAATATGCATAGTGTCATAGCACTATTATTATTTTCCAGGCCACAATGTAGTGTCATAATATCATTATTATTTTCCATGCCACAATCAAGTGTCATAACACCATTATTACAAATGACACCTACTGTGTTAATAGATTGACATTACAAATGCCAGTGCAGTAATTCCATTATTATTTATTCAAGAGCTCAAAAAATACTATTAAAATCCACAAGTAAATAATTGAATTCTCACCAGGACTCCGCAGTGATTTCATTAAGGCCTCCTGTTAATCATAATGTCTGTGATGGATGCAATTAATATTACAAGGAAATGGAAACAATTTACAGCACTCTCTTCCTCATTATTATTACTCATTCATGAAGCAAGCAATTTTAATTGAAAATTATCATGTAGGTACACGATTTCATTCCGATTGACAATTAAAAATAGTGGAGAAAAAAGCTCTCCTGGCTCGCAGCTCCCACACACAACAATAGAGATTACTAATCGACCGACTTTGATGGCTCGAACAATGCGCATGTTTTGGATTGCATGTCCATCTTCGTTGGCCTTCTCAACTTACCCTTCCCCCTGGTTGCACACATGCCGATTGCCAATTAATTTTCATTTGTTTGGACACTCCATAAATCATCCAAGCGGTGGCTAGCGAATATTAGGCATACGCCCTGTTGCACCACCGCTAAAGACTCCTCCTGACTGTTATTATTTACATTGGTCAAAACGGTTGAAATGTTTACTTCGGCGGCAGCCAATTGTGGCGCATTTAAGGCCAGATTAGTCGCCTTTCCATTGGCTCCAAATGACATGGATGCTAATTACCATTATTATTATTATTATTATGATCATCATAATCATCGTGATAAACAGCAGCACGCGCTCGTCCAAATAATGCGCTTGTTTGCTAAGGCCCATAAATAAATCGCTGCTTCTTTTCGTGTTTCATGGGTTGTGGGTTCTGTGGAGAGGGAGCTTAAGATTGTGGCATGACGACTTCTGTGGCCAGATGTTTGGCCATTTCAGGATTGAAGGCAAATATTTGCACGCCGTAGGGAGCAGAGGGTAGGTGGATGGGTGGGAGTTGAAGAGATTGAAATAACTAAAGGGAATAGGGAGAGTAGAAGGGCAACTTGCAGGATCTGATTTCTATTTAATTGAAATTTTTTTCTTACAAGAAATAATATTATTTACTTATGACTTGGTTTTTTAGATATCTCACATTAATTATACTAGATAAAATGGAATTTAAAGTAGTAAAACTTGAATTTATACATAAAAATTACTTAAAAAACAATTACAATAATTCAGGAAGAGAAAAAGAGAAAGATTCTTTAAGAATTCCGGCCAGAAGAGAAAGGCAGAGCACCCACCTGAAATTGTTTAGTCAGATTCCTTTGCTGGCAAGGTGGTGCAAGTGCACCTGCTGCTTGTACCTGGCCCTGGCCAGAGATCAAAGTTGTTGCGGGCTATTTATAGACCATAATTAACCAGAGAGAGAGAGAGAGAGCGGGCCAGCAATGCAAGATGGCCCACCTGCATACCGAAACACTTGACGAGCCAGAAGCCATGACATTATCCATGGTCCATAGCCGCCATATGCAGGGGCACAAATGCCATGTTATCTCCCTCAACTTGACATTGACAAAGCTCCTCCTGCTCCATCTACTTCCAGCTTTGTGCGTGCGATGCTGCGCGATGAGATGTGAGATGAGATGAGATGGGATGAGTCGGCGACCCGTGGAGCAGCTCGCTGCCATGGTATTTGTTCATTAATAAATAACTTGACACTCTTTGTTTTAATCACTGTGTGGTGCTGGCTGGCTGTTTGGCTGGGCTCCATTGAGCAGGTACACACCGCCGTCGCCAGGTGAAAACGTACTATGTACTTGGGTCTGGTTTACACATCTGTCACAGTCCTACGCCCTTCCACAATTAACAGATAAAGTTACGGCCGTCGTCCTAGTTTAATTACTCTTATTCCGGCGACCTTTTGTATCTTAATTGTTGCAACGTAATGATTGTGCGTGACTGCTGATTTTACATATGACTAAGGAGTATATATATATATATGTGGCATATGGAGATGAGGAACATGGAGTAATTAATCCATCCTTAGAAATTCAGAAGATACAAAAGGTATTTTCTTTTGTTAGGTTGAAGTTCATGACTTAATTACCAAAGGTTAAAGTTATATTAATACTTGAATGATACAAAATCTAAGCTAGAAATCTCCCCTTTAATAATGCATCTAAAATCGTAAGAGAATTGTCTAAATAACTAGCGGTGTAAACATGGTCAAATTATCATCTTCATATCAAGACCCATTTAATAGCTTTTTCAAAAACTCGTTTTTACCCGTGTGAATCGGAAAGGTTATCTGTGCCCTGCAATCTTCATTACGACAACAGCTTATGGCAAATATTATCGGCGGGGCTGGGAGTTATGGCAGCTAATGGGGATCTAATGGGGGTGACGATGACGACGACGCTGTAATTGATCGGGTTTCGCGTTCGCCCCCAAATTATATTGACAGACGGTCTGGAGCGTTCAATTACTGGGTATTTGCCGCCATTCGGAGAGAGAGGGAGCTTCACCTCTTTTCTGGCCATCACCACCCACTCTGGTGCCACTCTTGGGGCTGTCCATAAAGATTGTGCTGTGGGTTATCTATCTACATTTAATCTGAGCCCACTGACACTCCCACCATAAAGCAGACTCACTCCTCACCCCCACCCAGGGTCACGTGAGTGGCTCATGCCTTATTTGAACAGATTTTTATTATAATTTGTATACAGTAAAAGATGAAAACACCTTTCCAGAAAGTTTTCCGCGCAGAAATGAAGAGTGTTTAGTGATCTAGTATATATATTTATTTATTTCCCTCAATCAGTACAGCAGCACCCTTGGGGATGCTGCTCTTTGGGTTCAGGGTTCTCGCCTCTCGGATCTTTTCGACTCTCCAGTCTTTGCTTTATCTGATAAACGAAGATATGAAGAACGTTTCCCCTATACATTTTTTTTCTTGCACCCACGCTGGCGGTTTATTTGTCCAGATTCCATTTAATTGCGCATCGTCCGCATCGTTCGAGAGAAAGTGCCAGGAGCGGAGACGCCTCGCTGACAGGTCCTCCATCGCCATATTGCAACGCATCGCTCATCCGTGGAGGAGGAGCCAGCCAAGCCTCATGGCCGACGACGATTTGCGGGCACTGGTGGATAGCCTGGATGACGCCTCGCAGGAGGATTTGGCCAACGTCATAGCCAACTTCTCGCTGGACATGCTGCAGCGGGCCAGCGCCCTAATTGGCGCCCAGCAGCCGCACAGTGGGGCGCTCCTCGTCAACCGCACGCAGCAGTGTCAGCACCAGCAGGAGCTGGAGGAGCTCCAAGCGGCGGCAGCCGGTGGCAAGCGGGTGAGTTGTCCTTGGTGCTCCCTCTATATATGTTATATGTATATATATTCCACTAAGGAGGAGGATTTAGTTTCCCAGAGGGACCGCAGCACATAAATTCCCAGACAGTCCCAGTCCCAGTTCCTCTATTTAGCCAAGTTTATATGTAAAAACTAATTAGAGCCAGCGACTAGTAAGTTGTTTGTTAGCCAATCCAGGAACTCGGCAATTTTACGCCACACTAAACCGTTTCATGTACTTAATTATAAGCTGCTATAATCGTACATATATGGATCAATAAGCCACCTAATTGATTTATCTGTAAAAGAGGCTATCGAGGGAGTTATTAATTTAATCATTCTTCGAATGCCAGTATTAAGAAATAAAGCAATTAAAGCTAAGGTCAATGGAATATGAGCTTGGGAAATGCTTGAAAAATTAATAATAGCTCCAAGTCATATTTAGACATGGAACCACAACAAAGTTAATAGATTTTAGATCGTTATCTGTCTACAAGAACATTGAAAAGTTTGAAATTCTTCAAAGATTTAGATTGTTGGGCCTATTTTTCATTACAAATATTTTTTTAATAAACTTCAAAGCTTCAAATAAATGTTTAAATGTCTTGAATTAAAGATTTCCTGCAACTTTCCCCATACAATCTTCCTAAAACAATAACTAAAGCACTTAAAAATGTCTGAAAAATAATATAAATTGCACTTTTCTACAAATAAATTCTTGAAAATAAATAAATAAATATCATGCTTTACTCAGCAAGTCATCTCCATCAATTCATCACATACAATCAACATTTTTACGAAGCCAATCATAACAACAATCGCCAAAGGCAACAAGCCATCCTATAAATATTTTTTAATTACCCATTGTTTTAAAGAAACAATTGATTTTTTCTGGGCCATTTGAACGAAATTTACCAATTAATCGTTGGCGCTAATTGATCCATATTCTTTCTGGAAGAATAATTGCCTTCCCTCCCATCCATCCATCCATCCATCCGGCTGTCAATCTCTGTTCCGTTGGGAAACCTAGGCAGCACACAGCGGTCTTTTGGATTAATTTTTGTGCAAATATTCTAGGCAAATTTTATTTCCGGAAAATGCAAACCCCCAATAAATATTTATTTATGTATTCCTCTTGGCTGTAAACAAAATAAAAGCCAAGGAAACCCACTTGAGGCTGCGTTTTGCCATTTTTGTTTATCGTTCATCCCGAATTTATAAATACGATCAAAGGGGCAGGCACAGCGACCGGCAAGTTTCAAGGGCGTTAATTCTGTGGACACAAATATTAAGTTAATATAGCTGACTAATGAGTGAAAATCAAAAAAGCAAAGACAAATATTGGAGCGGAATTCCCCCTCATGTTTGGCTTATTCGTTGACAACTCTCAGTGTCGCGTGGCTAAGTCCGATCGCATTAGCTGTCAGCCAAGAGCTTTAGCTTATCAGCGGAGAAGACAATAAAAGAATTGAAAGGAATTCCTTGGCGATTCTCCAGGTGCTTCGGTATTGTGCAATGTCAGCTGATAAGGCCCATAAAAAATATCAATGGAAGCTCAGACGCCGCCGTCGACCGATCGTGTATACTTAACATTAATATTATAAATATATATATATTCCATATATCTGTATATCTGTGCGAAATAAACAATTTCATCGCCACTGCAAATATATAAATAACAGCGGGTGATTCTCTGGTATATATATAAATGTACATATGCATATTTGTAGAATTTTTGGAAATTCTGTTGGGTTCCGAGTGCGTCAGAACTATAAAAGTACAAGCCCAGCAGCGAGGGCGCTGGAGATGAACACATAAAGATACTATGTCAGCTGGAACGCATAAATCGGCTGTACAATCGGTTTTAATGGGATTGAGTTAGGTCGGTTCCGTTTAGCCAGGGAGAGAGAGAGTGAGAAACTTAATGACCGTGCAGCATCAGCATCATTAAAAGGCTGAAAATATTTATCTCAGCCTTTGGAAACTATGTTTTTCTTGGCCCCCAAACTATAGTCAGCTGTGTGTTTTTTTACAGATTTTACAATGTCCCAGTTCCTTCGATTCCGTGCTGTGTTGGCCCCGAACCAATGCTGGGAGTCTGGCAGTTTTGCCCTGCTTCGAGGAGTTCAAGGGGGTGCATTATGACACCACAGGTAAGAGGGGTTTATCTTTCAATTAATTTTAAAAATATATATATATTTGAAAAACTAAATATATATTTTAGAAAATGCCACTCGCTACTATATATATATATATATATTGGCTTTACACTATGTGTTTTGCACTATTTAGTTGGTGTGGCTTTCTGGCTGCTATGTAGTCCTCGTCGTCGTTGTTGTCACTTAACCAGTTAATTTCCATTTCAGGCATCGCGCCTCCAAAGACTACTCGCTGAGATCGCGAACCGAAAGTCTCCGGTGCGTATACGCAATGCTCATGTATATGCTTTCCCCTCTAAACACTAAACACTAATATACCCAGAGCTAAATTGCACTCGTTTCGCTTACTAACACCTGCTGTAGTTTATTTCCTTTCCAATATACTATTTGATTTATCTGCATGCCTGTCTTTGATGACTCTTTATTATTTCGTTTCTCACCTGGGTTCTTTTCCGTTTTGTTTATCCTCTTTCTTGTAGACTGACATCAACAAGTCCCGTACCCACCGGACACTATGAATGAACACCACCACACCGCACACAATTATGTATACGACACAGAGATTTCCCCCCACAAACTATATATTACATTAGAGCATGCTTATTATATATATTTTGTTGGCCATAAGTATTTTTTGCATGCTATAGTTTACACATTTAGAGCTCAGATTAAAGTATTATATTTTTTATAAACGATTTATTGTTGTCTCTTGTTTGCTGTCATTAATTATTGTTGATTTTCAGCACGGAGGAGTGTGTGATCTGCCTGCGGCCATCTCCCCACACGCGGCTGGGATCCTTGCAGCGTTACCACAGCATCGACATCTCAGATTTTGTTTAGTTTTCTTTTTGGTTATAGTATTTCTAATAATTTCTATAAATTAAAATAGCCCATGAAGTATTATGGAGGTCCTAGGTGCGAAGTAGATCAGATCAGACTTCGTTCAGGCAGGCAGAAGGGGTTCGTAGGATGTTTCCAAACATCTTCAGATCTTGGTGGGTTCTGTCCTTAGCTGAGATTAAGAGATCAAGAGATTTCCTTGTCAACTTTATTAATTTTGTTTTTCCTTTATATAAATATATTTATTTTGCTAAAAAATTACTTTGAATGCTGACCTTGTGCAAAGAGCTACAAAAGCCAACAGTTATACTGTAAAGTGACTTTAATTTTAATAATTTGCTAGATTTTATTTATTAATTTTAATCATTTGTTAGATTAAAACCCCAAAAAAGGAACCAGCTTAGACTGGACTTGTAGTAGTTTTTATTATCGAGAGTGACTTGGAGTTACAGCAGAAATTGTTGTTAAACTAATGTAGGTTCATGATTTTCGGTATCTTTTTGCTTTTGATATATCTTATAGTAAGATCTTAAGTACGAAAACAAGTGGCTAACATAAAGCTTACATTCCAAACATTCCAAAGGTAGAATCATCGAGTTATCGAAAGGAAAACAAACTGTGAATACCCCCCATTTTATGTTCAGTGTAGTCTAGATTAGCTACTAAATTACTAGTCATCGAGTTAATGTGTATGAGTGTGTGTGTTAGTGTTAGTTGGGTGTGCCAATGCGTGCAAAAAACTTGTCGTAACGATTAATTTTTAATTTCTAATTCTAAGTTTTACTCATTTTTAGCAGTTTTTTCGTTTTACTTTCTGATTCTTAAGGTCACATTGTTTATATCACTGAAAATGTAATTTAATGTATACTATATAACTTAAGGCAACGCGAAATAAAGTGTAAAAAAACAAACACAGGTAAAAAAAGTGAAAAAGATCATGTCTTAATAATAAATGTTCTGCGAATAAAGCTTTTTTTGTTCAAATTATATCAAAAGGTTGCGTAATTTCTTAATTGTTTTTGATCCTTTTAAATACTATGTATTAATATATATATATATCGTAAGCCTATGTCTGTGAATTGGATGCGTATGAAATCTACAACTAAATCTATGAACTATGAACTATGAACGCTAATGTTCAATGTCGTCACCTGCATTCCATCAACCTCGACTTGATTCCCTACACTAGGTCATGTCTGCAATGTGCGCTATAATTCGAGATGAATTGTACTAGTTATGGGTGAGTGAGTGAGTGTTTGTATAGTTTGATCTATGTAAACGAAATTCGAGTCATGGTTTATGCCAGAAACCATTTCAAACAGTCCTCGTCGCCTGCTCCGAAGCCTAGGTATCCGTATAAAATAACAATTGGACTATCAACTAACTAACGCACATTTCGGGAGGGGTTGGTTTGGGATTTCGGGTTTACTTTCACTTCTTAGAGGTAATATCAAATGCATTCGCCGGGATTCTGGGCGCAATATTTGGGAAACAGAGCCTCCGCCCGTATGCCCAGCTCCACGAGGCGATTGCGGAACAATGAGATACGGCGGAATACGTCCGGCGGCACTATATCAATATCATGATCATCGCTGGGATCCGACCACAGGCGCTCAGCCAAAGCAGCAGAGCGTGGCCACAGCCGATTATCCAGCTGGTTCTCGTCCACCTGCTCCGTCCACATGCAGGCTTCGCCGCCCAAGACCTACGCACAGGAAAACCATTATTAATAAAAGTTATATATTAAATGAACTCCCAGAAAATCTTACCTGCTTCCTGTGCTTCTTGTCCAAACGCATCCTTTCCCAAGGCCTATGCTTGTAGACATTCTGCCAGGTGCGGTAAGGAGCACAGGCAGCATCTCCCGTGGCCCGCCAACTGCCGAACCCACAGTCCAAATACCAGGCATCCACATGAGAGAAAATCACATTGTAGCCGTTGTCCAGCAGATCATAGTTCTCCTGCCAGGTGCTACCGCCCCACACCTGCACGGCAAACTGGCTGTGCGGAAGACACTTGGTGTTGGTCAAGGCGCTGGACCAAACGGCCACATACTTGGGCGCCACGCCATTGTTGGCCAGCTTCAGTCTATCAGGGAAGAAAATCAATTAAAATCTAAAGTTTATGAGGCTAAAAGAACACCCGCCCTCACCTGGCCATCGCCTGCAGCATGAAATCACACCACAGACCCCTTAGATCTGTGTCATTGAAGTACTGCGCCCAGCAGTCAAGATTCACCTCGTCGCCGCCCAGATGGAAGAGGTCCGTGGGCCCCGTCTGCTGCAGCAGCTCCTCGTAGAGGCGTTGCAGTATGAGGTAGGTGTGGTTATTCTTCGGATTCAGCTGTCCGCAAGGCGGTTCACCGCAGTAGAAGCTCCACGGCTGTTGGTTAATGCACATGGCCAGCTCGCCCAGGCCACGCTTCGGTCCCCAATCCCAGCCATTGCCGGCATGGGCCGGAGCATCAATCTCCGGGATGACCTGAACACCATAGATCTTGGCAAACTCCGCCACCTCGCGCACATCCTGCTCGGTGTAGGTCTCGCTCTCGGAGTAGGCACCATGCTCAGCCAGCTCGGGATAGTGGCGTGAGATGTAGGGAAAACTCTGGGCATCCGTTAGATGCCAATGGAAGCGATTCAACTTGGACAGGCCCATGGCCACAATCGTTCGCTTGATGGACTCCACCGAGAAGTAGTGCCTCGAGGTGTCCAGCATCAAGCCACGATATCGGAACTTTGGAGCATCCTTCACCTTGCTGTTTGCGTAGGTGTGCAGCAGGCGATCCTCGTCGTCAAACCAGATGAGCTGCTGCAGTGTGGAGAGGCCATGACGGGCTCCAAAGTACGAGTTGGCTGTGATCTCCACCAGCAGACGGTGTCCTTCGGCTGTTAAAGCATGCAAAATAAAGGAAAATATTAGAAAAATAAATAAAAGATCCTTCTAAAACACAAGTTACTCACTGCTGGAGCTCAGCTGATAGCTCTCATCGTTGTCCAAACTAAAGTTAATGTCTCCCGATTTGTGCACACTGATCTTGATCTGCAAACTGGACAGATCCCCGGCCTGCCTGACGCCAAAGGTGGCGCCAAACAACGTGGCTGCTGGGCTCTGCGAATCCACATGACGCCTTAACTTGGAAGAGGACTCGCTAGCCGCTGATTCCGAGGCAGAGCCGCCGTAGTCCAACCTTTGGATCTGCCGCAGATCTTTCAGAAACCAGTCAAAGGCCAACTGCAGCTGCCTGCGCACCTCCCGGTGCGATGTGTCCACCTGCAGTTGCACATCCTCCACGGAGAAGCTGTGCGTGTGCTGACTGAGCTGGGATTTATGGGTGGGATGGGGCCAGATGTTGATGTCACCGCACGTCATGGAGCAGCTGATGAACGAGACCCGCTTGCCGGACTTGCCGTGATGGCTTACCCGCAGGCATCGGTCACTCTCGCACTTGTACGTCCAGGACTTTTCGACGGGTCTGCCCGAAATGATGAAGAAGGATTACAACTTGGATTTCAGCAGCTTGATTGGCACATAGACACACTCACATGGGAAAGGCACTGCCATCGCGATGGTTGTGCGGACGTTCCAGGGCCTCATTGTAGGCCTGGACCTTGGTGGCTCCCTGATTCCAATAGAGCACCGTCAGGATGAAGATGGCGCCGGAGAGCAGCGCCAAGAGAGCTCGGCGTAGCGAAACGGCCAGGGACATCTTATAGAGATAACGTAGGCTGGAAAAAGGGTAGAGAATGGAGGGTTTATTAATAATCCGAGTGGGGAAACTAGTTTTTCAAATCAATTAAAATTTTTATAAACAAAATACAAAAGCTTTAATTAATCTTTAAAGTGTTATTTTTAACCCATTGTCCTTATTAATTATAGTGAAACTTTAATTACACTTTACCCTTGGGGGTAAACTGTTTTTCCTCGAACCAGATTTTCCCCCAGCTTTAACTCCTCCCTCCCACTAGTTGACATCATCATCTGTTTTGGCTCTGGTTCAAAGAACTGAGACAGTTAAGCAATAATGCACAATAGCTGGTCGTGTCACAGGGACCCTTCCTTTTGGTCCGCCTTCCTTCATTTCGCCCGCTCTCTGTCACGGAGGACACATCGAACTTTAATCAATGCTCGCGACTTGGGCTTGACGAGCGATAAAATCAAAGGAAACCCAAGCGCAAGGAGTTGGGGCCACAGCCACATGCCATTTAGTGGCAATTGTTTGTTCTTCGCGACCGCGACTGCCTTCGCCCTTCCAATAACAACTCACACGCACACATGGCACACCATACATCCCCACCTTGGGAAGCACGCAAAGGGAATTGAGGTCTCCTGGTGGCGCCTGGCTGGGGCAAACATAATGAAAAATCGAAGACACCTCCGCAGAAATACAGAAACATAAGTTGGGGGTATGATAAGGCTCACCTTAGTTTGCTGAAAGATTTCACATAGTTGGATATAAAACCCATAATTCTTGAGTAATTTAAATATAAAAAAACTTGATGGAATACTAAAGAATACAAGATCAAAGGTGTCAGAGTCTGCTTCTTCAGTGGGTTCCTTGGGCAAGGTAGATAGAATACTAAACCCCACAAAGTGTCCCAAGTAAACACTTTTTTCTCAGCAGTTTGTTTGACCTGTTTAACCCGATTTTAACCTGCGTGTCAACCCCTAAACACCTTCCTTTCAACTGTAATCCCCATACCCATATCAGGTTTATAATAAAAACCTATAATTTAACGTTTTATGCTGCTTCCTTATCGATTTCAAATCAAATTACTTAACAAATGAGTGGAGAATCGAGGACCCGCAAACCCAAATATGATTTTATACCTATGTATATATATGTTATATATTTTTAGGGCGGTCTCTTTTAAACTTTTGCATAGAGGAACGGAGAACGAGGGCGAGGGCAAGACCTTGCCACCAATGGAGAATGGTACCAGGTGCCAGGTATCGTGACTTCCAGTTTGAATATACGTACGAACACACCTGTAAATGCAGTGCAACCTTTGCGTGCCGTGCGACTCCCGACAATCGAAGCTGGGCTTGGGTGAGACCTTAAAATTTTCATTACGCTTCATGTGAAAATATGAAATACTTTTGCAGGTCATGCAACAGAGAGAGGTGAATTCTACTTTTGCTCCTCGTCTCCTCTTCAGTGTTGCCACCGGCAACTGGAGGTGGAGGAGGTTAACTAACGCTGGCTGCCATATAGTGCTCCACCATTGCAATGGACGACGTGTGCTCTTTGCTTGTGGCCTGGCCCCATCATTACCTTGATGGTCGTGCATAATAAATCAACAGGCATGCATAATTAATGCCTGCCAATGCTTGAAAACGAAGGCAGTGCGAGGGGTCGAAAGGATTGCTGTGACTGTGACAGCCTCATTAGTTCCCGCACGGCGACTGTCAAAAATATGTTGTATAAAGTGTAGCATACATTGCAGCGCTTTCATGGGGGACTTCCCCTGGCTTTGTGCTTATAAAATACGGTACAAAAGTGGGTTAGAAACTGAAACGGACTTTGAATTGGAGCGTCTACAAGGGGCAGGTTGGTTGTAAATAATTTTTTATATTTTTTATTAAGACTTTATGGGGTTTTAAGCCTTGTAAGGAAAAAAGAGGTACTGAAAACTGACCCGAAACTCTACTAAGATTTACCTTTTACTGTATCTTTTATAAATAAATAGAAATAAAACCTTAATATTAATGTTGAGTCTTTCAGAATGCTTTTTATATTTTCCTAAATAATTAAAAGAATTTCTCTAGTCATAGGACAAAGCAAAATATGGGGATTGAAAATATATAGGGCATTCATTTTAGGCATTAGGTCTAATATCTTCTAAAAAAGTTTTAAATAAATTAAAATACGTATTTACGCTTCAATTGGTAAACCCTTTAGCAGTTATAATAATTTTATACTTCTCCCAGATTCCCCATTTATAAATACAACCATTTGTTGCCCCGTTTAGCCGACTGTCACTTGGGGTTTACACCACACACGGTGGCTTTTTTGGTTGCCTGGCTTGCTTACCCGCAACGCGTGCGCAGAGCGGCCCCCGAAAGTGACCAGAAGCGGCCGAAACTATCCATCATCATCGTTGGGCCCCCGCATCTCCCTGGCACGGTGTCACCCTAAAGCTGACCCAATGCTGCTGCTCCTCCTTCTCCTCCCACTACTCCTCCTTCAGGGAGACGCTCTAATGAGTCACGTTGCCAGCTGCCAACTGTTGAGGGGCGGCGTGACACACAAAAACGTGGCTGCCGCCCGTTTGTGGATGCTTCTGCTCCTCCTCCTCCTCCTGCTGCTGTTGCAGCTGTTCCCGCGGTGTCGTCCTCCTCCTGAATTGACAAATTTTCTTTCACACAAATCTAAAATTATGCCAGAAAGATGGAAAACTAAAATTGTAGCAGCAGCAGCAGCTTTTGTGCGCCATTCACGGCCGTCGAGCGGCAAGAACAACGTGCTCTTCAGCGCGCGCGACACTCGAGGTGCAGGCAACAACTACGACCGTGCGGAGAGCCCGCCCAACTGCTGAGCCGCCAACGTAGCGCGGATTTCAAGACGCTCCAACAACGCCGTCACCGCCGACGCCGCCAACAAACAGTTGGCACAACCAAAAACACACACAGGACGACTGAGAGAGAGAAAGAGAAAGGGCGTGCACAGAGAAAAATGGATACTAATTTGCATACTGAAGAGAAATATATACAAATTTTTAGCAAGTAACAATAGGAAATCTAAGGGATTGCTATAAAAATTTTGCTGGATAATTTAATAGTTTAGAAAGATAAACTTGGTATTGAAAAACAAAGAACAAAGCCAAAACAAGAAAAGAAACAAACTTCTGAAGGCTCAGTTTGCATATGATCCTGACATCCAATCAAAAATCGATCGTAACTAAGCCAAAAATGCATCAAATTCAATTCGGAAAGCTTTTCTATGCTAGTTTTTTCAAGGTTAACAAATCAATTTGAAATATTAAGAAATCCAAAATTTTTGAAATTTTTAAAAATTTTAACGATGTAACCCCTTATAAAATTTTGAAAAAATTACTCAAAATTTGATTTCTTTGCAGAGTGGCTAAAAAGACTCCCAGTGCAGAGAAAACTGAGAAAGTAAATGAGAGGGGCGACAAAAATGGCGTGCAACTATTTACATATGTTCTTGAACCAACTCAGGGCGACTGTGCCCGTGCCTGCCTGTGATTGTGTGCAGCTGGCTTGGGCTCTACCTATAGCCAAAGTCATAGTTACTGAGGAGAAGCTGCTCAGGGAACACAGTGCCGCCCCCGAATATTGGACAGGCACACTGAGGCCCAAAAATGCCCATTTAAATGTTTGTACGAGTGCGAGTGCGTCATAAATTAAAAGCAAATTTGCCAGAAATAATACGTGCATTTCAATTAGTTGCTAACGGCTGGCAATTATAATGATGATTGCATACGGGGGACGGGCAGAGCCGGGCCAGGCCGGGCCGGTGGTGCCATAAAACGTGGACCGATATGCAAATGGTCTACATTTCATTGAGGCATTTAGGCGAAACATTTTTGAAATTGTTTCCATATTGTTGCAGTTATTTTGAAATGAGAGTGGGGGGGCTATGTAAAAGGCTAACAAATGGGGAATATTGTAAAAATAATAAAAGAGGAAGAGGGGTCTTAACGCCTTTACAATGTCTACATTTAATGATGATAAAATTGAATTATTTCACGAGCAATTTTAGGTTTTGAATAGATGATAAATCATTTATTTAAACAAAATGTTTGGTTTATATTAGCCGAAAATTAAGGATACGCAATGTGAGCCTCAAAACTGACCATAAAAAAGGTATAGTAATGTAGTAAACTTTAAAAAAAAAACCCCTTTCTTTATAATTTGGTTTAAATTTTAAAGTTTCTGAGATAAATTCCCTTTAAATTTATAAACGCATCACTCATACGCCACGTGTGCCCTGCAGCATGCCACCTGCATTGCTCAATATGTGCGACGCAGACTGTTGCCTCTGAGTCGCATTATTATTTATGGGCGCATGCCGTGAAAAATGTCAGTTGGCGACAAGTGTTGTTCAAATGGCATGCACGGTTGCCACAACAACAAATACAGTAGCAAAATGTGGCAGTAGAAGCAGCAGCAATCGCAAGCAGCAACAGCAAGCAGCAACAACAGCAATAATGACAACTCATACGAGCATACAAAAGCATTTTGGCGCTCAATTTGACGTGAAACGTGCAGGAACAGGACTTGAGTGAGTGAAAGGGATACAAAGGGAAGCTCAATACAAATAGCCATGCTTGGCCTTTGTCGTCGACTCTTCCTTTATCCTGACAACCCGCCTTCCTCCACAAGCTATAAAGAGAGGGAAAGGCAGTAGCTGAAAAATGGGCAACGCAACTTGTAACAGGCAAGCAGCAACATCAGCAGCAATAGCAGCAGCAGCAACAGTAGCAGCAGCAGGATAAGCAGTCGCAGCAACACACGAAGTGAAAAGAGCCCCAGCCGAAGTCGGGTTCATTCGGTTGCCAAGGCAACTTCGTCGGGGCACACACAACAAAAGGATAAGCCAAGCCAAAGTCCTCAGCCAGCCAGCCAGCGAGCGGGCGAACTAGTCAGCAAGTCAAGCCGGAGCTCAGTTGCAGCAGCGCAACGCATTTGCCCAGACGCACAACTCGCGATTCGCGGCCGAAAACTACTAAACAAAGTTACCGAAATAGACTTGTTCTTTTGCCTTGGCCATCGATCGTTGTAACAGTTACACAGAGAAAAAAATATTTATCGGTCTTCAATCAAATATATTCAATTAAGCAGAGTGATTGAACAATTAAATGATCAGTCTTGAAATCAATAATGATAATAAAGCAGAGTATAAATTATTCGAAAAATTAAATAAACCTTAAAGACAAAGGTGGTTAAAGGGGAAAAAGTAATTAAATTCAATTTATAGTGCTAAAAACCTGCAAAACTATCAACAGATACTAAATAGGATATCTCTCTTGAAAATATATTATAAATAAAAGCCAAAGCTGTTAAATATATAAAATATATTAACCCTAAAATAAAAGAAAATACCTTCACCAAAAATATCAAAACAAATTAAAGTGTAGTGTGTCAGTTAGTGTGTGAACCTTGGTGTTGCCTGGTCGTGCTAGTGTGTTGCCTTCGGGTCGTCGGTCGCGAGGTCTAACAGTCGCTGTTCGTCCTTGCTGCGGTCTAGGAGCCCGCACACACAGTCAAGAGGGTTAGTCACAAGTCCTGGGCTGCCAGCCCATTCTAGATGTGCCCAGCCCGAGGCAAAGGTGTGCGTGCTAATGGCTAGTGTAATGAGTGCTGCGCCGTGCTAATCGTTATGCAATCGCACCGTTTCGATTTGGACTTGAAGTCGCTGTGAAATGTCTCTAAAGCATTATGCAACTAAGGCGGGAGCGGGAGCACCAATGGCCTTCGGTCATAATCAAACAATCCCAACCACATCAGTTGCCACAACAACGCCGGGAGTTTCAACATCATCCGGCAGCGAGGAGGAGGAGCTCCTGCAGCAGCAGCAGCAATCCCAGGAGCATATCTCCTCCTCATCCTCGATTACCACATTTACCACCTACTATACCAGCGGCCTGGGGCAATATCATCAGCAGCGCGGCGGCCAAGGATCTGTCAGCTCCAGCGGCGGAGGAGGAGGAGGAGGACCTGGCGGACCCCAGACTTATGCAAATGTTGTCAACGGAAATGTGAATCTGCTGCTTGGCGGGTAAGTCTGACAGCTCCAGATCCAGTTGACAACTGATGGCGAGGCATCACGAGGAAGAGCCAAGGTGGGGCTCGTGGGAAATGTGAAAGAGTGGCGCACACATCATGGCTGCAACTTTTGGCAACTGAACTGGCTAAGCTAAGCATTCCCACAAGTCCTATCCTTCTGGCCATTAATAAATTAGAGTTGGCAACAAAGTTGGACGGACTTGACTTGGACTGAAATCAATCAAATATTTACATTTTTAAGGAACTTTTTTCTAGAAATTGTACCTTCGATCGATAGTGCCAGCTAAACCTATTTGTTTGGTGCATTTGTACTTGGGGTTAATTGTTTTTGATTACTTTAACAGGGCTGTAATTCGAGGCTATTATCTAGAGATATCTTATCTATTGATTTACTACTAACTGGAGATTAGGTAAAAGCTTTAACTGAATATTTATTATGGATAATTCAGTAATTTTACTGGCACAAGGGCTTAATTTGAGGCAGCTATGTAAGGATCGCTTATTTCTGGTTTAACCACTAAACTGAGGTTACTTGAAATCAAACTTTTACTAGCTGTAAAGTATATATATTTTAAATTATCCAGTAAACATAACTGATAAAAAGTCATACTGAAGAAAAACTATTCAAACAAACCATTTATATTGGCAAACCACTAACTAAAAATTCAATGGCTGAAATATGACTTTAACTACCTGCTAAGTATATTTTTTTAAATATTTATTTTCTTGTTTTGTTAAACCCTTAACCTGAGGTTAGTTAAAATCAACATTTTACCAGAAAATAATTATATATTCTATTGATAATTCACTTAACAAAACTGTAATTTGCAGTCACTATCTAAAGATCTCCCTTCCAATGGCTAACCATTAACAGGACTAGCTAAAAGCTGCATTTAACCACCCAGAAAGCACACAAAATCAACCAATCATTAAAAATGCTTAACAGCAGTTCGTAAATTGCAGTAATTGCCCCATTTGTAGACACACAAATATGCACACATATTTTAGAAGGATATTACCAGCACACAGCTCTCTCTCTCATAGATCATAATGCCCTGTTGTGCGCTCTTGATTTATGAGCTGGAGCTGCAAATTAATAAACATCAACATTTTAAGCGTCGTCGAGATGCGAGGCGGTGTCAAGCTGCCTCCGCTCTTTTGCTATTTTCAGGCGCAAAATAATAATTATAATTGCGCCAAGCCATTTCTCTGCCTTTTTTTTCGCGGAAAACCGAAGCATCCTTTTTCCCTTTGCCTAATAAAATTTATTTTCGTGTGCAACACGAGCTTTTCCCCACTTTTCCCCTCTCTCTTTTTTTTTGGTTACAAAATCCAACAACAACAAACAGCGCGTATTGTCAACACAGTTTTTTATAGTTTACTTCTTTTTGATGTCTGTAAACATCACGCGCCGAAAAAACTTTATTTTAACTACATTTTTATCGATTTGTCTTGGTGGGCAATTCATTGAAAATAGCCACAAATAAAAATGGGGCAAATTGGGGAAAGGGTAGAGCAGAAGGGAGAACCACATGCCGTTGTTGTCTCTCTGTGGAAGGTTGCCAGAAACTGGGCTCGAAAAGAGGTCCTTAATGAACTGTTGACATGCGAGAAATTGCGTGAACCGGGGGAAAATGAACAGCCAAAAAAAAATACAGAAAGAAAAACCAGGATGAGACAGGAGAGACAGAGGAAGAAACAGTGGAAGAGCGGAACGAACACTGGACAGACAAGTGGGACACAATGTTGCATTCTAAAGTGGATTAAGTGACGTCATGGAAATGCCTCGAGCAGCGAAATCGACACGAAACCTTTTTCCGGGCAAGGGACGGACTAAATAAACCAGTGGGTTTCAATAAACCCAACATGAATCCGACAGCCGACAGCGTTAAAAGGAAATTTTGATAACTGGCAATCAAGGCGGATAGTGGGGGGTATTTTCCTGATTTATTGATAAATTCCGGAAAAGTTTCTAGGGCTACCACACCTAAGAAAACGATTAGCGAATAATGGTACAGATACTGGAGAAATCAGGAGAGTTTAAATAAATTGTTAAAAGTGTTAAGAAAGATAAGTAAATGCTCAGTTAACTCTGTAAACTTTGATTAAAAAAACACAATTTAACAAACACTGCCAAGAGAGGTTTATCTTATAATTAAAATATTAATTTCCTAGCCAAATATCTGCCAAAACAACTCAACTAACTTGTTAATTTGCCTGTAAAACCACAAAACACATAGTTGTCTCTGTAAACTGCAATTAAATGCCACTCAAAAATTGATTTAAGCCAGAATTTTAGCCACAATTCTAAGCCAAGCAATATGTTTACCTTAGGTAGGCAATTAAATAAATGAAATTATAAGGTTTAGACCGCCTTTATGCCAATTATCTGCTTAAGGTAAACAATATACAGTTATATGTGGTTCACAGAAACCAAGAGAGTTAATGAAACTATCAAATTATGGCAACCATTATTGAAATTAGCTCAGGGAAACTATTGAAATTACCAAGGCGAAATTGTTAGACAAAGTGTGCTTGGCTAACCAGCAGCAAAAGGCTCTTCAAAACTCACTCTGCTGCTAGGAAGGTTAACTTGCCTAGTTTCTGGGTTGATTTAAAATCGTGATAAAGCCAACAAAAGTCTGCACTAACTAATTAAGGCAACATCATAACGTAAGAAAAGTAATTTCCGCTCTGGTGATGTATGAATCCAACACAATGACAACATTGTGCCAGATATTTAGGCCATCAATATGCAGGCTAAAATAAATAAACACAAACACAAACACAGAAAGAGACAGAGACAGGCATTTGCAATTTGTTTGACAAAATTAATAAATGCCAAAAACGGCATTAATACAATATTATCATGATGGCAATTTATCGAGGCCTGGCAATCAATTTCATTCCACCATGTGGGCCCGATATCCGTGGCATAACACACACTGCATTCATATTGCCATTTCTATTAGCCATTCCCATTCCCATTTTCCCATTTTCCCATTGCAGGGCCATGCTCTCCCTGGTGACAACCATATTGTGTGTGGTCTGCTATTGTTGCCATCGAAACATCAAAAAGCGAACAGAGGCCGCCTACAGGCAGCAGCAGCACCAGTGGCTCGAAGGCGATCCCAACATGGAAATATACAGCGTCGAACAGGTGAGTTGTGTTTATATATTAGTATCCATGTAGCTCGGGGTTCTATCTCCACTCGGGCAGGGGCTCGACTGGGCTCGGCTCATTGTGTTGTCCAACTGCCAGAATAACAAACGGATGATGTTAAAGGCTCCACCAATAGTTGAGGGGCCACAATGGAAACTGACAACTCGCCTCCAACGGAGAGAGAATCAGGAGTTGGTATTTAATTAAAGGAAACTAGAGAAGGTAGTTCAATGTTCAATTATGCAGGGGGTTTCAATTATATTTTGTATATATTTATGAAGCTAGAAATTCATTCAAATTAAACACAATTCTTCTTATAAAAAGAAAGCTCGCAATTGGAGACTGAGAAGCTGTCTTGTCCACTTTTCAAGTACAAAGGAGTACATATCATCATTCTACTTATTTATTTTTAATAATTTATATTTAGAAGCTTATTAAAGAGCTAATAGGTGTGAAAAATATATTAAAATATTAAATACCCAAAAAGACAGATCACCTTCCCCAACTAAATCCAATAAAATCCCCTCCAAAACCCCAATTAAAAACTAAAATCACAATTAAGGCTAAGCAAAGTATAAAATGAAATATTAGTAACCCAGTTTATAATACATTTTGATGACCCAACACCAATTGTGTGTGGGGAAAAGACAACCAACCACAGGCCAACCCTAATTATCCTTTTTCAAGTTTAAGCCAACATTTCATGAAGACAGTTTGAAAGTAAGTCAGAGGCCAGGCTGAAAGCAGGCCAGTAATGGATATTTATGCGGCGCATTTAACAGGTGCGACAGCCGCGAGAAAGTAAGGCCGAGCGACAATTTTCTATTGCCATTGCAAGTGGACGCCACAGAAGCCGCACACTTGGCCCTGGACTAGGGCTTTATTAAGTTACCAGTTACCGCCTGCGGCCCACTAATACCAGAAAAAAAAACAACCAAACACCCCCGGTTTGCCATCAGTCAGTTCATTGTTGTTTGTTGGCCCGCTGGGAAACGAAGGAGGAAAAGCAACAACAAAAAAATAGAGGAAAATGCCGGCAAAAGGCTCCACCGCGTAAATCAACGTTAGCCCGTCCAGGCGCCAAATGTCAACTGCGGACAGAATGAGGGGGAAGCCCATAGCCTGGCATGGGTTTCCTGGGCCTGGTGGTCAAGTCCTGGTTGTACAGATATATCTGTATACAGAGACAAATAAATTTATGATGTGTGCAATTTAAACTTTTTTATTTGATCGCGTAAATTTCACTTGCCCGCCGCATCTCCATTAAGAAGCTAAATTACAATTCGTCCAAGCGGAGATCAGCAATTACTCATGACCTTGAGGGAATTTGGGTTCTGTGGGAGGATAAGACTTATATAGAGAGTTTGGGTTTTAGGGAAAGTAAAGTATTATTTTGGAATTAAGTAGATGTAATATTTTTACTCCCAAACATTACTCTAAATATAATTTATTTTAGTTAATAATTATATAATTATAAAGGTAAATAATTATATCGATTTTAACTCCCCTTTCTTATCCCACTTTCCCTTATCTTCCCTTGCAGTGCTACGAGACTTCGGGCCTCTTCCTAGGCGACTCCACCGATGGCCTGTCTGCCGTGCCGGCCCTGCACCACGAGCCACCGCCCTCGTACGATGCTGTGGTGCTGCACGAGCAGCAGCTCCACCAGCAGCAGTTGGAGCAACAGCAGCACCAGCAATTGCAGCTGCAACTGCAACAGCAGCAACAGCTTCTCATGCAGCGAGTCTCACCGCCGCCAGGATACCGCTCCTCGCTGGACTTAAACTATCAACACCAGCAGCAGCACCCGGGGGCAGGCGGAAGCCGCGGTACCCCCGATGGCAGCGTGGATGCAGTGGCCAGTGGCAGTGCCGGAGGAGGGGTAGGTGGCGGCGGCAACGGACTCTTGGTCAATAAGCAATTGCAATTGGCGCTTAATGCCCAATCCTGCTGCTCCCTGCAACGGGCCGAGGTGGAGAGTATGTGGAATGCCGCGGCAGCGGCTGTGGCAGCCCGAAGCGGAAATTGCCTGGAAATGGAGGCCCTGCAGCCTGCAGCGGCACCGCCGCCGCCCTCTCTGCCACTGGCCCTGCAGGTGCGCAAGCCCGTCCAGAACATCAGGTTGAATACCTTTGGGCGGCGGTACCTGCAGCAGAGCCATCAGCACAGTGCCACCCACTACCGGCGGGGCTGTCCGCTGTGCGGCAAGTTCCGCTATGAGATCGAGGCGGAGGATGAGCCCCTGACCGCTCTGTCCGTAGAGAGCGGTCTGAATATGAGTGGACGACGTGAAGAGGAGGAGGAGAATCCGCCAAGCTGTCCCTGTCCCAGCGATTGCGATAATGGCAACCACATGGCAGCCGGCGATGCACAGCAGGATGAGGAAAATGGGAACGTAGAGGCAGCCGCCACATTGGAGGCAGCGCCTTCTAACGAACGCACTTCCTCCTCGCCGCCCCTAACCGCTGTCAACGATGAAAATGACAACGCAGCAGCAACATCAGCAACATTGGACACAACAGCAGCAGCAGCAACATCGGACAGAGAGGCAGCAACATCAACCGGCGGAGAGCAGGCCGCGGGCAATCATCAGAGGGCGGAGCAGGACGAGGACGAGGATTTGAACACCATTAACGAGAACGGCATCATCAGCCTGGACATGAGCAAGATAATTGACAGATCGGGCCTGCCCACATACGAGGGAGCCCTCAAACTGGAGTCCAGTGGTTATGTGTGAGCCTAATGGGGCGTCTGTAAACCAAAAACCTAAATCACAAGTGTGCTTTAACTACGATTAAGATGAGTTTCGATATTTAGAGAAAGAATATGCCTTTCTACAGACTAGAACTTGCCTGTAAGCCACCTTATTAGCTACCTTACAGCCCCCAGAGAGTCTTTTGTTTCACGAAAAGATTACTAAGAACCCACTAAAGTTACATGCACACTTCAATATAATGCCTTTAAAGTATTTTGTTTACTAGAGAGTTATTTTGAGAGAGGTTACCAAGGGGTATTTCCTTACCTAAGCTGGCATTCCGCACACAAATCTCTCTGGTAACAAAGGAAAACAATAATGTTAACGTTTAAATGTCTAGAGCTAAGCCCCCCCTCATCGTGCATATCCCTGTAAATGTTCGTTTCGAATATGAATACTCGTATCAATAAAGAATCAAAAGTTGTAATTGAAAGCAACAAGCAATGGCAACCTCAATCCGGTATCCGCAATCAGCAATCCGCAACCTTCGCAACCTTATTTACACATGAGTGCAGCAGAGGTTTTTTAGTTTTTAGTTTAGTTCCAACGCAATCCAATTGATTTTGTATTAAAAAAAAACACAGTCGGCGGTGGGGGAGCGCTATAAAAAACGAAACCAGAGCAAAGAATGGCATGCAAACAAATCGTCAAAGACAACGGGCTAACAAGCGCCAAGATAACAGAGACTACACAACACCAAACCATCCAACCACCCACGACCCCAAAACCCCCCCCTTCTAGTTTCCCAGCCTTCTCTGTGAATTTTCCGTTTTCCTTTTTCACCGCACTTACCTCAGACAGACGACGGCTTTGTGTCTCTGTCTGGATCGTTTGCATGATGAGAACGAGAGGGTTTTTATGTTTAAAAGGGTCACCACGTCGGCTGCTTGATGCCCTAAAGCTTGGGAGTTTTTTAAATAACAAAATTACTATTTTAATTTAGAGAATTTATAGGCAAAAAAGGTGAGTAATATTTTATTTGTAGTTTAAAGTCTCTTTGTAAACAAACAGCTTTCCTCATTTCACCGAAAAACCCCACTAAATACTTCACAAAATATCAAGTATACGCACTGTTTCGCAACTTACAAACAGAGTAACCTCAATAAAACAAAAGCACTTCACATATTTTGAAGACTCCACTAAATATCAAGTATACGCAAGACCTACCCTAATTTAGAGCAACTTCACAAAACAAGTATACGCACTGTTCGCCCACTTAAAACAACTTTTAACATGAATCAAGTATGCCAAGGGTATTAGAGTAGCAAATCGTTTACAATTGCGGATTCTGCTCTCGGTGTGGTCAAGCGGAGAGGCAGAAGAACTCTTGTTTTTACTGCTTGTACCTTTCATTTTGCCCTCGTGCCACATTGAAAATGGTAACAAGAAACTTGTTAGTGGCACTTCACAGAAGGAAGGGTTTGAATGCCGCCTACCGATTATGCAACCTTGAAGGGAAACTCAGGGGTGGGGCTACACAATTATGCACAGGCCTAGGATTACACTCGAGATCACATTCAAATCGCCACTTAAACCCCAATCAAATGCGGTTTATAAACGCTTTATTTGTGTGTGGGATGATTTCGTTTAACACTCTCGTACCGTCGTGTCAGCAGCATTTGAGACCGTTGTTGTTCAATCGTTGCTCTTCACGTGAGCTCTTAACCACCACCACCAACGTGGGCAATAAATACAAAGAATTTAATTTTGGTTTATTTATGGCCATGCCAGCGGCGATATTTTTGGGCCACGCATTAGCACTATTCCCGATTTCGAATCCGATTCCGCGCGCGCCTTTTGTTGATAATTGCAAACTGAATGCGTCTGCCGGTCTGATGATGATGTAGTGGCACAACAAGTCGCAGCCACATCTGCACCGATGCCGATGCCGCTGCCGAGTGGCAGCCACAGCTGAGCGGCACAAAGAGGTGGAAAATGATAGAAAAGAGAGCACCCCAGACGGCGGCTGCTAATATGTGCATGCCAAACAAAATAGAGCGGCGAACGAGAGCTGAAAATGAGACTGAACCGAGCTGAACTCATGGGAGAAATGAACGGGCACGGGAGATGGGGAAAGAGATGGGTATGGGGGTATCGATGGGTTTCGAATGGGCTTTAGGATGGTGTTTTTCCGCTGCCGAACCAAACTGCGCAGCACACCGTTTGACCCTTTCCACACACACACACACACAGCAGCTACAGCCCCTTCGATTTATTAATAAAACCAAAAGAGACACACGAACACGGGCGAGCCGTGGTGTGGCATGAGCTGTAGCACTCTGAGGTGTGAGCTGTGAGGCGACACAAGCTCTAGCACTAGCACTTTGCCAACAACTGCCTCTCGTATTTATAATTGCTGCAAATTGCCGCTTAGAAACTCATGTTCCTGCCGGGGCATCGGGCCAAACTACTCGAGCCACTTACGCCGATGTCATCATCATCATCATCATCGGGAGCATCGGCAGCATCACCATTCTAACAGCGTCATCATCATCATTATCATTGCTGGTAGTGAGTGCCAGGCACGTGCTTAAAAATAGACTATAATGGGTCACTAAATATAAAACCGTTTGGCAATTGGTGTGACCTAAAATTTCAGATATTCAAAATGTGTGAATGGAAGACGAACTCTTAAATGCTCTTAAATAAAAAAAAAAGTGAGATAAGAAGCAATTAAGAGCACTGCAAGAGAATACTAAGAAAAACAATAATTAAAGCCAGGGTTTCTTTCCTAGAAATTATTTATAATTAAATTTCTTATCTCTTAAAACAAACTGTGTCAGAGAGCAAAATAGCAATATAAGCTTGAAAAACAAAGTTTATAACGATTAAAAACGAATTTTTAATGATTAAAACATTGAAAAATAAATGTATTTATAAAACAAAAGAATTATTTTAAAAGAACTTTAAATTCTTTTAAAGATATCTTATTATTATATTTTATTCTGAAGCAAATTTATTTCTTTTCCCCGGAGCCTTTAAAACATTTTACCGATAAGGCATTGTTAAGTAGTGAATAGCTCAGGGCCGCGATATCGCTTCCGTTCCCCAGAACGCCGGCTGGAACCGCTCGAGTTTTGAATAACACACACACTCTCACAAAAAAAAAAAAAACAGTTGCAAACAGTAACTCAAATGCATTAAGATTACAACAGCAACAAATAAAGCCAGTCATGACGCAAGTGGGCCAAGCCACAAAGGAAAGACGAAAGCCGAAAGTAAAAGTGCAAATAGCAAATAGCCAAAAAATATGCCCGTACACGTACTGGCGCACTCACTTATTCAAAGGGGCCTCCAGTGGCGTAGGCAGGTTTTTTTTTTGGGAAAAGGAAAAGGTGAAAGGGAATAGGTTACTCTTTTATTTATTTATTAATAGAACCAAGAACTTTTTAAGTACATAAACATCAAATTGGTTTTGAAAAACTTATAATATGTAACACACTTCCAATTCAGAGACTTTTTCAAACGAACTCTAGAGACTAGGCTGAGATGATGGCCCCAAAATGTCCTCCCCTGCCTACGCCACTGACCAATAGCCCCAGACACACACATACACACACTTGCGATTGCAGACAAAAATATGTACGAATGCTTGTAAAGTACAAGCGTACTTTTGTAGACTTACCCACACTGGGAATGCTCTTAGCATGTCCTGATTTCCTCCGTTGCCAGGACAACAACAGAGCCAGCGGAGGAGAGGATCTAAAGCTTGCTTGTAGATTCTAGGGTGTTGCTGGTGCGATAAGATAAGCGTGAGCCTGGCAGGCAGGCAGGCAGGTGTGGTCACAGAAGCGGCTGCTCCTATTGCTATTGCTTTGCGGCTTGTGGTGCGTCTGCCTTACTTTTTTTTTGTTGTGCTTTATTTTGCGGCGGCTTTGTGCGGCAGCGGCTTGCTGGGCTGGACTGGCGTTACATTTTAAACAGTTGGTTCCAATCGAAACTCATTTGTGCTGTAATTTACACAAAGTGCACACGACGACAGCGGCAGCGCGAGCGAGACGGGGCGAGCGAACGAATGAACACGGAAAAATTCTGCTGCACTTGAATAAGTCCCCTATTTGCACGCTGTCCGTACGAAACAGCTGGACGACAGACATTCGGAGTGTGGTTTAAACAATAGCACTTTCCGTGTTTGCCTTGACAATTGGTTAATTATTGTGCTGGGCAAACATTTATTGCAAAAAAACAAAAAACAAAATCGGTGACTGACCGTATAAGGGAAAACGGTAAAATACTGTCATTTGCTGGGCAAGGGAAATATACTGAAAGAGAAAAATACTGACTTGTATGAGGTGTGTCATTTGTGACGTCACTGAAAGCATTTTAGTTTCTATTATATTTAACTAGTTAATGGATTTCCTTGGTAGTTAATGTTTTTTACTGTTTTTAGGATTTTCCAAGCAACTAGCAGTATAAGAGGTTTACAGAATCTGATAATTGCTTTCTTGAGTCACCTTTTCAGTCAAGCATACTTAACCGTTAGCCCGCACTTTCTATTCAAATTTAAAAACACTTTGCTTTGTATGGCGCAGGTGTTGCAAATGCACAAGTATTTGGTTTATTTTACTTAACAGTTCACGCAATCGCATAGAGTTTAGGATAAAATCAAGAACCAGCAAGTGATGCATCGTTTTCCCTTTGAATTGACTTGATAAATATGCGACTTGCGATTGCATTCTTACTCAATTGATCTAGTGCTTTGTACATTTAAGTTTAAATAACCTACATCTTTCTCACGATCTGTCTATTAACATAATAACAAGGTATTGGCTCTGGCACCGGGATCAGAACCTGCAGCATTCCAGTTGGAAATTTCTAAAAAATATTTACAGGCATGTCGTCGTCGTCTTCGCCCGTATCATTTTGGCGCACAGCCATGGCAGTTTCCACGAGGTAATACAGACACTTGTAGTTGTCGCGCTCCTCTCGGCTGAGGCCTGCACAGAATTTATAAAGATTAAGCTAAACAAAAAGTAGCTGGTGAGGGAGAACATACTTTGCGATGGCGCTGGCGATGTTTGTTCGGCGGTATTTTCGATGTCTGTAATGGCAAAGACTTCCTCCGTCTGTAGATTTTCCCTAACTTCCGGCTGAGTTGGGCCAGGAATGACTGTGGCCTCGTACAAGGGCTCTAGGGGGCCGGCTATAAATACAAAAATGGCAAAAGGTTAACAAGCCTTGCTACGTAATCACAGCATGTGGGCTCACCATCCCCCGTGGCCATCTGCTGGTTGGGATTCCACGATGAAGTATTGGCAGATGTAGTTCCAGATGTGACGCCTTCATTGGCAGTGTTGGTTGTGGCAGTGTTAGTGGTGGTCACCTCTTCAGTGGTGAAAACAGATCTAAAAAGCAAAGACTTTAGGTTATTGAGAAAGCCCCCCAACAAGGCCAGATAACTCACTTCATCACGCTCTGCCAGTCGTCGGTCTCGAAGCGACCCTCCTCGCTACGCTGCTCAAATTCCTGGGTGCTCTCGTCCGTCTCGGATCTGCAAAAGAAAAGAAAACGCTTAGCAATGTAACATCGCCGCGAAAGCGGACTAGAAACTAAGGCCAGTCGGTGGGTGTCGTCGTTTGATAGCTGTACCTAGAGGCCATCACGAAGCTGCCAAATTCGTCCTGGTAACAGTACACAGCCTTAGTTTTCTTGACCTCCTGCTTGATTTCAGACCCCAGCTGCTTCGACTGCTTGGACTTTGTTCCAGCCGTCTTGCCGGTTGCCGCCGTTTGCTTCTTTTTTCCACGCTTCGCCGGACTCGGCTTATCCTCATCATCATCATCATCGAAGTTGTATGGAATTATGGAACCGGCAGAGCTGCAGGTGGAACCGGCACTAGTACTGCCACCACCACCAAGGGCCGCTGCTGCCTTGCGCATTTGATAATTCTGGATCTTTTCGATCATGGTTGCCTGCAGCGACGCATGGAGACTTTGGAAGCCCATCGGGTTGTTTGCAATTGCCTGCTGCCAACTTAATGGGAGGAGGATGGGAGGTGGATGACGATTGGGACAGGAGCACAGCCTAAGCAACTACGACTAAGGGAAGCGACCGGTATCTACCTGTATATGACGCTGTCGTCGTATTCTGGCTCCATCTTGACCATCTGACCGTTGGGTCCCTGGACATACTGATCGAAATTGGTCAAGACGTTGGCAATGCCCTCGTGCATCTCGCCGGCGGCGCCATCTACCTCCTCGGTGGCACCAACGACCTGGAGTAGGTATTGAAAAGTAAGTAAGTTCAAAATTATAAAAAACCCTTACACAACTCACCACTTCGGAGACGGGACTAACGGAAATGGGATCCAGAGTCCCTGACACATTCATTCCCTGACCGCCAGCAACGCTCGACCCAGAGGAGTTTGGACTGACCTTTTTGCCGCGACGCGAAATGGTAAAGTGCAGCGGATCATTGCCCTCGCGGCGTATCATTTCGGGCAGGATGCGGCGACGTGCATTGATGAACCAATTGCACACCTGCAGCACCGTCAGGCCGGCATCCTGCGACAAGGTGAACTTCTCCGCATCACTGGGATAGGCATTGTAGCGATGATCGTAGAGCCAACGCTTGAGGATCTTCACCGAGTGCTTGGGCAAGTTGCCTCGACGCTTGCGGCTTGAGCCGCAGTTGCTGTTCTGATCAGCCTCCACCATCATGTCGTGGTAGTTCTGCACATCGTTAATGCTATCCTCCGCCGCCGCCACCACCACCACCTGGTCGGTGGAGTTGTCATCCTCCATCAGGCCATCGCCGGACAAGGCCTCCATCACGGCAATACTGCCTTCGGCATTTATGTCGTCGCTGCATTCAGACTCGAAGCGGTTGCGTCCTGAAACTAAAAGCATACCATGAAGCAGGGACAAAGCCCCTGTACTGTCGATTCCTTGCTCACCTTCGCTGTCCAGCATGCTAGCCTGGACATTAGCTTCTCGCATCATGTCATGGATGTTCTGGCGAACCTGGCGGTCCAGCGCCAGGTTGACGTGCTCCTGCTCCGGAGAGATCATATTAGACACAGCCGCCTATTCCCGATCGCGGAAACAAGAAAAAAAACGAATATAAAAGTAAAAAAAAAATGACACCGAAAAGTAATTGGAAAAGCTGTCAACCCAATTTCTTTTTCTCTTATTTTTCTGCTCGATAAAATTGTTGTTTTTTTTTTCCTTCTTTTTTGAGAGCTAGATTTTCCGTGTTCACAGCACGGGCTATGAGATTAAACTAACTTTTGGAGATGGGACTATATGTCCTTTAGACATCAATGTCATGGCCCGCTTGGACTTATTTCAAATTTCTAATTTCAAATTGCACTTTTAACTTTCAGTTGGTTTGAAAACTATCGATAGCCGCCAACTTCGATAGACTTTCTATCGGCCAGTCCATGACATACAGATTTGCCAGTTAACATTTTTCCGGCTAGATTGAAGGATAATGATAATTGCAAATAGTTTAAAGCCCTGAATACAGATTACTTTTTAGTTTATCTATCTTATGATCAAATTCTAGCACTATCAACTATTGGTTTTATAGGGAAAATATATCGATGTAATAGATCGTAAGACGGGACATGCCACATAAAATACGTCAAATATTTATAAGACGATACAAGAATTTTGAAATTAACGATTAAATAATCCATTTAATTAAATTCGGAAAATAATGATTAATACATTGTCGTTTTTTATAACTTTTTTATCAGAATTTATTTTTTATATCTAGCTAATTCGGCTAATTTTTGGTCAGACTCTAGCTTATACGGCACCACTGATGACATATAACATGTCAAATTGACACAAATTCGTTGCGCGCCTAAATAACGGGCGACTTGACTAGTTAATCCATTCATTTCATAGATTCACCTGCTTTGTACATTGGCCACTTTTATTTAATTGCACTTTACACTCGATTTTCCGTAAATTTTTGCCCTCGGCACACTATCTGCCAGTGGTTTGGGATAGCGACGCAGGCGACGGGTCACAGCCACCGGGTCGTGGCCATTCGACGCGGGATTAACGGGGGACCGGGACTACGGTTGCCTAATAAAACGTTTTCTTTGGCTTTCCGCAACAAGCCTCTAATTCTCGGTTTGTTTTATTCTCTTTTCGGGCTCGCCAAGAAACAACACAACAATGATGGTGATGGCAGCACTCCGATAACCGCTCAGTTCGATAGTACTTATGAGCTAATTCCGATGACAACTGCAGTTCAAATTCAAATAAGTGCGCTATATCGGATGGTCACACTGGCAGTAGAGTGACCATTGCTGAATATTTGCAAACAAAATAACATTTTTGTTTGTTTTTTTATAACAATATGAACTGCCCCTTGGACGAGGAGCTGCTGGCCAATATAAAATGCAGTGACCAGGAGGATGCTGGCGACGAGGAGGAGAAGATGCAGATGCAAGTGGAGGAGCAGTTGCCACAGCTGCCGGAAGCCCAGGAAGCTTACGAAGACGACGCCGATCCCCTGCAAGAGACGGCAGGAAGCTGCCGCTTTTCCTGGATCTTCGAGGACGGCGATGTGCTGATCAGTGACGAGCAACTGGCGGAGACGGTGCTCAAGTCTGAGGGTTCAGTCCGGCCGGGAGTCACTCCTAAAAGGGGCCGTGGCCGCCCGTCCCATAATGCTGGCCATTACACATCGAGCACTGGCCAAATATGGAGCGTGTCCAAGGATCCCCAAGTGGCAGCTGGGGAGGAACTGCCTCTGCTGGGCCAACAAGCCTGCGGCAAGGGACCCGCACGTTCCGTTTCCAACGCGGTAGAGGCCTGGATGCTCTTGTTCGACGATGAAATGCTCAAGTCCCTGCTGCGTCACACCAACGAGCAGATGCGCAAGAAACGGAATCCCACGGGTGCCCAGCGACCCCTGGACATTGTGGAGCTGCGGTCATTTCTCGGCCTGAGCTACCTCTGCGGGGTGTTCCGCAATGCACAGTACAGGGGGGAACTCGAGGAACTTTGGACGCTGGAGCTGGGCAATGCCATCTTCCGGGCCTCCATGACCCTCGCCCGATTCGAGAGCATTTCCGAGTGCCTATCGGGCCCCAGTGGTGGTTGGTCAGAGGCCCAAAAGCTCTGGCAGCGGCTCCTCATCAACTGTCGTTCCTACTACGGCTGCAGCAGTTGGCTGAATGTGGATGAGGTCAGCGGCACGGTGGCCAAAAACCGGTTGACCCTCTGCTGCGACGCCAGGACCCTGTACATGACCAATGCTTTGGTGAGCAGCAGACAACAGAGATCGCTGGAAAAGGATGTGGAGCATTTGATTTGTGATTTTAAGACGACGAGCAGGAATGTGACCTTGGGATTGCGCCACCTTACCCTGCCACAGAGCGAGCAGCTAATGCAGCGCCAGCTCAGCTCGCTGGGAGTGCTGGAGGCCACGTCGCCGGAGTGGCCGCGTCAGTGGCAGTGTGATAGCCTCGTTTACAGTGGCTCCTCCAAGCTCATTCCGCTCGACGGCGAAGCCGTCTTCTGCTGTGGCCTCAGCCCGCAAGTGGACGCACTCCAGGCATACCAGAACACTTCCCAGGCCTGCCAGCAGTTCTATGAGCTCACGGAACGCTTTAGTACCGCCCACATGCTGCCCTCCGCCCTGGAAAAGCAGAGCAATTCCTTCCTACAGCTTCTGCACTTCGTGCTGAACGTGGCCGCCGTGAATGCCTGGATCCTGCTTCGACTCTCCCCCAAAGGAGATGCCACAATGGAGCAGCGCGACTTCCAACGCCAGTTGGGACTCTTTCTCACCCAGCAGCGATTACAGAGACGCCTCCAGCGTAGGTCTACCACCACATCGCTGGTGATGCGCCTGCAGATCTGCGAGATTCTCGGACAATCCAGTCAGCGGTTGCTCAGCGAGGCCACCGGCGATGCCAAGCGATCCGACAGCGTGGGTGTACTCACACCGGACAAGGTGAGTCTGCCGGTGGGCGTGAATCTCTCCAGTCGCTATGGCGCCAAGCATCGACGCTGCAAGCCCTGCGCCCGCAGCAAACGGGGCACCAAGTCCCGCACGCGATGCCAGCAGTGCCAGTCGCATCGGTGCGGCAACCACCTGATCTCTCGCTGCTACGAGTGCGTCGGCATTCTGCCCAGCCAGCTGCCCGAGGGCAATATGCGAGACGATGAACTTGGACATTAAATAACATTTATTGAAGAGAGGCGAGGCTACCACTGCTGGGTTTTTTTAAGGGATGGGATGGATGCATATTGCTCAACGCTTTCTTGTGCTAAATCTACGATGACAACGGCATAACGATCAAAAGCGGCAACACTAGAACTTGTACTGGAAGGACTTGGGTGCCTTGTACTTGCTGACTGCGCCCGAGGAGTCCAAAGGATCGCTCTGGTCGAGGAACAAACTGAGGAACTGCTCGTTCTGTAGCTCGTTCAGCGGCATCTCCAACTCGCTGCAGGACTTGACAATCTCGGCGCAGGCGCGCAGATCCTTGCGCATATCTGAAAGGGAAATCGGAATTTGAAGTATTATTTTTGGAAGGAAAGAAGATAACTTATCCCACGACCCACATTGATAGTTGAAGAGCAGGCTGAGGCAGCTGGAGCAGGCGGAGCGCTGCTGGTGCTGCAAAAACACCTCGATCAGGCGATGCACGGCATCCACATTGTTGCGGCCTAGGAATGAAGAGCACAAAGGGCTGGCTCTGTGGAGGAAGAGTATAGGGATTAAGATTAAAGATACCCAAGGAATCTCAATTAACACACCTCCTCTCCACCAGCTCTTGAAGCTCCTTGTAGTGCTCGAACAGTTCACCCGCCGACTTTTGGTCACAGAACCAGTCGCTGGCGAAACACTGCTTCCACACGCAGGCCACCACGAAGATGTCCTTGTGCTCACGGTGTATAGCACGCGCCACTTCCAACAGCGACACCAGCACCGCCTCGCTCTTCTGGGCCAGGGTCTCCTCGGAAATTGTGCGAAAAGCTGTGCGCGCCATCCGCCTGCCCTCCTCCGAGGACATGCTAACCCCATAGCCGCGATGCAGGGTCATCAGGGCCACGTCTGCATTGCCATTATTCCACAGAGCGATGGCCCGGAAGGGAGCCAAATCGGCATAGGTCTGTGAGAAGGGATGCTCCAGCTGGCGACACGTCTCCGCCAGCGCCTCCAGTTGCTGGAGCTTGCGCTGGGCACTCAGATACTTGAGGCAGGACACAAATACCTCGTTGGAGGGCAGCAGGTGGCATCGGATGCACTGGCGGATCAGGTAGAGAAAGTCCAGCTTGTTCTTTATCTCCAGCGTGGCCATCAATAGATTGTCCAGCTGCGGCTGCGACAGAGATCGGATGTCCAGGCCCAGTTGCGGCGAACGCAGTGCCTTCAAATCGCTCATCATGCCCTTGGACATCAGACCAACATTCTGGCTGAAGCTAGTGGTAGTCGCTGCCGTTCCCTTGCTGCCCACCTGTACCTGCGTCGCCACATTGCTATTGGCATCCGTCTCCTGCGCGGACGGTTGGCGCTTCATTAGGTTGTCGCGCAACTCCTCCCATTTCTGCGTCTTGCGCGTGACTAGATCGTTGGTGAAGCAGTCGATGGCGTCCAACTGGGTAGATTTCCGCCTCTGGCGCTGCGATCCCGGCCACAAGAAGGCAGCGATGTAGTTCTGGAATCTCTGCAGACCCTTCGGCGACCCAGGTGCAGCTCCGGCCACGGTGGTGGTGCCGCTGCTGGTCAAACGCGTCAACATGGCCATTGTTAAGAGGTCACCTCTGCCGCCGATGCTCCTCTAGACGCGATGCTGGTCCTCACACACCTCCTTTCGCCTCTCTTTTGGTTGTATAATTCTGTTTTGCACCTTTCTTTCGTTATCCGTTTTGTTTGGGTGTTAGAGATGGCAATAAATCGATAGTCGATAAAAACCGTTCTCTATTATTATCAGTTTTAGGCTTTAATTTTTTTAAAGAAAATATATGAACCATTTTTTCATTTATTCGTTTTTTAATGGAATTTGAACGAAGATGTGTCTTGAAAATGATCGATTTTTTGCAAACATTATTTCAGAGTGCGTATATTTTTTTACCCTTTTGTTGGGATTCCCTGGAGTTTTCACCATAAACAAAATCCTAATGACTTATGATAAGATTGCAATTTATTGGATTTTACAATACACAATCCTTGTCTTAAATCATAGGTTTCTTAAGCTACACACAAAGATCTGGGCATCAGCAGACCAATCGGTACGAGATGTACCGGCCAGCCGTCTCCGAGGAGCGAATGATCTTCACCACCTGGCCGCGCTTAAGGCCAAAGTACCGGGCCACTGGATCGCCGGCCTGGATGCGCATCAACATGTTTTCCTTGAGCTTGTAGCGACTCAATAGCTCCTGTTTCTCCTCCGCGGTCATCACGACATGCTCCGGCACCAGCTCGTGCTCGGTTATATTAATCAGCAGCTCCGACTCCAGGAACTGCTCCAAAATGTACTTGGGAGCCATGTCCACGAGCGACTGCTTGGCTGACGGCGTCATTCCTCCCTGGACCACGACGATGGCCCGGTGAATGTTCTCCTCCTGCATACGTGTGCAGTACGTCTTGATGGTCTTTATGCCAATCTTTGGCTCCTCCGGGAAGAAGACGAACATCTGGTCCGTGGGATCGTCGTTGTGCGCCACCAGGACAATCAAATCAGAGCGTGAGGGCCGCTTCTCGCTCGGCTTGTCGCCAAACATGTTCTTGAACTGCTCCAGAGTCTGGTCCAGCTCCTCCTGCGTCACCAGGTAGCCGCGGTCGTGGCTCAGCTGCATGATGGTCTTGCGAATGCGCCACAGTTTGTACGTCTCCGCCTCGTCGTCCATGGTTGTTTCAAAAAATTAAGAAATTATTACAATTTATACACGCGGATGAAACTGTGTGACCAGATTGGTGCAACGAAAATTTCCACTCGATTATAAATATATCATATCGCGATGGTCTAAGAAAAATCGATAGTGCCATCGAAGCTCTCACATCCCTAGTACGATTTAGTACATAAATCAAAATTCGTAGTTTTTAACCACAAGTATCTGCTCGAAGGTAACTATATGCAAATATCAGACGCAGCTACGTTCAGCAGCATCCAATGACAGCCAAATCGAATTCATCTAAAGCTAAAACAAACCACAAACAGACAGAAATCATTTGCCCCAGCTAAAATTTTCTTCTCTGTGCTTGTGTATGCGTGTGTGCGTGCTGCATGCATATGTGTGTGGGTGAGTGCGAGAGAGAGAACGAGGGATTGCCTGTGTTTGTTTGTGTGTGGACAGTGACTCGCTGGTTAAGGGAAAACAAAGAAAACTTCAGAAAAGAACGACGTAAAAAGGCATTTTCAAACTAATAAAATGAAATAAATTGATATCAAGGCAAGAAAGAGCGAAAAAGTGTTTGCTAATTTTGTATTGGTTATCGATTTTTTGCATTTTGCTGCATGCCGTTTTTGTAGCTGTAGTAGTTGGCTGCTGCCATCGTTGTTGTTGTTATTGTTTTTGCTGCTGCAGCTGCGCGTACCAACTGTAAACCGCTGTTGCTGTTGTTGTTGTTCGCTGTAAGTTGTTGCTGTTGCATTTTGGGTCAGTGATAGTGTGAGAGAGAGAGAGCGAATAAGATTTGGACAGTGTAACGGACAAAGGACACTTGCAGTTTCGAGGTTGTTGTTTGTGTTTGCAATTGGCACCTCTCCGCCTTCCCACCCCCACCCCTCTTCCCCCACGTATACACACAGCATCTGCATTCGCATCCGCATCATCCGCTCTCACTCGTTGTTAGCTCACCCTCTCTAATCGCCCGCTGACTCTCTCTCTCAGCACTCTTGCCTCCTGTTTGCAACAACAACAAGACAGAAACAGAATCAGAACAGAAAAACGGAAGAACCGTAACAGCCATGGAGCACATCGATGAGCCACCACTGCTCTCCGAGGAGAGCAACAGCAACAACAGCAGCGCCAGCAGCAGCTCCCACCATCTGTCTCAATCGGGAGCCGTGGGAGCAGCGCCCCCTTCATCTCAGTCCCAGTCACAGTCGCAATCTCATTCCCATTCGCCCTCACCTCCTCCCCCGGCCGTCGTTCCCCTTCCTCTGGATCCCCCATTGAATGAGCATTCACCGCAAGATCACTCACACTCACCCACTCCTCCTGATCTCCGCCAGACCGCACCGGCACCGCCACAGCCATCCACGACTCCTCCATCGACGGCACCACAGCGGGAGCGAGATCAGCAGCCGGAGGAGCACCAGACACCGCCTGTGTTGGAGGATCAAGAGCAGCACCCGTCTCTACAGTTGCAGGATCAACAGGTGCAGCAGGAGCTGCAAGATCAACCGTTGCAGGATCACGAGCAGCAACGTCCACAACAGCTTCTCCCGGAAGATCAGCAGCAGCTTCCAGCAGAGGAGCAAGATCGTCAGGAACAGGAGGCACATCTAGAACAGCAGCAGCCACCTCAAGAACCTCCCCTGAATGAGGATCAACCGGCGAGGGAAGCCCAACTACTCCCAGTGCAGCCGGAACCAGAAGCCGAGCCCCTTCTCCTCGAAGACGTGGACGAGCAGGAGGACTCCGAATCTCAGGAGCTGCCAGGGCCGCCGCCGCCCCCGCCTGTCGGGATCATTGACGAGAACTTAGAGGCCAACGCCGTGGAGCGCATCGACGACTCCGACGAGGAGGAAGACGAGGTCGTGGAGGACGACGACGACGCGGAGGTTGTAATCGAAAGCGTCCAGATAGTGGGCAGGGAGTTTGCTTCCCCCTCCGCCTATATTCGGGCCCTGCGCCTGCACTCGCGTCACTCGTCTAGAGTTGCACCACTGCCCCAGCTGGTCCGGGCGCCACGAACCGCCAGCAACGATACCAACAACAACACCAACAGTAATAATAATAGTAGTAACAACGGCAGCGGCAATTCGCGACGCACTCGCCATTTTTACAGCAACAACGGCAGTCACTTCAGCAACGACATGTTCCCCAGCCACGCCCCCCGGACCAGTGCCCAGGGCTCGCCCCGGGTGGGCAGCGGAGGACGTCGCAGCCAGCACTCGACGCGCACTGCCGCCTCCAATTCGCCGCAACACCAGGGCGTGGATCCCCTGAGACTGCTGTATCCCAATGTAAACGAGAGCGAGACTCCGCTGCCGCGGTGCTGGAGTCCACATGACAAGTGCTTGTCCATCGGCCTGTCGCAGAATAACCTGAGGGTCACCTACAAGGGTGAGTCATAGCCTCTTATAGTTATGGAATTAATTTGATATTAGAAAGAAAGTTCCCTAATTACACTATTAAATTTAGTTTATTCATAATACTGTGAATCTCCTATTATGGTGTTCTTTCCTATTTATCTTTGGCTTCCCCAAATAATCTTTTTAATATAACAAAAAAAAAATCAAATATTCTAAAAAAAAAAAAGCGGAGACTGAGAGAGAGATGATGAGCGAGTGCATTTTGAGGGCCACTGCAGTTGTCTCGCTCTTGGCTCTCTTTGACACACGCACGCACACAGACAGACAGGTGCTCACAGCTGTGTTACTAGTGGTTTTGTTTTTCACCACTCACTTCTCCCACGCTCATTCGCGTGACTGTTAAACTAACAGAAACAGCTGTGCGCAGCTAACATAACATGTAAAATATTGTGTCTGTTAAATGTAAAGTAAAGAATATTTCGCAATTTGATATGTAATTTTACTGTTGCAGGCGTTGGAAAGCAGCACAGCGATGCCGCCTCCGTGCGCACCGCCTACCCGATCCCGTCCTCCTGCGGACTGTACTACTTCGAGGTGCGAATCATCTCCAAGGGACGCAACGGTTATATGGGCATTGGCCTGACCGCCCAGCAGTTCCGGATGAATCGCCTGCCAGGTTTGTGTGTTGCGATGATGCCGCGCTGCTCGCTGCTCCGGTGCTCACCATGATTCCTAATGACCTCCCCTCATCAAGTAGGTTGGGACAAGCAATCGTATGGCTATCACGGCGACGACGGCAACTCGTTCAGTTCCTCTGGGAATGGACAGACCTACGGGCCCACCTTCACCACCGGCGATGTTATTGGTTGCTGCGTCAACTTTGTGAACAACACGTGCTTTTACACCAAGAACGGCGTGGATCTGGGCATCGCATTTAGGGATTTGCCGGTGGGTATCTCAAGTAGGAACTTGCTTATCATCCCTTAACTCTACGGATGTCTTTCTGTGCAGACCAAGCTTTATCCAACCGTGGGCCTGCAGACGCCCGGCGAGGAGGTGGATGCCAATTTTGGCCAGGAGCCATTCAAGTTCGACAAAATTGTGGAAATGATGAAGGAGATGCGCTCAAGTGTGCTGCGCAAGATTGACAGGTATCCACACCTGCTGGAAACCCCGGAGAATCTTATGAATCGGTGTGTAAATGAATATGCTGTGTATTGAATCGATTTTTGATTTTATTTGTTTGATTTTACAGCCTGGTCTCCACCTATCTGGTGCACAATGGCTACAGCAAGACCGCCGAGGCGTTCAATGGCTATACAAACCAGCCCTTCGACGAGGATCTCTCCTCCATTAAAACGCGTCAAAGTAGGTTTCCTTGATGCCTAAAATAATCCTTACAAATTGATTGATTTACCTACCTCCTCAGAGATTATCAAGCTTATATTAACTGGAAAAATGAGCCAGGCCATCGAGCATACCCTGCGCTCTTATCCCGGGCTTTTGGAGAACAATAAGAACCTCTGGTTCGCCTTGAAGTGCCGCCAGTTCATAGAGATGATCAATGGAGCCGACGTTGAGGTTAGTTAAAGAGAATATATATTCCTCCAAATCAGATTAACATCATCTCTCCAAAAGAATGCCAATAACAAAGTCACCGCCACCACACAGACCATGCCAACGAATCAGACGTCCGTGATACAGTCCACCAAGGCGTTCAAGCACAGCAAGAGCGGTAATGGCAATGGCAATGGAAACATCAATCAGTCATCACAACAGCAACCGAACACTGCAACTCCAGCTGTGATAAAGCCACAAGTGGGCGACAAGCCAGATACGAAAAGGTAACCTCAGCTTCAACCTGCTTAAACCCACAATTATTATTAAACGATTCCGATTCCTTAGCATGTTGGTTGACGACAACTCCAACAAGTGCTTGGAGCATGACAGCAACAGCATGGACGTGGAAATGGAGCCCTGCCAGAGCCATTCGAACGGCGGCGGCGGTGACTCCAACTCCTGCTCTAATGGCAATGCCAGCGCCGTGCGCAACTCTCTAGATGCCATCGACGAGGAAATGGGTAAGTAGATGTCAGTTTTTGAGGCAAAACCAAGCCTAATTCCCCTTTAGACGTAGACGTTTCACCCTCGTCGCGCAACGGTGGCCGTGTGATTGAGAAGATTCTGGAGTTTGGCAAGGAACTCTCCAGCATGGGACAGCAGCTGGAGAAGGAGAACCTCATGACTGAAGAAGAGCGTCAAATGTTGGAGGTAAACCATGCATAGATTATGCATATTAACTTTGAAGTTTAATGTTGATTTTAAACTTAATTACAGGATGCATTTAGCTTGATTGCCTACTCAAATCCTTGGTCCAGTCCCTTGGGCTGGCTTCTGTGTCCCTCGCGACGGTGGAACATCTCCACCACGCTCAACTCGGCCATATTGGGTGAGTCCTTGATGGATCTTTTTATCTTAAAAAAACTTATTCCGAGTCTTACCACAGAGTCTCTTAACTTCGAGCGCCGTCCACCGCTGGAATATCTGGTGGCTCACGCCTCTGAGCTCATCAAGATCATTGGTCAGCACTCGCTGGGCGAGGACGCTTTCATTACCATCGACGACGTGTTCCCGCAAAATTGACCCAGTTCGCCGACGCTGCTGAAGATGTTCGAGACCACGCTGACCCTGCCGCGCACCAGTGTGCTCACGGAATCACCACTGGGCAGCGCCGGCACTGGCGGGGCCGGGCCCTCCACATCGACGGCAGCGGTCGCCGTTCAGACGACCAAACGCCGACGAAGACGGCGTAATAAAAGGCGCCGCAAGTCCTCACTGTCCAGCAGCACTGATGCCCCCTCCTCCCGCACCTATGATCCCGTAATGACGGGCAGCAGTCTCCGTTCAGCGGCCGCTGCGGTGGCAGCTTCGGTCAGTGTGGGCACAGGGCCAGTGCGTCGGGGGCGGCATCGCAGCAGTGGCGGCGGGGTCAGCTCATCTTCGCGGTCTGCACAGGGAACACAAGCAGCAGCAGCAGCAGTGGCGTCGGCGGCAGCAGCAGCAGCAAGGGCGGGGGAGGAAGAGGAGGCGACGGGGCAAGAGGAAGCTGAAGCGGAGGCGGCAGAGCAAGAGGAATTAGAGGCGGGAACGATGAGTGATGGCAGCAGTGCGTCCATGTTCGGGGATCCGCAGGACTTCTTCGAGACGCTCGACTAAATCTAGATTATTTACAATTCGTAGTAGGTTAAATTTTGTTGTTACTTTCCCCGCGTTCTCATTTATTTCAAACACAATGCCCTTCTTTTAATTGTTCGAGCGAGAAATATGCTAAAGTGCGCCACGGTGATGATGATTTTGGCGTGATTTTTAATATCTTTTAACATATAAACCACACATATTTTATATAGTCTCTCTCTAAGCATAAAGTGTGTAATATTATGATGTATCCTTCCGCAACTTCTCTTCTCCACGCCCCAAAATATAATCTAGAAAGCGAACTAGTTAAGTGTTCATCCATCTAATTAGCACGTTGGAATATAGGAAACCCATAGTTGATTGGTATAAACATAAACGTAGTAGACTCTCCTCCGATTTCCAGTGTTTTCTCTGCGATTTTCTCATCATCTTTGTGGCAAGGCTAAGCGCGCGAGCAAGTGAAACATTTCAAGTGTAATATTTTCTCTATAGGGTTTAAGCATATTAAATTTACTCTATAAATATATATAATGTATACACAGATCAGGCAAGGCAAGCGCAGATATACCATTCAACTGGATAATCGTTTAAATATATATTGTATGGATGTGTATTTCATGAAAAGGATTTGTTTTTATAAAAGTGGAGCTGGGTTGCAGAAAATATTGTTACTGCGTTGATATTTATACCATATAATTTGTTTGATTATATGGAATTTTATTTCAAAACAAGAAAGAAAGCTAACTTTGGCCTGGCAAAGTTTGTATACCCTTGCAGGTAACAATTAAAATATATCATAACTAAGCCAAAAATGCATACCATATTTAAAATTTAAAGAAATCAAAATTTTTGGCCATTTTTGCTAATTTTAATGATGTTACCCCTTATGAAATTTCGCAAAAATGGCCAAAAAATCGATTTCTTCCGGACATGTCTAGAAAGATTCGCATGTTAATGCTGATCAAGAATATATGTGGTTTATGGGGTCGGAAATGATTCCTTGACTTAGAAAAATATTATTTTGTATTATAAAATCTGATTTTTTATATTAAAAAACTTCTTGATTTTTTTTAAAATTAAAAATAGCATAACTCGGCCAAAAGAGCATTAATTTTAAATCGGAAAACTGTTCTGTGCAAGATTTTCTACAGTTAATAAATCTGCATACTTCATTTAAAAATTTTGGAAATTCAATTTTTTATCAAAATCAAAAATTTTAGTGATGTAACCCCTTATAAAATTTTGCAAAAATGGCCAAAAAATCGATTTCTTCCTGACATATCTAGAAAGATTCCCCTGTTGATGCTGATCAAGAATATATATACTTTATAGGGTCGGAAACGTCTCCTTCACTGCGTTGCAAACTTCTGACTGAAATTATAATACCCTGCAAGGGTATAAATATCACCATTTATTTACTTTTCTAAAATGTCTAAAAAAACATCAATTTAACCTTAAATAAAAATACAAATTAAATATAGTTTCCGAAATTCAAATATTTTTCGTAAATATTTTATTCTATTTTAAACATTATTTACAAGTATTCTTATTTATTTACTCCTCAAAATTTTATCCAAATTTTAATCATTTCACCAATAGAAATTAAAGAAAACTTTGATCTTTAATCTTGTGGCATTAAAATGGGAAAAATTTAGTAAAATTATGTTTAAATATTTTTATAAATTAGAACAAAAACAGAGGTTTTAATATTACAAAAAAATGCAGTTTTAGCTCGATATTTACATTTACAAATCCGGCTGCCTAATTCGCTGCACCTTCTCCGCGTTCTTGACATGCTCCTTGAGCATTCTCATTATTTCCGTATCGAATTCCGGAGGCGTGGGCTTGGTTTCGGTGGCCCAATAGAATATATCCCAATCGTTGCTAACCCCATTAATTAAACGATCATACTGAGCGGTCTGATCGGCATTGAAGTCCTTTAGGAACTTGGCCACAAAGGTGCTCAGCAGGAGATCATTCTCCAGCATGCCGCGCTTACGGCTCTGATAGAGGAGTCTGCAAAAGGTTTATTAATAAATTAAGTAAAAATATTAAAATATTTTCTAGTAATCATACCGCTGCTTGCGTGTTTCCAGGGGCTCATCAGGACGGGCTGGATACTCCGGCACGGGCAGGTGCGGCGGATCATCGTAGTCCACAATCTCGCCGGGCGTTGTGAATTCCGTTTTGTCCAAATTGCTGGCAGAACGATTTTGAGCAAACATAGGCAACGCCAGGCGACGGCCCACTGTAGATACCTGTTAATTCGATATTTAATGAATACTTTTTATTAATTAAAAGTCTTTATTTTACCAAAAACTGTCGCAGCATGTTAAAAAACAAAAGACCACTCGAAGAATAACAATGATATAACAATAGTGTGACCTTTTTACTTAACGTTAATAATTCCATAAAGCCTGGAATATTTGGGCTGGAAAGCAGACATTTCCAGCATTGTCCCTCAAGGCGGCAAATAAATCTTTTTTGATTTTCTGTATAAGAAACCCTTTTTTCTTCCGATGAAGTGGGATTTTGTGTTTCATTTTCTTCGGAAAAATAGTTAAAATAATACTTAAAAATCAAATCATAAGTTATGTTACTATTTTATTTAAAAACAAAACACCTTACTCCTTATCAAAATTTCAAATTGAAAAATCCACTGTGCAGCACTGGCTGGAACAGCTGTTTTGGCAGGCTTTCCAAGACGTGCACCTGAGTTGGTTACATCCTCTCTGGATTACCATGAGCGGCGGGATAATGCTCCCAAGGTTGTGGCGTCACTGCGATGCCGCCTTCCTGCCCCGGATCAGACAGGCATTGGCCAGCGCTGGCATCCGGCGGCAGCTGGCCACAATAAGTGCCGAGAAGAGCACGTCCGCCGACTTACGTGAGCGACAGCACTGCAATGTGGGCACCATCGGGCATGTGGACCATGGAAAAACCACACTGACCGCTGCCATTACCAAGATCCAGTCACAAAAGGGCCTGGCGGAGTACCTGTCCTACGACCAGATCGATCGAGCGCCCGAGGAGAAGGCACGCGGCATCACCATCAATGCGTGTCACATAGGCTACGCCACCAAGGAGCGCACCTATGCCCACACCGACTGTCCGGGTCATGCGGATTACATAAAGGTAGCTAGGATGCAAAGCAACTCCTGGTTTACTCTTAAAGCTTCACTCTTCTTGCAGAACATGATCTCGGGAGCCTCGCAAATGGATGGCGCCATCCTGGTGGTGGCCGCCACCGATGGCCAGATGCCACAGACCCGCGAACATCTGCTGCTGGCCAAGCAGGTGGGCGTCAATCGCATTGTGGTCTTCATAAACAAGGCCGATTTGGTGGATCAGGAGGTCCTAGAGCTGGTGGAGATTGAGATGCGTGAAATGCTCAGTGACTTTGGCTTCGATGGTGTCAACAGCCCAGTGATTTGTGGCTCTGCCCTGCTGGCCCTACGCGAGGATCAGTCCGAGTTCGGTGTGCCGTCCATTGAGAAGCTGCTGGAACACTGCGACCAGTATATTCCAACGCCACAGCGTGACAATGCCTCACCCTTCATCCTGCCCATAGACAATGCTTTCACAGTGCCCGGCCGCGGTACTGTGGTTGTGGGCACCATTAAACGAGGCACCATAACACGAAATGCCGATGCCGATCTTCTAGGCTTCAATCAGAATCTAAAGACGAGCGTAAGTGACATTCAGATATTCCGGAAAAGTGTACCACAAGCTCTGGCCGGCGAAAATGTGGGTGCTTTGCTGCGTGGCATCAAGATTTCGGCTGTGGAGCGTGGCATGCTGCTGTGTGCCACGGGCAGCGAGGATATATCCAATCACTTTGAGGGCTCCATGTATCTGTTGTCCCGGGCCGAAGGCGGACGCACCAGGCCCATGCTCTCCAAGTATATACAGCAGCTATTTAGTCAGACGTGGAATGTTCCAGCACGCATAGATATAGGTGAGTGGCTTGGGTTTAGTAGAAATTGAAGCATGTATGTATATTATGTTTTATTTGTGTAGTTCCCAGTGAAGCCATGTTGATGCCGGGCGAGCACTCCAAGGTGCGCGTGACTCTGCTAAGGAAAATGGTGATGACGCCAGGCCAGGCCTTTACCATACGAGAGAATGGAGCCACAGTGGCTACCGGAATGATAAATAAACGCTTGTCCTCCCTGGATTTGCCCAAAAATAAGTTGTCCAAAGTCCTGGTGGATTGTTAACTCGCAAATACATATATATATTTGTACAAATTCATTGTTTTTTTCGTTAATATATTGTGTATATAAGTGTTTAAAGATATCTATGGATTTTGCTAAACAATTTTTCATCTACAAATAACAAAAGTTGCCTAAACTAAAACAGAGAATGAGAATACATAAATAATAGTGAAAGTGATTGCTTGGCTTCTTCGGTGTTCTCTTTTTAAATATGAGTCTTATGAGGCTATCATCTGTAGTTAAAGGCCACTAAAGCGGCCTGGTTAAGTACATTTAATATATGCTCTAAGGTACAAGGTCACAAGGCAAGGAATGCTCCGTTTCATGGGGTCCAACCCCTAACATTTCACATTTCAAAAAGGCTTTCTCTGGTTTATAACCTCTTCCTACTAATTTTTTTTTTGCTACAATTAATTCGTACAACAAATAAACTAAACATGGTTGGCAACAAGGAACATGGAGGGACACGTAAAATAAGCAGGAACTCTACCTACACTAAGCCTCGCATCGATTTGGTAATCGATTTTAAGCAGACATCAATTACAAGTACAAGTACATTATACATTATTAATTTTTCTACAATCGTTAGGCTTAAATCATAAAAAAAGAGAGCGAATATCCTAGATCTTGGTGAGATATTCGTCCAGATTCAGATGCGACGGAAGTTCAATGTCCTCCAGCTTGATGTCACTGTACCGGAAGACCACCTTGAACGGCTGTATGAACTTCTGGTCAATGGTAAATTCGTCGCCATGGCTCTTTCGCTGCTGAAAAGGGTAAAAATATATAAAATTCTCTATATATAATACGATTTTGTATAAAAAATATCAACCATTTGTCGGGTGTTAAGTTCCGTGGTGAGCTTCATTAGGAAAACATTGGTTATTTCGCTCTCGTAGTCATCCAGCTTGTAGGACTTCATCACCTTGAGCACCTGGGCAGTGCTCAGAGATGTGCACAGATCACAAATGGTCTGGACATCCTGCTCGCTTTTACGGGACTGCAGCAGCTGTGAGACTTGGTTGAGTGGAGCCAAAGGAGCCAGAACTTCGTTGGACTGAAATAAGTTTACATAGAAAGTTAAGCTAGAATCTCGTATCTCGATGTTATTCCTACCATCTTCTTGCTGCGCACCCAATCCTCTATGCAGCCTATATTATAGCGTATGATCATCCCAGTCTCCCACATGCATATATCACCGCGCAACATCAAATAGTTGAGGGCCACGGCGCACACAAAGTACAGCAGTTGATTGAATATCTGCTCTGCATAGCAGTTGTCCAAACCAAAGTGCTGGAATTGCGTATAGAAATGTTCCAGCTGGCCAATCAGTTGCTTCCAGGCGGGACCCGCTCCAGCATGCTCTGGCGATGAGGCAGCAGCAGCTGCAGCTGCTCCAATCGACGCCGTTCGACTGCGTATGCCATGAGCCTGACGACCGCGCTGTATCTCATCATTACTGAGTATGGCCGGAACTATCTTGGGGTCCAGCAGGCCTTGGATTTGCATGATCAGAGCCTGGTACAGATTCACAATCAAGTCAAGGATCACGCGACGATACTCGAAGAGATTGAAGTTCTTGAGCTGCTGCTGATTCTGTTTCTCGGTATTCAGTTTCACATACTCCTCCACATCTCCATATTGCTTGAGGAGATTCAGCAGTCTAAAAGGGGAATTAATTAATTAAAAGGAACTAGGCAGGATCCTTGACACACTTACGTTATGGAGTTGACAAGCCAAATGACACGGTTCTCAATGGGATGCGGAGTTCGATGCATTTTCTTGATCTGTATCACAAACTTGCTCAGAAGCTCGCGCACATCGTCATCGGCATTGGTCAGATCGGTGTATCTTTTAAGGAAAGGGAAGAAAAGGATTTGAGAACGAGATATCACACTTTTTCTGGAGCTACTTCATTCAAGGATTCTTCAAATAAAAAGCCTCACCTTATGCACATAAAAATCAGGTAAGCTGGGAAGCCAGGCAGCAGGCCCACCGCTGTGCGCGGCGTTAGAGCGTGGAGTAAACGCTGCAGAATCTTGTCGAGATCACTGCTGTGGAACTTCATTAGACCCAAAGGATTTTGTGACTTTTGCTTGGTCACCACCACGGCGCCCACGCTATCGCCGCTGCCGCCGTTCTGCTGCTGTTGCTTCATTTCCACCTCCAGCTTGTGCTCCAGCTCGCCGCCATCCTGGCGATATGCCTTGAGCTTGGCATGGGCCAACTTCAGTTCCTCCTGAACAAGCAGACACTGGGCCACGGACTGTTGCAGTTCCCTTCGCAAATACCGATCGTTATGCTTCAGTGTGTCCACATTGGCGTCCTCAAACTGATCAATGCTTTCAAAGATCACCTTCTGCAGGTCTTCCTTTTCATTGCTTAGCCTCTCGATGACCTGCGTCATCTCCACCAGCTTGCTGTTGTGCTCTTCGGTAATGGCCTCCAGTTCGGACTCCAGTTGGCTAGGGAAAAAGGAAGTTAGACCTAGGAAAGCTTACCCTTGTTAGTACTTAACCCACCGATTAATGAGCTTCTGGGCCTGCAAAGCCTCGCCCAAAACATGGATATCATTGCTCTCCGGATTGATAGACTTCATAACCTGGCTCTGCTCCAGCAGGACCGCCTTCAATTGGATGCACTCGTCGCGTCGCCTAAGTACCTCGGCTTGGAGAGCCGCATGCTGGGCTGTAGGGATAAAAAAAAAGAAAGAGAGGATCAGTAGGTCAGCTCCAGATTGGTTCGCTAGAAACGCGAGGTAGCGGTTACCATTGAGCTCGTTGATCTCAACACCGTGTTTGATGCTCGTTCGCAGCTGATCGTACTCGCTGCGCAGTTTCTCGTTCTCTACCTCAAGCTCGTAGACTCTGTGTAGGTTTGGTGGTCATTGTGGTAGCCATAACAAGAATGTGGACAAATGTACATGTTTGTGGTTTAGTTTGGGGTCATAGGACATGGTTTTGGGAGGGGAAAGAGCTGTGTACACTCACCGATAGGAATCCTCGCTGGGCTTGTAGCGATTGGCCAGCTTGAGGTACTGCTCCTGCAGGTACTTGCTCTTTTGCTTCTCCTCCTCGAGAACAGCGCGCAGTTTCATCACCAAAGTGGTCACATCACTGGTGGCATCTACAAATGACAAAAGAGAGTCTCTCTGCAATCTCTGCCATCTTCTGCTGTTAGTTAACTCTTACAATTCTTGCTCAATAGATCCGGTGGCCTATTGATGTCCAGCGTATTCTTGGCCGAAGCATAACCCACATCCTCCTCGTTCTGGCTGGATGCATTGCTGCCAGTGCGCGCATGCAGCCGGTAATTGCCAGCCGTGAGGCGACTCAGTTCCTCTTTTAGGGTATAGTTTTCATTCTCAATCACCTCCTTGTCCTTGATGGCACGCTGGTAGGCCTCGTTGAGCTCCTTGTTATCCTCAGCCAGCATCCGGTCCTCTTGTGTGCGCTGACTTACCTCAGCGTTCTTGGCCAGTTCGATCATCTCGCTGATCTGGCGGCGCAAATCCTCATTCTCCGAGCACCAAGACTGCTTCTGGTTGACCCAATCCTCCTGGGCATGCCCGTTTTCCTCGAGTAGCTGCATCTTTTCATCGCGCTCTGCCTCCAGCTGCTTATTGAGAGCTTCGATTAGCTTGTCCTTGTCTTGGCAAGCCGCCTTTAGGTTCTTCAGATCGCCCTCGAGGGTCTTCTTTAGCTCCAGTTTCATTCTGCGAAATAGAATCAGGAGAATCAGGATCAGATTGAGAGCTTCCTTGTGCTCTCAACTTTACTCACTTTAAAACGCTAATCTCGCTGGTCTTGTGCTTCAGGTTGCTGTTGTCGCGGTTGAGCTCATCAATGCGCTGCTGCATGGATATAATCTTGTTCTCCAGCCCCATGTACTTGGCACTGATATGCGAGATGGTCTTGGCCTCGGCCTTCATCCGCTTGAATTTGCGGCGTGCCAAGAACCGGCGTACGGCCGCCTGGCAAATGATAATGTCACGTCTTCGCTTCTGGTAAGCACGCCGAGCCAGAGCACCGCGCACGAAACGCTGGATCTGCAGCGCCCTATAGTTATCCCGCATGGCATAGAACTTCTTGCGGGCCAGCATGCCCCGGGCCAGGGTCTGTATGCCCAGTATAGAGTGGCGTAGGCGTAAATATCGCCGGCGGCACAGCCAACCTCGAGCGTATTTCGACAATATCAATCCAGCCCGAGCCTCGCGCATCTCCTGAACCCGCTGGCGAGCCATGAAGCCACGGGCACACCTCTGAATCCCACTGATCACCTTGCGCAGGCGCAGGAAGCGTCGGCGGTAAATAAAGCGACGGACCACAGACTGCACTACCGTAATGTACTTCTTGCGCAGATTGGCACGCACCTGTTCCAGGAAGGCCACCTGGCCGGCACGGAAGAAAATCTGAGTGTTGCCAAAGCGGTACTTATCCTCGTCCTGGATCCACTTCATCACTATGTTGCGGCACGACTGCTTCATGTCGTTCTTGTCAATATTGGCGCGATGTGCCAGCAGCTGGTAGCGCATATAAAAGTCCAGATAGAGCCAGCGCGAGGGGAAGCCAGCGGCCGAAATGCGAACTGTCTCCAGGACACCGCATGCCCTCAGTTGCTGAATGATCTTTGATGTCTCCCACTTGAAAGCCACTTTCTCGTCATTTGGCTGCGGGAAATTATGAATTTGTTATATTTAAGAGAAAGCCCTGAGCTTGAAACTCACCTTGATGCAGCGCACATAATGTGGCGTTGTGGCGTGCAATGTGGATATCAGCGAGGCGAGACTCTCCTGGAACTGCGAGCCAACAGATTTTCGATGCTGCTTCGATGGCACCACCTTTTTATTATGTTGGAATAAAAATTTTACATTAGATAGAGTTAAAAACAGGAAAAAACACAGTAAATTTTAAGTAACTTAACTTAAATTACACAGACCGACAAAATTTAAAAACAAAATCTAAAAATCAAGAATGGAAAAATGCTTTTCTGATTCGCTTAACTTAAAGTTAAACAAAAACGCTGTCGATCTGTATTATTTAAGTTTTAAATTTAACCTTAATTATTAAAATTTCAAGTTTAAAAGTGTGTAAAAAACAAACTTAAAGCTAAACATAAAGGTCTTGGGTTAGTCATTCTAGTTAGTAGAATAAATTGAAGTTTTTTGGTAACTAACTCGTCGACGTGTTTCATTCATTTGCTGTATTTGTTGGCCATGTTCCGAGGCAGACGTTGGCGATGAGCGAATGGGGAAAAATAGCGCATAAAAAATACAAATAGCAATAAGACAAGGTTTACAAATGGTGGTGGTGGTGGTACAAAAGCATGTCCCAGTCATGTACCCATCCTCGGTAATCGATAACAAACCTGTTTCCGGCCAGCACTGATGACCACACGACCGCCCAAGGTGGAGGTTTTGGCCGTATCCACGCTGAGAGTGTCAATCTCCTCGAGGCACATGACCTGCTTGACCAGCGACATGTTGGACTCGACCAAGACTTGGGTTAGCTCCTTGGAGACAGTGTCACGGTTCTTCTCCAAGAAACCGTTCACGTCATACTCAACCGTATCCGAGAAATGTTTGATAAAGAAACCTGAAATTTATAAATAAAGAGTGAGAAATTAAGAAGAGTTTGCTTTAAGGAAACACTCACTGGTGCTGCCAAAGCGCGGCTTCTCAAAATGCGGAAATTTAGTGCACTTTTCGATGAGCTTGCCAGCCCAACTCTCGTCCGAGCCCCTGGGCATCTACATCAAATCAGGTCAATAACATTAATAAAACGTAATAAAAGTAAAAACAAAGCATAAATCTCACTCTACACTCCTCGTCGAGTAGATCTAGCACGCCCAGCCGCGACTCAATGAGATCTATGCACGGCTGATTGTCATAAAAGTCAATCATGGTCCAGGTGATGCCCTCCTTGAGGTACTCCTCCTGCTCCAGCTTAAAGACATGCTGATTGAACTGCTGCTGCAGCTTCTCGTTGGCATAGTTGATGCAAAACTGCTCAAACGAGTTCACCTCGAACGTTTCGAAGCCGTAGATATCGAGGACGCCAATGAAGCTGCACTGCTTGCTACCGTTGTTGAGGCTCTTGTTCAGCACACCGACAATATATTGGAACAGTTTGGCATAGATATGCTTGGCCAAAGCGTCGCGTGCCGCCTGGGCTGCCTCAATGCTGTTCGGTATCAGTACATATTCATTGGCCGACTCTATCTTACGCATCAAAAGCCACCGACGCAGATCCTCGGCGTTCACCCGAAGAAGATCGCTGGTGATCTGCAGGTGGATGTCGTTGGGCTAAGGTGGGATTATACAATTACATTACATTTTCTGGTAAAGATTTGAGTATGATTCTTACGAATATCTCGCACGAGTCGGTGTCCTCCTCTTCGCTGCCCTCGTGGAACTTCTTGGACACCTCGATGTTGCCCAAATGCAGTATGCCAGCCAGTATCTTGACGATGTCCGCTATCTGCTGTATGGAAAAGCCCAGCACTGTCATGGCCTGCACAGTCTCGTTGAATTGATCCGCATCGGAGACCCTCTCAATGTCCGGAGCACCGCCCATGTTCAGGAACTGGAACTTGTCCTGGTGATCTAACACAAAAAGCATCAAAGATGAATTCCTTTTTATAGGAAATATTAAAGCAAATCTAGACCTTACCCAGCACCAATTCCGGATACTTGGCCCGCGCTGAACACAACTGATAGAAAATGTGATAGTTGCGCTCGCCCTGGGCCTGGTACACCACTCGCGACTTCTCCAGCAGGTACGTGTGCATGGTTGCGCCCTGCAGGTACATCACGCCCATCTGATTGCGGAACAGCAGCTTGGTAAACTTGCCAAAGCGGGAGCTATTGTCGTTGCGCGTTGTCTTGGCATTGCCAAAAGCCTCCATGATCGGCGAAGATGCCAGCACCTTGCGCTCGACCTGAGTCTCTGACTCGGAACCGCCGACGGCGGCAAAGTAACGCATTGCATACTTGGCAGATACCGTCTTGCCTGCTCCAGACTCGCCGCTAACGATGATGCTTAGATTACAATTCTCGCGCTCCAGCTTTGTGTACGCCTCCTCGGCCAGGGCAAAGATGTGGGGCTCCAGATCACCCATGGCATGGCCGCGATATGCCCGTATAATGCTTGGACCGTACAGAGGCATCTCGGCATAGGGATTGATGGCCACCAGAATGATGCCGCAGTAGGTGTAGATAATCTGGCGCTCGCAGAAGCGGACACGCAGATTGTGCAACACCCCCGGCTCATGCAGGTAGGACAGGGTGGTGAGATCGTTCTGACCCACCAGAATGGCCGGATTGCGCAGTGGGGGCAGGTCGCTGCCATCGGGTTTTAGCTTCACCTCCCGCAAGCTGCCCGACTCTGTGCAGATCTTCAAGAAGCCGGCACCCTTGCGGTAGCTCTCCTCCAACGTGGCGCTCTCCCACACATGTTCCGGGTGCGTTATCCATATTTTCGCGCCCTAAAAGGAGATAGCAGAGGCGTTAATTGGTCAATTAGCATTTAACCCCAATCCGCGACGACTTGTGACACCTGCTCTGTTCTGCTTTGCTTTGCTTTCTTTCACTTTTTGTTATCACAACGAAAGTGTGATAAGCCCGCCCCAGCTGCGATAAGGCCGCTGAATCACCACAAAACATATTTCGGTGAGAAGCCATCAACGATGCAGTCATCAATGGGAAGAAATCAGGGCTGAGCAATGGAAACTGGAAGGGGGAGAACGCGAAGAACGGCAAATGGCACACACACACATGCCTCAACACAAACACAAGCACGCGGAATCACGGTTATTGTTGCATTTTATATTGGCACCGTCAGCGACACCGACACCCGCCGCCGCAATCTGCCACGATGCACTTGTGGGGCATCAATATATCCAACGATGGACGTGTAATACCTGCGCGTATAGCATCTCCTCGCTTGACATTTTTCCCGCTGCGCCTCCTTCGCCTGACGGTTTCAGCTTCTCCTGCTCCTTCTTCTCCTCGCGTCAACTGTCAGTGCGATGGGCTCATAAATCCCGTTACTTTGTTTGTTTTCCCTTTCGGTGTGTTTCGCCTCTCTTGTTTTTGTTGACTTAACCCCGATTGCAGCGTCCTCTACATGACCATTCTGATTGCCTTATTTTTTGTATTTTTTGTTAACTGAAAGCCAAAAGTGTTTAAAAATTTTAAGAGTTTTTGAATGTAAGCTACTTCATTGGGAACTTCAGGACCCTGAAATTTACCCAAAAAAAAAAAACGAAAACAAACAAAACTTTCGTCTCTGACGTTTCTATTCTGACTGACGGACTGACGGCTCCCCCGCCGCTTTTGTTGTTGGCCCACGGGCAGGGTTGTCAAGTGTCTGCGCCGTTAGGGCCCAGTTCCCCCGAAGACCTTGATTTATCCTGACAGCAGTTTAATTACCCAAAAGCAGGGACTAAAAACCCATGACCATTAACCAATTACCTAATTTGTGTGGGAATATGGGAGAAATAAGACCCTAATCATTTGGCGCGCTAGGCCCTTCGGCGTGTTGGCCAACACTGGATACGTACCCACCGCCTGTCTCCAACACTGAACTCGGCATCTGTCAGATTTTGCCGCGCTTTAACCCAGCGAGGCATAGCTAGCCAGCCAGAACAGCTCCAGATTTCGTGTTGATCAGAATTTAAATTCTAGAAAATATACAGAAGCGCTTCGATAATGTCGAGTCCCGCACGTTCGCCCAGTGTCGCAGCCAAGCAGGGAGCTCGCACGCCCACCAGAGGTATGTTTTGAAGTCTGAAAATGGGTTTGCTTTGTTTTTTTTTGTGTATTCCAAACTCTGCTCTGTGTCGGTTTCCTGCAGGCATTGCGTCGCAGGATGTGGAGACGCCCATGCGCATGGGTCCCGGCCGTGCCGGTGCCCGGCCCTCGGACAACATCAGCTTGCCGCCAACATCGCCGGGTAACATCAGCTTGCCGGCCACAAGTCCGGCGCGAGGATTGGGTGCCAACATGAGCGAGATCGATTTGAGTTCGCCGCTCAACTACGGCACGCCCAGCTCGATGGGTTCCATTCGTACACCGCGCTCGGGCATCCGCGGAACTCCGCTGCGGGCTCGTCCTGATATTAGGACGGACAAGCGCATCCGCCAGGTGGCCATTGGTGGTGGCTCGGGGGTAAGTAGCTACCCGAAACCCCTTTCAAAGGGAAGCCAACTAACTTATCTGTTTCTCTACAGCTGGAACCTATACCCGAGAAGGGCTCCGAGACCACAGATCCCGTCTCTGAATCCTCGCAAGCACCGCAGCTCGTCGTGTGGGGCACCAATGTGGTTGTCAGTCAGTGCAAGTCCAAGTTCAAGTCGTTTATACTGCGCTTCATCGATCCCAGTGCCGAGCAAGATGAAATCTCCGAGAACATCGATGTCAATCAGCCGCTGTATTTGCAGAAGCTGGAAGAGATTCACACTCTGGAGGAGCCCTATCTGAATCTCAATTGTGCCCATTTAAAGACCTTCGATTCGGATTTGTACCGCCAGTTGATCTGCTATCCGCAGGAGGTGATTCCCGGCTTCGATATGGCCATCAATGAGATGTTCTTCGAACGCTATCCAGCCGCCTTGCTGGAGCACCAGATCCAGGTGCGTCCCTTCAATGCGGACAAGACGCGTAATATGCGTTCCCTGAATCCGGAGGACATGGATCAACTGATCAGCATCAGCGGCATGGTCATCCGTTCCTCCAACGTCATTCCCGAGATGCGCGAGGCCTTCTTCAGCTGCAACATCTGCTCCTTTAGCACCACCGTCGAGGTGGATCGCGGACGCATTAACCAGCCCACGCTGTGCACCAATTGTAACACCAATCATTGCTTCCGTTTGATCCACAACCGTTCGGAGTTCACGGATAAGCAACTCGTCAAACTCCAGGAGTCGCCGGATGATATGGCCGCCGGCCAAACGCCCCATAACGTCCTGCTGTATGCCCACAACGATCTGGTGGACAAGGTTCAGCCGGGCGATCGTGTCACCGTCACGGGTATATATCGCGCCACGCCTCTAAAGACTGGAGGCATTTCCTCGAGCGTGAAGAGCGTCTACAAAACCCATGTCGATGTGGTGCACTTCCGCAAGGTGGACAACAAGCGTCTCTACGAGGAGGAGGAGGGGTAAGCCTGGGCAAATAACCCTTATTTATCACCTTCTAAACTCGAGTTTTCTTTTCTTCCCAGCAAGGATCACATTTTCCCACCGGAACGCATTGAACTCCTCCAGTTGCTGGCCAAGAAGCCCGACATTTACGATCGCCTGGCCAGGGCCATTGCTCCTTCGATTTACGAGAACGATGACATTAAAAAGGGCATTCTCCTGCAGCTATTTGGCGGCACCAAGAAAAAGCACGCCACTCTGGGCCGACAGAACTTTAGGTCCGAGATTCACCTGCTGCTCTGCGGTGATCCCGGCACATCCAAGTCCCAGATGCTGCAGTATGTGTACAATCTGGTGCCAAGATCGCAGTACACCTCGGGTCGCGGCTCCTCGGCTGTGGGTCTGACTGCCTATGTGACCAAGGATCCGGAAACTCGGCAATTGGTCCTACAAACGTGAGTTCTCTTTTGAAATTATGTAGAATCATTGGCTAAAGGCTCTGTTATGTTTAGTGGCGCTCTGGTTTTGGCCGATAATGGTGTCTGTTGCATCGACGAATTCGACAAGATGAATGACTCCACGCGAAGTGTGCTCCACGAGGTGATGGAACAACAAACGTTGAGCATTGCCAAGGCCGGCATCATTTGCCAGCTGAACGCTCGCACCTCTATCCTGGCAGCCGCCAATCCGGCCGAGTCGCAGTGGAACAAGCGCAAGAACATCATCGATAATGTCCAGCTGCCGCACACCTTGCTCTCTCGCTTTGATTTGATCTTTTTGGTTCTGGATCCGCAGGATGAGGTCTTTGACAAGCGTCTGGCCAGTCACCTGGTCTCGCTTTACTATGTCACCCGGCATGAGGAGGAGGATACCATGTTTGTAAGGCTAAGACTTTTAAAAATAACCATCTAGACTTTCTAAAAAGAAAAATATTTCTAGGACATGAGTGTCTTGCGTGACTACATCGCCTATGCTCGTGAACACCTATCGCCCACGCTTTCCGATGAGGCCCAGCAGCGCTTGATCCAGGCCTATGTGGACATGCGTAAGGTGGGCGCTGGTCGTGGCCAGATCTCTGCCTATCCCCGCCAGCTGGAGAGTCTTATACGCCTGTCGGAGGCTCATGCCAAGGTGCGGCTTAGCAATGAGGTGGAGTTGCTAGACGTGGAGGAGGCTTGGCGTTTGCATCGCGAGGCCTTGAAGCAGTCGGCCACGGATCCGCTGTCCGGTAAGATCGATGTGGGCATCCTAACCACAGGCTTATCAACGGCGGCGAGAAAGAAGCGCGCTGACCTGGTGGCGGCCATCAAGGAGAACTTGAAGAAGAAGGGCAAGGTGCCCACAGTGCCCTATCAAAAGCTGTTTAAGGAGATCAAGGAGGGATCCCAAATTGTGAGTCTTTTTAAAAATTGTTGTTCTTAATTTATTAATAATTTTCTTTTTTTTTTAATTTAGTTAATTACGCGAGAACAATTCGAAGATGCACTGAAGGAGGTGCAGGATGAAGGCGCCATTGTGGTCATGGGCAAAAATACCATACGTATTTGTTAATTGAATCATATTTATCTCATTTTTCACTATTAACTCATATTCATTCCTATTATTAAGAGCAAATTACAAAATATGTGTTTCAATAAAAAAAAAAAAATAATTTCTGTAATTTTGTTAGGTATTTTCTGTTGGCTTCCAGGTTAATTATTTTTAATTTCTGTATTATACATATTAATAAAAAATTTACTTAAATTTAAGTAAATTTTAATTCCGAAAATCAAAATCACATAAGTGTGACCATTTCCAATTTTACAAACTCTGGCATTTTTAGCACATCAAGCCACACTAAATTCAAGATATTTTGGCGCTCTGGCCGCTGCCACACTGCGTGTAGGGAAAATGATGGAGTCCGGGAAATCTTCGGAGCACTCTCTGCACAGCGCCTCCGAGGCGTCAGCGGACTCCGGCAGCCAGCCCCACAGCGACACATCCGCCATGTCATCGTTAACGCCCACAAAGCGGGAGCGTGAGCGCCGCAAATCCCCGGCTACCAGTTCGGACAACACAAGCACTAGCGTCCAGCCGCCCATGTCGCCGTCATCCTCGGTGGCGGACACCACCTTCGAGCCCACCATCGATATGATGGTCAATGATTTTGATGATGAGGCCACCTTAAACGAGGAGGAGGCCCTGGCAGATCAAGAGGCACACAGCGCCGAGGATGAGATAGCCACGCTGCGCGAGGAGAGCGAAATGCCCATTGAGGAGCTGTTGGCTAAGTACGGTGGGAGCATGGCGTCCTCACCGGCAGTGAGCAGTTCAAATCGCTCGGGCAGCTCCACACGAAGGGCGCGACGTGCTACCAAGCGGCAGTACCAGGAGCTGGACACAGAGACGGCAAACACTTCAGGCTCGGGCGTTGCCGTGCACTCAGAGAAAACAAGCAACGAGTTAGAGCAGCTACGAGAAAAGGAGGAAGAGCCAGTGCTGGAAGCGGGAGAAGCTTCCATGGACACTGATGAAGCGCCGCTACAGCTGCCACCGCCGTCGTCTGAAGGAGGCACCAGGAAGCCACATCGCTCGCACTTGCTCGACCTGTATCCGGAGGAGTCCTTTGCAAATCTAGCGACCACCAGCACCGAGGACGTTGAACGATGTAGGTTTGAATCTAAACAATTGGGAGGGGATCACTAACTCCGATTATGTAACACTTTTGCAGTCACACCGCTGCAGACGCTATTCGATGAAGTGGAAGCCGACGAGGAGGAGGAGGACAGCGAGTCTGAGTCGATGGACGATGCCCGAAAGATCATAATGGTGGGCAACGACTATCAGGCGGAAATACCCGAGGGTCTATCGCAATATGGCGACATATTGCCGTATGAAAACGAGGATCAATTGATCTGGGAGCCCAGCCAAGTCAGTGAACGCGAGGTGGAGGATTATCTGGCCAAGATTCAGGAAACGCGACCCATAGTTCCGCCCGAGGAGGACACCGAAGCTGTGGCAGGCGATGAAGCTTCTGCGGCAGCAATAACTACAGGCGAGGCAGCTCCGCCCCCCGCTCCTCCTCCGACCACGCCTTCTAAGCCTCTGCCTGCGGGCGATCAGGAATCTGTGGTAAAGGACAACGAACAGGCGCTACATCTGCTCGTTCAGTGCGGCTACGACTTCAAGGAGGCGCTGCGTCGCAAGCGTATGAACGTTCTGCCCCTTAGCAGCGACACCATGAGCAGTTGGTCGGAGGACGAGTGCCTAAAGTTCGAGGAGGGCATCCATAAGTTCGGCAAGGACTTCCTCCAGATACGACAGAACCAGGTAAAGCACCGTCCATCGCCCGCCGATCGCCCCCAGTAAGTAATTCTGTGTGTCTGCCGATGATCGTTGGGCTCTTTCAGGTGCGCACGCGAACCATGCGCGAACTGGTCCACTTCTACTATCTGTGGAAGAAGAGCGAGCGGCGGGACCAGAGCTTTGCCCTAAACGACACCATCGATCACATGGACGTCTTTATCAATGAAGCGGGAGCTGGGAATGAGAATGGCAACGGGCTTGGCAACGGCACCGGTAATAGTAATGGCAGCTGCTCACCGCACAGCAGCAATGGTCACGGCAATGGCGAGCTTGTGGCCTTGGAGAAAGATCCACCCGGCGTTAGTCCACGAAAGTCCGGCTCTAAGAATTATTCCATCATGACGGGAGGCCAAGCGGCTGCGACGCCACAAACAAGTGGAAATCGCAAGCGTGGCACATCCGCCTCGCTACCGCTGGAAGACGAGGATAACAACGTCGAGGTGGAACCAAATTTGGCTGCTGTGTGAAAGACGACATCATCGCCATTATCATCATTATCATCATCATCATCGCGATCATTACCGGGCGCAGGCGCTGGACCGGGCAACATGACCATTACCACTCATTATAAATATGCATACTGTACGTGTAGAGTATAGGCCATATGTCAAAAACATATATATTCCAGATTCTTTAATCGAAACATCTCTCAAAAATCCCATAAATGAATTTCTTTATTGTTAAGCGTGTGTTTTTGTGATTTGTCTATTTGTTACATGTTCATGTCTAGATTCCGGAACCAAGTACTTATCGCTTGCATAAGATACTATATAAGGTATATATTTTGGCTCAATCCTTGAGTTTCGTTAATTGTCAATAAATGTAATCCGTGTGTATGTAATCTGTAAAGTCACTTTTTATCTCTTCTTGAGCAAATTTGAGTATTTTAAAGGCTAAATGGGTGAATATATTTGGAGATTTCTAATGTTTTCTGTAATTTATATTAAATATAAATATCTCTAAAAAGCAGGAAAATATTTACTAATTTATTTTCCTTTAAAGATTTCCTAAACGAACCATTTTTAAATTTTATAGTCCAAATCTCAAATATTTTGTTTAATATATATTTATTTTATAAATTATATAATTTATAAAAATAAAATATTTTAAAAATCTGGAAATCACTTAAAAATATTTTTAAAAATCTTGTATTCATCAAAATTTTAAATTTAAACTAAACCCATTCAAGGATTCTTTTTAATAAGACATTAAAAAAAATGGCGTAATAATCAAGTCAAGCTTCAGGATCCCCATGACTACAGCTATAACTTAAGCATGATCTATAGTTTGATGTTTCAAGCTGCCTTAAGAAGTAGTTTTCATTTCAATCCTGGATTTCGATAGCAACGCCAGATAGCCTAGCCTGTGGAATTCCGTTAAAAACGACCGGATTGCTGCCGAGAACCGGTCCCCGTACTTTTTCAGTATGTATGCCTTGCATGCGAGATCTTTTTCCACAGTTTTCTTCGCCAAGACGTTCTTGAAAATGGCCAATTACGGTGTTGGATTCCACTTATTGGCCGTCTACGTGTATGTATGTGTTTTTATATACAAGTATTTGTTTATTGCGGCGAGGATCAAATGTCAAGCTGGAAAAAAGAGAAGCCCAACCGCAAGTCAAAGCTGCCGATCTGATAAAAGAAACCCCGGTCGCCAATTCTCGTATCTGCTTCACTTGCATTTTCGCTGGAGTGGCAAGAGGAGGAGGTGGAGGAGGGATAAGACTTGCCCCGAAACGTGCAAACTGGGCGGTACATACAGACAACGGATACAGGGGAGACATTGCATATATACAAACGTATTTGTAAACATACATCCATGCATACATATCCATGAAGAAGAAGGCCCCGGGGTTCCAGGCTCACGATCGTGACGAAGTTTCCAGCTGGAGCTTTTGTTCCCATCCAACACACATACACACACACACAGGCAGGCGGCACACACTCACACGTTTTCTCTCTTTTCCGCCAGTGCTCCCACTGGCGTGGCGTGGCGTGAATTTTTTACGTTCACTCCAGCTCCATTTCCATTTCCATGCCAGGCCAGCCACCAGCCGCCAGCCGACCGTAGTAAAATCCAGTTTTGATAAAAATAAACAAAAGTACGCTACACCGCGCATACACCATACGCTACACTGTCCAAGTCCAGGCATTTAAGGCAGGCTTTTAGCCTGGACAAGGATACTCTCTCCTACACGCACACACACACACATTCAGTGTGAAGAAGGGCTTGATAAGAGGGAGACAACAGGTGTTAAAGGCGACATGTTCGCTCAAGTCGTTGCGCTGCGCGTGTCAGATGCTCTTACTGAATTTTGGCAGAGCATATTGGATTCGTTACGGCGGGCACTGAAGCGACGGCGAAGTTAACAACCGTAAAGCGCGCAAATACGACACAAGCAGCCAGCAGTGAGTTGCGTTGCGGCCAGCGGAAGCTTTACATCCGGATAATATTGCCAGGCAGAGACCGACCAGAGACCAGAGACGGCGGCTGCTTTAGTTGCCGTTGTTGCTTTTTTTTTTGTTGCTGCTGCCTGCCTGCCTTTGGGGTTCTGCGCTGCTTCTTCTTGCTCCTCGGTTCGTGGCAAAGCCTGTTGCTGCTGCCTCTGCTTGAGCCGCTCTCTCCTCGCCGGTTCTCTTTTGGCACCGCCTTCGCCGTCGCCTAAAAGGCACGTAAACTGGTTCCCGTACACACTCGCGTGGTCGTGGTCGCGCTCGCTCGCCCGTATTTTTCGTATTTTCAGTGCTGCCTTAGCGCTTGAGCTGCGCGAGTCGCTTGCTGGGAAATACGGAATTGGAATCGGATAGTCATCGGACTCGGAGCTGGCCTGGGATCGGTCATGGAGCTGGCCTACAATGCGTCATCGTCGGTGGCGGCCTCGGCCGTCTCCGCGGCCACCTTTGCCTTCACCAACACCGCCAAGCTGCCCATTGAAACGGTGAAGCGCCTGATTGCTGCCGTCTCCCGTCGCCCCATGCTGTGGCTGCGAAACAATGCCAATGGCCAGAAGCGAAGCGACATTACGCCCATCTGGTTCGAGGTGGGCCAGGATGTGAATCTTCCGGGTGAGTAACTGCAGAGATCTCTCTTGGCCAGTGGCTTTAACAGTCTCTCCTTCTCCTTTCCCCGCAGCTGACATCTGCCGCATCAAGTGGGGCCACCTGAGGGACAACTTTCGCAAGGTGTACATCCGCAATAACCTGTCCAATGAGACACCCTCATCGTGGCGCTTCTACAACGACATGCGCTTCATGGAGCCCGCCGTCCATGAAAATATCATGCGTCAGACACGGAGCAGCAGCAAGAAGCACCCGCCGGGACACTGGTCGGAAAACAATAACGTCCTGGGCGTGGACAAATACGACTCCATGCCCCTGGTGGCCACGGAGCCCATTTGTGAGCTGAGTGACAGCTACGATTCTGAGCTGCATCAGCCTAGCTTCTCGGACATTAGCTCCTTCTTCGAGGATCGCGATTGTCAGCCGCCGGATACCAAGCGGGTCAAGCTGGAGCCGCCACACCACACAGATCAGGAGGAAATGGCTGGTGTGGGAGAAGACGGCGAAGAAGAGGAGGATGACGATGACTTTGACGAGGATGCCGCATCGGAGAATCAAGAGGAGGAGCGTGGCAAGCGGTTGGATCCGGCTAATCCTAGCGTATTCACTATCGAAGTGCTGGACGATGACGATGAGGAAATGGAGCAGACAAAAATGAAGGCCAACCACAACAATAACAACCACAATAGCAACACCTCAAGCCGTAGTCTGAGTCATAGCCTGAAAAGCGAGCCGGATGCTAAGGGCTCCAGCCCATCCACGTTGCCGTCCCCAAACACGGCGGATTTGCCCTTCAAGTACATCAGCATGGATGCCACCACCAATACGGAGCCCACCGGCGGCGATCTGCAGGACGAGGCGGATCGCATGTTCCTGCTCAGCCTGATGCCCTTTCTCCAGCGCCTGGATGAACGCCGGCGGCTGCGCGTGCGCCAGAAGCTGCAGAATGTCCTCATCGAGGAGCTTGAGTTCGGCTGATCCCGTGATTCACGCTACCGGGAATGGGGGATGATGTGTACTTTATAAGCTTAGCTTACAGTATTATAAGAACGCGACTGACTAACCCGTGGATCTGCATACATACGTAGCATGTAATCAGTATTCCGGCCTGCCTTCCTCCACACACAAACACATACACTTGAATACATCCCATATAGCCTGTAGCCTGTAGTACGTACATACTTACATACGTTTTTAAATAGACGATCAAGAAATACCAGCGTAATTACTTGTCTTCTCCACAGGATAACCGAGTTGGCCTTACCTGTGGCCATCGCGTTCCGGCGCACCTGCGCATTTTACCTGCTCGCCGTGCCCTAGCCCGCCCGCCCGCAGTTTCCAGTTGCCCGTTCCCATTCCCCGTTCCGCATTCTCATTCCCAATTATCCACGGCTTGAAAATAATTTGCTACGAAATTTCTCTCCGTGCAAAACAAGTTCCTTAAGGGTATGCCTTCTGCTGCAACCAACAACAATGCGCGCCACCGGTCTCATCGTCATCCGGTGGTGTCTCTCTCTCCTCCACTCCTCCTCCGTTAATTTCAAATCTCCGTTTATTCCCATTTTCCGCATTTTCGCGCCACATGCGCTGCTCATCGCTCTCTCAGTTGCTCAGTGTGCTTCAGTGATGCTAGAATCTAGATAGCTAAATATAAAATAAAATGATTGCTTAAAAACAAGCTATTATTAAATCCGAGAATACATTAGTGTCTATTACGACCATAAGCCCGGAAATAATTTACTCTATAAAAAAATCGTTATCACGAATAAGGCTAGAGGCAATTTCCAACTATAATATGATTAAATATGCTAGATCTAGCCTGAAATATGATGAACTGGCAACACTGATGTAGTGGTCTCACTCGCTCTCTGCCGCTCTCTCAGTTGCTCAGTTTTGGTGCATATGCACAATAAGAACACGACTTTTGAATGCCCTAACTCGAAGGATTGCAACTCGATAAGTTATTCGGAAACTTGAAGAAAACTTTTTATTTTTTATGATATGAATAATATTTGAACAACACAACGGCAAATCGAATAAAAATTAGTAATAATTATTTTTAAAGGCAAATTTTATTTTTAACTATATATTTCCATGTTCGTGGTGAGATCCCAGCGTTCTCAGAATAAAAACACTCACCAGTCGGATATGCCCAAATACCCTCGCCGAGGTAGGGGCGCAAACAACAACGCCAGAAGGGCAGCGGCGTCAGCGTCGAGAGAGCAGCGCATGAACATTTTGCAGTTTGTTAAATGCGTGCGTGAAGGTTGGAGTGAAGAATTCGAGCCGATTTCGAGTCCTAGTCCTCGCCACAAAAGTGGGTCAGAATTGGAAGCGTTCGATTAAGCCAAATAAACCAGCGCAGCAACCTGAAGCCGAAACACGCCCGCCAAAGTAAATAATACAGGAAAAGCAGGCGCGCCAAAGCTGCACACACACATACACAATAAGGGCAATTGTTCACGGCTTTTAATTGCAGGAGGAAAAGTGCACGAGGGTGGTACAACAACTTCGCATATAGATACGCCGCAGAGCCGGGGAAAATGTAAACAATTTGTGAACAATAACAACACCGATAGACGTTTTCCAAAGATTTCGATAGCTTTCTACATCGATCAAACACACGCATGAGATAAACGAATAAGAACGGACGGAGAAAGCAGCAGCAAGCAAAGTGACGACTATGGGATACCCCGTGATCGCGAAGAGTGCGTGAATTTGACAAGTGAGTGGTAAACAATTAAAGTTTCAAAAACGTTAAATAAGAGAAATAAGCCAAAATGGATTCTGAGTCGAGTAGTTGTAAATGAAGCTAAGCAATTGATGGGATAGTGTTCGTTGTGTGAAAAACCAATATACCCTTTAAATACCCTTGCCGAAATCGGACGCCATTATCCTATTAGCTGTGATGAGCCTGTTGGAAGTTTTAATCAGTGGATTCAATTGTTTAAGACTAAAAGGAGCGCATTTTGGTAAACTCCTGCCACGACCCTCTCTTCCGTCGGCTGCATTTTACTGCAGTTCTTTGCGGCATAAGTGAAAATAAATAGAAGATAAAAATGTGCATGCGAGCATACATATGTATGTATGTGTGTACATAAATATGTACGTGCCCATGCCAAGGAGAGAGAGAGAGAGCGTGCTCGGTGGGAGAGAGTAAGAGCGACATGCGCACATCAAAATCAAAAAACTAACTGTGTGAGATACATTTGAGTTTATTATTTTTTTGTTTAGGCCTCATGATGATGATGATGATGATGAATAAAGCAACAGAGACAGCGAGAGAGCATTGAGTTGAGCGTGTTATGTTGTGTTTTCGGTTTCGGTGTCGCTTTCGGATGTATCTTCTTCCTCAGTCGGAGTAAGGAATACACGAATGTCGGGAGCGCACGGATACGCATATAATAAGAACTCTCTGGAAGAAACACATTTGTATCTCGCCTCGCGAAAATCCGCTGAAAATCAAAACGAAAATAAAAACGAAAACCGCATCAAATTCAGACCGAATCAAATACGAAATCGAATCAATTAGCGAAACAACAACGGGGAAAAGGAAAACGAGAAAAGCAAACGGTAGAAACTTCAAAACAACAACAATAAGAGCGCGGATATAACGGCGACTTGCATGCGGCTGCTAAAAAAGGTGTGTACGGGAAAGAGATGCAGCAGCTAATAGGGGCGTTGCAGACGAGGAACTATCAATGGAAAATAAATAAATAAACTTTATTTCCGAAGGCAAAAATGTATTGATTTTCTGAAGAAGATTTCGCAAAAGATTCCTCTCAACTTTTCCCCCTGCCTAGTTTTTTTTTATTTTGCTTGTGTCAAAATATACATACACAAATATACAAATATACACGATTTTTGCGGCGCAGAAACCACCTACAAACGGACATGTAGAGAAACTTGTGTGTAAATACAACCCTCGTCCTCATCCCCCGTTATATTTTGCGTCGTAGTCGTTGTATCGTCGCCTGCACGTACACAGAAACCCACACAGGCGCACAAGTACGTGTACCGATGTATATGTGTGTGTTTGAAAGGACTTTAACTTCTTGGTCGTGTTTTTTTCCACGTCCTGCGACTCGGAGACAGCAGACCAGTTTCAATGGAAAATGTTCAAGGGTGACAAGGGTAGTTTAGCCGCTGCCTCCTCCTCCCCATATTTCTCTTTCTCCTCCTCCTCTTCGTCCTGTTCCTGCTCTTATCCTTGTTGTTGTTGTTGGTCTTGCTGCTGCTGTCTACACGGTTCGAAAATATCCTTGAATTGCATTCTTTGCCTAAGGGCGTCGCATTGTAACGTTGGGAAAAAGGGGATCAAAGTAGAGTTCTTGCGTATTGATTGCAGGATTCGTCAGGATTTGTTCGTTTTCCTTCGATGAAATCATTAGAAATCTAAGTCAATGCAATCCCTTTCGTGTAGTAATTTAAATTCTTAAAATTTTCTAAAAAGGTATTAATGAAATCTATTTAAACGGAAGTCCTGGGATTATTGACGAAGAAAAGGGGTTTAAATTTTAGTTATTAGAAAACTTTTTTTATTACCCAAACAAATATGAACAGGTTAAAAAGTATCGAAAAGATCTATACCTTTCTTAGAAACCCTTTTCTGACAGCCTGACACCACCACAAATTTGACATTCTCTAAAAATACACAGGATTATGTGAATATGAAATACATTTACAGAAACAAATGCAGGGTTAATAAATTCATTTGATCCTTTTTTGCTTGAGAAAACTTCTATTTTTTCTTATAAACCCCTCATCACTTTGGCAACCCTTTACCTTTCCAGGTTAACATTAACCCAAGTCTGCCAAATGAACTGGGGTTCGTCTCTAGGTCCACCCTTGAAGTTAGGCTATAAATTAACTCGAATTACCCAAAATCAGGATAACTGAGGAACACGTTCCGTCGTTTGTTGGGTCATCAAGTTTTCGGCGAAGTGTACAAGAAGCCGTCGTCGCTTCGAAATCCTGCTCCTGCTTGAGGGGATGAAAGTCGGTCGGTCGGCTTGGTTGATTAGGTGTACGTAGCTCGACGTCTTGAAGATGGCAACCAGTTCTGTCCGTCTGTTGTTTTTATTACGACTTGCTCCCCCCAAACCTTAGCCGGAAAAGTCGCTTGCGCACTGCAGGCGACGGAGTGGTGGGTGGGTGGAAAAGCTGGGGTTACGCTATAACTACGCGATAAGGTGGAGTGTGCTCCTTTGGGGGTGGGTTCTCATACTCTAATCCCAGCCCGGAGCTATCCTGTACCGTTTGTTTTCCTTTGCTTTTCGAGGGCAGCAGGAGTAGTAGGGAATTTTCAAGCTCCTGGTATTTGGGTTAAAAGTGAGGTAAATAGATATGTACATATACGAATATCCTTCCAAAGTACAGCCACATTCCCAAGAATTGCGCGCAAAAGTTGGCCATTTTGGGCACATAAATTTAAAGGAAATGCGTGGCTGATTTTGAAATTCCAGGATTTCAGGATTGTGCGTCTTCTCGATACAAAGGCACACACACACAGAGAAACGCACAAAATCTGACCTGCTGCGACTGCTCGCGCCACACAGCTGCCACTCCTCGGGTTGCATTGCATTTTCCTCGGATTCGGGGACGGGCCTGCTTAAAGGATCAAGGGTCGAAGGTCGGGGGATTTTCCTTGCTACCTAAGACGCTGAAAGATGCAGCTGCATGCCTGGTTTGGGACTACTTAATGCAGTACCTTTTCCCTGGCCAATTTAGTTAGCTGCTACCCCTCGGCAACCGACGACGTATCATCGCGCGCGTTCCAAACGCTGTTTAGAAAACATAACCGATCGATCGATCTTGGCTTTAGCGTTCAACAAAAAAAAACCAATTCTTCGAAAGTTCTTTTACGGAAAATTCTTGCTCACCTTTATAGCGGAAAAGCGCCTTTGCATCGACGACGACTGCCGCCTTGTGCTATAGAAACGTGATCTCACCACCAACATTACTCTTATGATGGAACTCTTGTCAAACAATTCGGTTCCGCAACAAATGGCCAGCAGCAATGCGCCGAGCGCCAATGGCGTGGCCAACTCCTCCTCAACGGCCAATGGCAGTGGCGGCGGCAGCGTTAGCAGCAATGCCAGCAACTCCTCCGAGCGGTTGCTGGCGGGTATCCTCGATAGCTTCCCCGCCTGGGATCTCAATGTGGGCATGCTCTCGAATGTGGGTCAGAGGTAAGTGTGCTTAAGCTAACTAAATAAATAAATAAACTAAGATAAATCATTTTAAACCTTTTATAGCTCGCCACCACGCACGGACTTCTTCATTAACAATTTCTTGGGTGGCTTGGACACACACGGCGACTTCAGCATGGGTCCCATCGGCAGCGGTGCACGCAGCAATCCCAAAATGTCTCCCGAATCATCCAATAACTCAAGCATTAGCTGCGGCTGGTGCGAGGTTAGCGCCTCGATACGCTGCCTGGAGTGCAACGAGTTCATGTGCAACGACTGCCTAAGGGAGCACAGGAACAGTCCTTTGTCCTCCAACCATTCGATCGTCTCTCTGCCGACGCCCATTGGAGCCTCACCCACGGGCGGGAGCTCTGCGAATGTCCATACACCGCCCAGCGGCAACTTCATTTGCGACATACACAACGAGATGCTGCGCTATGTGTGTGATTACTGTCGCAAGCTGGTGTGCCAATGCTGCACGCTGCACGAACACAAGGAGCACAGCTATGCGTCTATACAGAGCTTCATGGTTGGATCCAAGGAGAAGCTCGAGGGCGCCATCGAGAGCAGCCAGGTGGGGACGCGGTGCATCAAAAGCAGCATTGACAAGGCCCTGGCCTTTATTCGGCTGATTGAGCGCAACTGCAGCGAGCTGAGTGACAATATACGTAAAGCCTTCCGTCAGTTCATCATTGCCATCGAGGATCGCGAGCGTTTCCTACTCGACTTTGTGGAGAAGCTTCGCCAGCGACGCCTGGCCATTCTGCACGATCAGATGGCAGGTTTGAAGTCTGCCCTCGCCGGTCTCTCGGAGACCTCCGACATGCTCAGCAAGGTGGCCGATAATGCCTGCAATATGGACCAAATTGAGATTGCTATGAAGTTGACCAATGGCCAGCGACAGATGGAGCAGTTTGCCGGCATCTACAAGGATCTGCAGCCCAAGCAGGAGGTCTTTGCCTTCGCCCCACCCGACTACAGTCTACTGCAGGACATCCGCAACCAAGGCGGCGTCATTCTGGTGGACGACAAGAACATGCCCATCGTCTCTAGTAGCAATGGCATTGTGCCGAGCGTCTCTAGCGTCAGTGCTGTCGCTGCCGCTGCTGCCTCTGTGGGAGTTGGTGTCGGCACCGTTGGCGGTGGAGTTGGCAACGTGGGAGTTGGCAACGGCATGGACATGGCCTTTGGCATGAATCTGCCTAACAATCCGCTGAGTGTGGCCTCCACGAATGTCCGACGTCCCCTGCTGCGCGACAACAGTTTCCGCATCCCGTCGCCCATTATGCAGCCCCGAGGAGGTAGTGCCTGCGGCATGTCCAGCGCTGCTCTGGACTGGGAGCTCAATGGATTGCGCAGCTCGCCGGGATTGCACTTCAGTGCGCCGAGAACAACGCAAGCGATTCCCGGTTGCATGGATCTGGTCAAAGTGCGTAACTCAAATGCTTTGTCGCTGTCGTTTGCCACCGAGGGCCATGAGGATGGACAGGTGAGCCGGCCATGGGGCCTGTGCGTGGACAAGATGGGCCATGTACTGGTCTCGGATCGTCGCAATAATCGCGTTCAGGTCTTCAATCCCGATGGCTCCCTGAAGTTCAAGTTTGGTCGCAAGGGCGTGGGCAATGGCGAGTTCGATCTGCCCGCCGGCATCTGTGTGGACGTGGATAATCGCATCATAGTGGTGGACAAGGACAACCATCGCGTACAGATCTTCACTGCCAGCGGTGTTTTCCTGCTCAAATTCGGCAGCTATGGCAAGGAGTACGGCCAGTTCCAGTATCCCTGGGATGTGGCCGTAAATTCCCGTCGTCAGATCGTGGTCACCGATTCGCGCAATCATCGCATCCAGCAGTTCGACTCGGAGGGTCGCTTCATCCGCCAGATAGTGTTCGACAACCATGGGCAGACCAAGGGCATTGCCTCGCCACGAGGCGTTTGCTACACACCCACGGGCAACATAATAGTGTCTGACTTTGACAACCACTGCCTCTACCTTATTGATCCTGACATTAACGATGTAAGTTGCCATTCTATATCAGTTCATTTCGTGATTATTAATTGGTTATTTATTTGATGTGCAGATCCTGTCCGTCAAGGGACACGAGGGCTCGGGCTTCCACGAGTTCAATCGGCCTTCGGGCCTGTGCTGTGACGACGAGGGCCGCATTATAGTGGCCGATTCCAAGAATCAACGCATCCTGGTCTTTAATCAGAACCTGGACTTTATGTGGGATGTAAGTTGAAGTTTAAACACGTCTACGAAACATGCACTAATCACTTTGCTTACAGATTGAGGTGCGTCCCTCGATAAATCCGCTAATGCCACCGACGCTGGACGAGAAGGATCGAACCTGCGATGTGGCCCTTATGCCAGACGGTCGCATTGTATTCCTCATTGAACTGTCGCCAGACTCCAAGGAAGGGTCTAACCCTTACAAGCGGTTTGTGCACGTATTCTAAGTTAGGTTAGCGAGTGCCGATCTTTTTTAGACCATTTACACACACAGACACACAGGAGCCAAGATCAGATTGAAAAGGAACAAAGCAAAGAACAAAGTAGAAAACAGGAGCCGTTAAGCGAAAGGGATAAAAATCAGTAGAAGAAAATTCCGGAGAGCATGGAAAAATTAGTGAAAATTTTTAGCTTAAGTGCTACAACGATTACCTCGATAATGCTTAAGAGTTATAATGGTTACGATTCTGGTAATTTACACAATACAACAATACGAATTACACATATGTATCTACAGATATCTAGATATCTACCAGACGCGTATGCCTAAACATACAATATATATACATATATATATATAGCGAATATACAAGAGCAAGCCCCAAAACAACCAACTAGAACGGGAAAAAAAACTAAAGTGGAAGCATATAGGATGTAGGAGATAATTAGCAGTAGGCGATAGATAGTCAGAGGAGCATTCAGGACCTAGTGAAAAGGATAAAGCAAAAAGGGGGTAAACTCTCGAACCATTTACTAGATGAAAATATTCAAATACCTGTTAGTTAGACTGAAAAGGCAGTTTGCTAGCTGATGGAGAGTGCGTTTTTTATGGCATCGGTTGCTTAGCGGAAAGATGAGCGAGAGATAACTACTATATAGGGTTATATACAATACATGTTCTCTTTTTTTTTGTATCTTTGGTTCGACAAGAGTTAGCAGACTTTGTGCGGAATATGGTATTAATAATGATTGTATTATATTCTTAATTCGTTTGTCCTTAAACTGTTTTGTTTGTTTTAAAATAACTTTTTTTTTCCGCGATATTTGTATGTATTTTATACTGATTTCTTATATTATTGAGACTGAGCAAGTGAGTACACGAACTTTGTAAGAGCAAAACAAAGAAAAAAAACAAGTAAACAATGGAAGGAAACCCGCTGACTTTTTGGTTGAACTTTTTAACAAAGACTGATTAAAACTAAACCGCAATTTCGGAGCCAACTGAAAGAACCATATATTATGGTGAGGCCAAAAAAGATAAAACAAAAAACAACAACGTGAAAACGAGACAACACTCAAAAATTGCAATGACATTGATATAACGTAAAGTAACTTAACATAGCTTAACTTAACACACACCTATACCTATAGAGATCCGATCACAAAGTCATAAAATCATGGGCATAGCTGACAAAACCGAGTTTAACTTACATTATACTTCATCCGCATCCGCATCCACATTCCCATCCACATCCAATATCGAGTTCCGCATCTTCATCCAGCGCTTTTTGTGCAAGCATCACAGGCAGGGCTTTCCGTTTTGTAATTAAGAAGGACAGGCGGTAGTAGAGGTGAGGGGTTAGCTAAAACAAACAAAAGTAACGAAAAAAATTATCATAATTTTTGACTCAATGTGTTCATTAGCATTTAGTAGACTTAGCGGGGGCGTGGCATAGTGAAAAACGTATGGGAAAAATCCAGAGCAATATACAATGTATGGGCGTATTGAATACACATTTTAGGTGACATGTTCCTCGCAAAAGAAACACAAGAAACAACCAGAAATAAGATACAAAGCATGTAAAACAAATTGAAAAACAATGAATGAATTAGCTGAATTAGCTGAATTATCTGTCTTTGGAGGTGGAACGATTTTTACTAGCAAATATATACACACACACTAAACAGAGACTAGGTACGATTCTAGGCTAAATAGATCCTGGTGAAAAATTGCAAAATGTATTAAGCCAACTTAGTTACTTAGTTTACGTTATGTTCTTACTTTACCTGTTTTTTAAAACGTTCAGTCTATATTCTTTGTACTTGTGTTTAAAAACAAAAACCCGACCTTAGAGATTGAGATAGATGTGTGTACGAGAGAGAGAGAGAATACATAGCTACACTCCTTCCACGAATAAAGCAACATTGCATAAAATGCGCAAAGAAAAAACTAAAAACAAAAACAAAACAACCTTAAAATCATAAAAAAAACTAACCATACCTTAAAAAAAATAATGCAAAAATGCTAGAAGGCTCTACGAGAGCGATGGCAACAAAAAACATATACAATATTTATATATATACACGTAATATATACACCAGAACGCAGAATGCAAACAGAATGAGACGGGGGTCGACCTACCTACATACTTAGAGCTATATAGAGAGTAGATATCGTAATTATTTTACACCTTAGTTTAGTTTAGTCAACCCCACACGAATCGCCATAACATACTCGTCGTAACCTCATTTTTAATCGATAATTCACCGATTTGTAAATCGGTAATCGGTAATAGTAAATCGTAAAATCGAAAAACGTAAACCGTAAATCGTAAACCTTGAAGCGCCGTTCATTTCTTGTGATCCAGATCGAATCATTATTCAAATCCAAATAATAATTAAAAAAAAAAGAACACTCGCACACATTCAGCGCACGCCGAAAGCATCATCCCACAACACATATGTGTATATATATCATATATACAATATCGTATCGTAACCGTATCGGGCCTAGCGACGACATCCGAGAGAATGCCATATTTTATATTTGTGTGAGATTTACTACTAAAACAAAACCAATACTAAAGAACTAAATACTTATATATCATTACAAATGAGCGCCGTTTTCTAAAAGCCACAGTTTAGAAATTGTGTAAAAAAAATAAAACAAAAAGGAAAAAAAAAATAATAATAGTATAAACTACAAGCTTAAAAAAAAAAAGAAAGGGATGACAATTATTGAGGTCTAAGCGAGAATACCGAATGCCATAATTCAAAATAAAAAGCATTTAAACATATATATTATATATCTATAGAATATACTAAAGTATGTTAAACACAAAACAACAAGATTTACTAAAAACTAAAAGTCATGAAAAGATACTGAACAATTTGCCAAAGGCTTAAGAATCAAAAAACGAATAAAAAAGCAAAAATAACTTACAAAACAAACACTACACTCATTACACATCAGAGATGGACGAACATTGATGTTTATCGATTAGCTTCGATTGTTTTCGATGGCATGACGATAACTTCTATTTTCTTCCAACTCTACATTATACACAACATTCAAAGAAAGCCTACGCATTAAATAGTTAATTAAAGAACAAAGTACATACCAAAAAATACACATACACTCTTAATTCAATTGCAAACAGGTATTTTTGTTTAAAAATAAACCGAATATATTCCAAAAAACACCAAACAAAACGAAACAAAAGTTTGCCCGAACCAACAATTAATTCTAAAAGCAAGCAGAATGCTCATTAAAACGTAGCCTCTAAACTCTAAACTAAACTAAAGTAAAAAAAAAACACTAAAAACGAATCCAAAACTTAAATCAGGTATTCAATTTCTTTCGTATTACGTACTTAGCAGTTAAGGAAAGGGGGAGAAAATAACGAGAATCGACTAAGAATAATCCCTGGGGATGTGCGAATGATTTTCAAAAATAAACCCCGACATACATATTGATTAAGCAACTCTTTTTATATATAAACCAATCGATTGACGATGCTAAAACATAACAAAAAGGAAATAAAGAAAAGAGAGAAAGCAAAGAAAAGGATTGAACTCTTATATCAAAATACAATTTTGAGTAAAACTTTTAATGACACAAAAACCACAAGCAATTCTCGGCAAGCACAGAGAAATTATTTCTTTATTACTATATTATAACAAGGAAAATCTCTAAAATTATGCATACAACATACTTACTTACCTACGATCATAATTATATTTTGTCAAAATCATTTAGCAATTAAGTTGAACCCAAATCCACCACAAAACGAAGACAACAAAACCAGATTATATCTAAATTCGATTTTTTTGATGGTATTTGGAAATTATCAAACCTACGCATACACACACACACACATTACTAAACACATATGTAATAATTATGGAGCAATTGAGTACAAAACGAGTACAAATTTAAATTTTAAGCCAGGATCAGACGACGACACACACAGTTTTAAGTTTAAAGTTAAAGCATATAATAGATTTCGATTGGAGAGCGCAGAGCAGCATAGGAAGAAAATATTGATAGTGCCAGCTACTGGTTTCGCATAGCAAAAAGTACTGCATACTGCAAGGATATTCATAGAGGATCGAACGATCGACAGCATACTAACCACATTTATTCGCATAGTCACATACTTACATAGTTACTTAAAACATAGACTAACCCCCCACACATATATCTAGAAAATGAAAAAAAAACCATCCCACTCTTCTCCTTCAACTATGATTTGCTTCGGAATATACCATATAATATATAGAGACCAGGTTCTCGGCATACGCGAAATTATCTCATACATTCTCACTCACCCCACTCAGCATATAGTATGTAGGGAAGTGCGGGTACTAGGTACACCCACCAGTAAGCAGCTACGTAAGTCATATATATTGTATATTTGCCGAAAGCTAAAGGAAATCTACCAAAATCAAGCGACAGATTCAATAACGAGTTGCAGTTTAAAATTGTAATTGTCAGAAAAAAAATATGAAAATGAAAATAGTGAACGAAAAGCGAACGGGCAAACTGCGAAGCGTGGCTTGGTCATTTTTCTATATACATGCATACACATACATATTTATATACCCAAATATATATATATATTGTATATATATATATACACATATAGATGTGGACTTGACGAGACAAGAGTAAGAGTATATTTTATACGATAAACAAATTTTATAACATATTTAATAATAAATTATACACTAATAATTGTGGAAATTAGTTGGCTTTTATTTTATTTACTTGGGGGAAATTTATTTCAGGTTGTATGTATGGTATTTGAAATCTTTATTAAGATAAATTAAATGCCCAAAAGTATACCAGAATACATTTGAACTTGTCTTGAATAAGTCAAGTTTTAAAAAGCTCAAAATTTGAATAATGATAGCTTATAATATTGACCACTTAACAGGCCAAGCAACTTAGTATTGGAACTTGCCTGATCGGCTTCTGGTCTATTATTAAATTAAAATGCACTTTTGGTAAATATCAGTAAGAGGGTAATTAAAGACTAGATAACCAAGACCAGCTGCATTTCTTAATAAAGTATTTAAGTATTAAAAGTAAAGACGAACAATTATGACACTGACATATAAAAAGGTTCATGGTTAAGAGATTAAAGATTGAAGAGAATAAAAACAACTAGTTATTGTATTAATTATCTAGTTAGTTTATAGTCTTGCACGTTATAATTATATTATATTATATGAAGGAGTCATTTCCAATCCTATAAATCATATAATTTCTTGATAAGCATCAATGTTTGGTTTAGTTAAGATCTATTTTTAATTTGGCTCCCTGATGAAATTGCAAGAGTAAGAAACTTTGGCTTCCCGAAGGTAGCTTTCTTTTCATTTTAAAGAAAATCTGTAAATAAAAAACATTTTTATCAGGAGTTTATAGAATTCCTTAGCTTTAATTAAATTTAATAAATAATATTTTTGCATTAATTATTCATTTAGATTTAAATAATAATATTCTTTTTAATAGGATCTGTTCAATGAGAATACTATTATGTTCATATTATTATGTTCATATTATTATTTTCATATTATTATTTTCATATATTCTAATAATTAATATCTTTTAATGGCTGCCAAAGATGCCTCCACGTACACCCGGAACCTGGGTCAAGGCTACACTATATTATACAGATATATTTATATCTTAAAACCACAAAGAACGAAAATGCGATTCAGATTTTTGTCAAAAAAAAGTAACAAAGCCATTTAGAATAACAAAAGGAATAGCTAAGTACTCCGGCATAATGAGACTTTTATGAAGCCAAAAATGCGAAATACTGCAAATAAAAGTAGAAAACTCAAAAATAAGGTGGCAAGGAGTCCGTTGCGTGACTTTAAAAATTGCGCTGACTCTGTGTACAAATACTAATACCTCTCTATTTCAATTCACTTTTACAATTGTTTTTTTTACTGGTTTTTTACTGGTCGTTAAGTTGAGCAAAACTTAGCCAAAGTCCAGGCTAGCCATTAGTCGAGAACGCGTTAATTACGGCAATAGAATATGGCTTAAACGGGGGGGCTCGATTATACCAATTTTCAGGTGTACTGGACTAGATAGAGATAACTCTCCTCCACACACGCCAAGTGCGCTTGCCTGATTCAATCTTCGTCCGACACTGACAGTTTGTCCGTGTGTCCGCTTGTCCGGCGGCTTTCATGGTCAGGGTTCGGGTTCGATGCGATGCTAAATAAAACTTAAAAACTGGTTATGTGTTTGCCTATTTATTTACTTGTTTGCTTTTCTACCTCCACATTATATCAGCCTCCAAACAGCTGTTTGAAAAGGCAAACGAATTATTATTTACGGGACGATCTTTAGCCTAAGCCGAACTATACCTATTTCGGCAGCGCATCGTGTAACATATAACAAAAAAGTTGAGATATTCTCTGTAATTTTAAAGTGTAATTCTATACAATTTTAAGCAAAAGTGCTGTAATTACAACCTGAAATCTAATTTTATTAGGTGTGAGTTATGGAAGTTAAAACCCACTTAAATTTATAATTAGAATCAGCTCAAGTTTCTCGTGTTTCTTAAAAAACAATCGAAGTGTCAGGAATTTTTGTTGAATTACTAGCTTGTATTTCATCTCATCTTTTGGCTTCTACAAAAATTATGTAATTAAATTTTCATCTAAAATGCAGTTCTGAAACATATGCTTAATAGTATGTGCTTTAAAAATTATAAATAATATTTACTAATCTAAGACAAACATAAAAGAAAAATAAATACAAAACCCGTAGCCACCTAATCAAATCAAATTGCTAAACCAAATCATAATTGTGTGCAAGTCCAGTTTCTTAATTGGCAGTTGGTGATGCCAGTTTCTTAATTGATCCTACAACTATGTTGCAAGGCGACCAGTATTTCTCAAAGTGGAGTGGCCAGTCTAGGTTCAGGTTACAGAAGTCGGACTGTAGACCCAATCATTCATCACCATTATCTCTGAGCCTAGAATTCGTGGTGGTGGTGTGCATCTTGACCCAAGAAATAATATTCAAATTTGAAGAGCGGAGCGTGTAAACAAGGCCCAACACAAAAACCAAAAAGATAAATAAATAAAAGAAAACTTAAACTGAAACTGGAAAAGCGACGAGCCGAAGAGTCCATTGAGTTATTAGCCAGGTTTATTTTTTTTGTTTAGTTTAGACGTGTTTTGAAACGTGCGCTTGGCGGTGGCTTCAGGTGAATCCGAATCGGAATCAGAGTCCTCGCACCAATCCCCCCCGAGTGCGTGTCGATTTCAATACTTTGTTTTAGGTTTGCTTTGCTTTTCGAGTTGCGGGCGTCGTCCGCGTGCAGTGACGGGTTGCGCATACAAATTGGAGCGGAGCGCCGACGCGCCGCCGGAAAGTGTAATTAAAGACCCCCGCGCGGACTGCATCGGCCACGGATTTCAGTTACCCGATACCCAGAGTGGTCACCGGTTGGTCAGTCATCAATTGGCCACCATTTCGCCGAGGTCTGCCACTGGAATCAGTTTGTTTTGCGGCTGTAATCGTGCGTGGATTTTGTTTGTGAGAGATTAGGCCAGTTTTCAAGTGCCAGTGAACGGACGTAGATCCGTGGTGGTTATTTAATCGCTGTGATTAGCCAACCTATGCGTTGACAATTTGCAACCTCAGATGCTGTCATGAAAGTGAAATTAACAGAGTAACTAAGGCTGAAACTAAAGTCAAATCAAAACTAAGTTGGGTTTTTCAGAGCGACTTGATTGATGGTGGACAATAGTTTTAATGTGAGAGTTGCTATTACAAATAAAATATTTTTAAAACTATTTAGATTCCAAGATTTGAATAAAAATAAGTTTAAAATTAAAAGTGTTGCCATTTTAAAATATTTTAAAAAATATTTAAATTCCAAGCTTTGAACTGAAATATGTTTAAATTGAATACATATACCTTTTCTTATAAAACTTCAAATCCCTTAAATATTTATACTACATTGTTGTCTTTAAAGAATACAGAAATATTTAATTATGCTTTTATAAAAGTAAACAAATTCCTTGCTAAAAGTAGACTCAATTTGCTGATAACAGCGAATTTTTAACATTTATTTTGCGTCTAAAAATAAATGTGCAACCGACAACAATCCATCGTTTTCGATGATTATTACTACATACATATATGCATGCTAAAAATGTTGTCATACAAAAAACGTGAGCCATCGAAATTCGCAGTGCTAAGTGCCCGTGCCTGGACGTTAATTAATTCATATTAATCCATCAACAATTGAGCAATAATACGCCATATGCGTATGTCGCAGAGTGTTCAACGCCCGGCAACGGGTTGAACTTGAAACTGATTATGGCGCTCAGTGCATTTTGGATTCGAACTGCAAAACTGGACTTTTGCACACTCAAAATAGCTTCAACAATTAAATTGTGTTTTAGTTTTGTTGATAACCCAATATCAAGAGCTTTGAAATTTGGGTTTCTGTATGACGTCGGTTCTATTGATTTTCCCCCCCACAAGGACAACACGCGTCCATGGAAATATAATTGTCCATTGCGCCGATTTTGCATAATTGATGACATAATTGGGAATATTTTGCCGCTTTTGCAGTTGACATTTTCTCCACCACTTTTGCATGGGAAGTGAAACAGATATTTTTCTGGCTTTTACAAAGTATTTATAAAGTTCAAACTCAATTATGAAGGACAAGAATGCGATAAATCCGGCTCCGGAGGCTAGCGGAGGTCAAGTTAATGGTAAGTAATAAATAATACTGTGGAAATTGCCCATTTTTATTGCTTTTTCCATTGCAGCTAATGATGGAGATCGGTCGGCAACAACTGTCATAAATATTGGTAAGTGTGAGAAGGCCAAGATGACACTTAATTGTTAAGGAAAAATCCAAATAGATTCATGGGTTGATTACCCACATTAAAAATGTTCGGAGGTATCAGATTTTACTCTATTATGGAGCATTAAAAGATAATAGGAATATTTTTAAATAATAGGAAAATTAAACATTATTATGATAGTTTCATATATCATTTTATTAGGGATTTTATAATTTTAATATTAATTTTATTAGGTATTTATATTTGCTAGCTTCATTTTAAGTATTTAAATAATGAAAATATATTTATATTCCAATCAATATTCGTATTCCGCCATCTCATGCTGACTTTTCCTCAACCCAATAAATAGCCCAATTGTTTAATCAAATCATCGTTACCAAGCACAAATTATTAGAATCGGGAAAAGTGCAGTATATAAACATAGATTTCGCTTAAAGTCGGCCTTCTAAAGTACTAAATAAAGGGAAATACATGCCAATACTGTTGAAACCTGAAATAGATAACGATAGATTAAGCTTTAAAAAAAACTTAAACTTGTATAAAAGTCCAGTACAATGAGATTCGTTATCAGACTTGACTCGCATGACTTTCCCCTACCGAAATCGAGCGCTGGCTGGTATATAGATCATATACAAAGTACACATTAAAACACAATACTGGCGCACTCAAATGCTGATAATGAATGCCAGCGCCCCTTTGTCGAGTTTGTTTTCGTATATTTTGGGCTTGTGAAGTAACAATCCATTCAGTAGCAGCCGGCTTTTGCGTTCGGAAAGGTGTGTGATTCGCTAAGCGATTAAAATATCCAATTAAACAAGTGTTTTAAAGAGCAAAAAACCAGCTGTTTGTTAGTGAAAAGAACTTGATATGCTAATTTTTTAGAAGCAGTTT